AATGATTTCATCAGTTAGCCACATGCGTCTTTTCTTCGCCTTCCAGCAAAATCAGCATCTGATATTTTCTTTTTGCATTTGATCTTCTTTTAAAAAATTTAAACAATTACAAATAAATAAATAAATAAAAATTAGACAGTTAAGAATTATTTTCAGAGATTTTTACCTTTTTTTTTTTTTTTTTTACAGAAAGAGAAAAAAAATGACAGTATTGATTAAGTTCAGAAGACAATTGTTGTGTAGCAAAATCACTGGTAAAGTTGAGTAGCTGCAGTTCAAAGTTCAGAGCCATAATGCAGGGGGTAATAAAAAGATGAAAGGTTTGAATGGGTGGAAGGCCTGGGGTTTGCTGGGTTTTGCAGAATGTAATTATTTTTTAATTTTTCCTTTGAGCTTGGCTTAACTCTGGTTCTTCCTTTACTGTTTTACATCTGATTATTTGATTATGAAAGTAAACTCTCCCACATAGAAGAGAATGCTAGCAATCTTGTTCTCGTAAGAGGTATTTATACAGCATGACCAAATCACTTAAACATAATGGGCCGTGTGCTTATCCTCATTTCTGATGTCTTGCCCACTGCCTAAGATCTGTCAGCACATGTTGATATTCACTGCTCAGTATGGGGCCAGTGCTTTCCAGTGCTGCTTCAAAGTAACTTCTTTGACTTATTTGGATATTCTGTGAATTTAATAGCAATAAACTGAGAATCTATTCAGTTATTATTTGAAAGCAGAATTTTTGATTCAAAGTTTCCTGTTCTAGTAGATAACTTATCATCGTAGGATTAGCATACTGGATTTGGAAAGCACTGAGCAGAAAGACTTTTGGGCAGAGGAGAAGCTATAAAACTACCAAGAGGCGTCTGGGTGGTACAAAAACTGGAAATCATGCAGCTTATAGTGTGAGCTTCTCCATATTTTTACTCATTAAGGATTTTTAGCTTTTAAGTGGACTTACCAGTAGGTTTCCTAAACTCTGAACTTTGTTCCTGAATGTACCAACAAATCCAGGATTAAAGGAAAAATTCTGGTTCTGTTTAATTTTACAGAAGGCTATACTCCTAGTTGTTTTAGCTCACCCCTTACAAACTTTTCTGCTGTCAAATATTGGGGAAGTAGTAGCAATGCTTTTTCGTTTACCTATCTTACTTGATTTTTAGATACTAATTTTACTTCCTATTCTCTCTAATAATGAACATAATGATTTTCTGTGTTTACATTGACTTGTTTTGAATTCAAAAAGATGTAGCACCACCACCTTGGCCACTGATGTCTTATATGAAAGTGTCCAAAGCTGGATGCAGCATTTTCAACATGGTCTAGAAAACAGTAAGTACTTTACTAACATCTTAGTGAAGAGACTGAAATCATAAGCTCAGAACAGAAATAGTTACCAGCTGAAGTACATTTAAGGATGTGAGAACACAAGGTTCAAAGATACACTTTTTGACAGTAATAGAATTCAGTCAGAACAGAGTGCAGTATTTTCTGGTTTGTTGTTGTTATTTTTTGCTTTTTGTAACTGGCTGCATGTGATGCCCTTAGTCTTCAGACTTTGGTCTCTGCGTGTCTCAGCATAGTGGCTTTCTCTGATCATTGCATTCACCTAAACACAAGCCTCTTTTATGTAAATACACTACAGATACAGTTTGAAATAATTAATCCTGTTTCTTGAGTATATAGAACTTCTGAGTCATTGCCACCACTTGTTTAAGCATTATTATTATTAAATGTAAGCATCTTAGCTGTATAAACACCCACACTGAAGTTTTTATATAAGATTCTAATATGCCCTATTAGCATAAGAAAACCCGGTGCATATGTGTAGAGCAGGTGAAGCTGTGTCTCATCTCTTCCTGAACAAAAGGCTAATACATTCTTACAAGTGATCTAATTCACCTTATCACTAAAAACAGTATGATTATAGACTGATAGAAAGAAAAACTAAAAGGCTTCAAGTAATGCTCTATAATTATTAGCTAATATTCATAAAGTGCAGGAAGTTTTAAAAAAATAGTAGTTACAAACTGCATTTAATATGCCTTTTTGTATTAAGCAGCGATATATAACTGTCTATAATTCATTTTTTGTTTAATTTCCTTAGGGTTCTTGGGCTTACTGGAGCTTTCCTGTTCTCAGCTGCCAGACTGAGTTTTCTCAGCTGAGCAGATCTGAGTTTTCCTTGTAAAAGAGGAATCTTCTGAGTAAGGTAGAATTGATTATATTGTTTTCTTCTGAAAGACCTAGTGAAGAACTGTTAAGTTGCTGTGCACACCTTTCTAATGTTTTCTGTAGCAGAAAGTAACTTCCTTTTAAGAAACAGTCTCTCAGCTTAAGAAAGAAAGAAAGAAACAAAAATAACCCTCTTGTCACATTAAATGCCAACTGAGTGCAGTAACGCTGTTAACAAGTTGCCCATAAAGTCTGTTGCATCTTCATCTTGGTAAATACTCAGAACTTGATTGGACAAGGCCCTGAGCAACTCACTTTAACTTCAAAGTTAGCAGTGCTTTGATTAAGATGTTGGATTAAATTGCACCCAGCTATCCCTTCAGCCGGAATCCCTCCAGTAGAAGGAAAATTAGTCATCAAGTGCAGTAATTCTTTTGAATTAGGAAAACAGGTAAACAGAACAAACAAAAAAACAAGCACAGAAAACAACTTTTAGAGCCTTTTTCCAAGGTTTTGTTGTTGTTGTTTGTTTTTATTGTTCTTGTTGTGTTTTTTTGTTTGTTTGTTTTGTTTGTTTTTCGTTGTTTTTTTTTTTTTTTAAGATATGTTCTACATTCTTTCTAAAGGAAACACTGAAAATCGGCAGCACAGAGAAGTGATTCAGAGAAGTGCTCTTTTATGAACTAGAGTTGAGAATGTCAGACATAATTCAGTGGGTATCTGCTGCCCCCTTCAGACTATTCTCAGTAAAAACAATTTCCAGATAATATTTTTTAAATCAGAAATTTATAGCATCCATTTTTTGGACTAGTTTCTGGTGGGTAGAGGGGAAGAAACGTAAAAGTAAGTAGACATTTAACTAGATTATTGGTGAACACTTTCTTATACCAGTGGTGGTGGGGTTTTTTGACTGTTTTTTTTTTGGGGGGGGGGTGTCCCACATTAATTTTAATAAGCAAGACAAACTTTTAGCAACTGGGTTCAATAGTCACAACAAAGAAAAAGATCTTAGAGCAAAGACTGAAAGATGGGGGAAGCCTGGAAATCAATTCAAGCTTCTAGAATGCATTTATATATTTCTGGTTAAGTCATTCTAACTTGATGACTCAGTACTTCATATGCAAAATAAATGATGACCCATCTCTCTATCTTCCCTTTAATTCAGAATAAACTTTCTTAGCAAGATCAAGGCCAGATTGGCAAAAGTTCTTCCCTACTTAATTCCCAAACAGAGGATAACACAACCGCACATTTATGCCTAAATACACTTCTGTGTGCACTGCTGTGTATAAACATGAATATGTGTACATATACACATAAATATATACAACAGTTCTCTAATCTCATCTGGAATTAAGTACTTTCATTAAGAAGAAACAACAGCTTGATGTAAATGTAAATCTATTACAACTAGTAAGCTAAAAGCAACAGTTGTACATAGAAGAGCAGACCATATCATAGTTATTATTTTGTGTTTGTGATGAAACCTGAGCAAGGCCTTTGACATGGTCCCCCACATCCTTATCTCCAAATTGGAGGGATGTGGATTTGATGGGTGGACCACTCGATGGATAAGAAACTGGTTGGAAGGCCGGAGACAGAGGGTGGTCACCAATGGCTCTATGTCCAGATGGAGGCTGGTAACGAGCGGCGTCCCCTAGGGTCTGTCTTGGGGCTGGTGCTCTTTAACATCTTTATCAATGACAATGACGGAATCGAGTGCACCCTCAGCAAATTTGCTGATGACACCAAGCTGAGTGCTGCGGTCAACACGGTTGAAGGAAGGAATGCTATTCAGAGGGACCTTGACAGGCTAGAAAGGTGGGCCCAGGTGAACCTGATGAGGTTGGACACGGCAAAGTGCAGAGTTTTGCACTTGGGCCAGAGGAATCCCAGACATCCATACAGACTGGAAGGAGTGGTCCTTGAGAGCAGCCCTGTGGAAAAGGACCTGGGGGTCTTGATAGATGAAAAACTTAATATGAGCCAGCAGTGTGGCCTTGCAACTCGGAAGGCAAATGGTATCCTGGGCTCCATCAAAAGAGGGGTGGCCAGTAGGAACAGGGAGGTGATTGTTCCCCTCTACTCTGCTCTTGCAAGGCCCCATCTGGAATACTGCGTCCAAGTGTGGAGCCCCCAGTACAAAAAAGACAGGGAGCTGTTGGAGAGGGTTCAGAGGAGGGCCACTAAGATGATCAGAGCACCTCCCCTATGAGGACAGGCTGAGGGAGCTGGGCTTGTTCAGCCTGGAGAAAAGAAGGCTGCAGGGTGACCTCATTGCAGCATTTCAATACCTAAAGGGAGCCTACAAACAGAAGGGGAATCATACTCTTTGAAAGGGTAGATAACTGCAGGATGAGGGGAAATTTTTAAGTTTTAAGTTCAGGGAGGGGAGATTTAGGTTGGACGTCAGGGGGAAATTCTTTACAGAGAGAGTGGTGAGGTACTGCAACAGGCTGCCCAGAGAAGTTGTGGATGCCCTGTCCCTGGAAGTGTTCAAGGCCAGATTGGATGGGGCCCTGGGCAGCCTGGTCTAGCATTAAATGAGGAGGTTGGTGGCCCTGCCTGTGGCAGGGGGGTTGGAGATTCATGATCCTTGGGGTCCCTTCCAACCCTGGCCATTCTGTGATTCTATAACGCAGTACATTTTCTAAACTTGCCTGAGAAGTTTTTTTAATAAAACTGATAAGAGAATATGTAAAAGAGAATTTATGCATGGGGTATTCTTACACTACAAAGGAAAAGAAATTACATTTCTGTACAATTAGTGTCTATCAGTCTCCTAGGAACACAACCTGCTGAGGTAACAGCAAAAATAAATACCAGGCTTTCATGTGCTGCTACTGCTTTATTATTTCTTCATACACAATTTAAGCAAAATAGTTGAGAACAGAGATACAGATTTGATAGTGCCCCTTATTCCACATACCTAACATAAAGGATCCAACAGAATAAAGCATACATATCTTAAAGGGGAAAGGATACATCATCGATGTATTTTCTCAAAACTGAAATAGTTATTCTCTATTTTGGTGAATCTGAATTCTTAAAGTTTCTAAGTGATGCACTCAGCTGCCCAAATACATACACTGTATTCTGTTTGCTGTCCTGTCTGTACTCATTCTATTGATAATAGTAAAAAAGAAGTTTCCATTTCTCACACCACAGATTTGCTCAGCACAGCAAGGGAAAATTTGCTATCATCCTTGAAGTTAAATCAAATTGATTGGATGTGATAGAAGGATCCTACTGTTCACATGTTATATGTCCATTGAAATATAGTGCAATGCATCGCTGAGGTATGTTGAGTTTATTTTGCTTTTGAATCTTCCTTTTTTCCTGTTGTTTCTTTTTAAGCTCTATAAGTTTGAGTTTATCAGCCCCATTCCTTGGCATTCAATAATGTAAGTATCTTTACTGGGATCTTCCTCTTCTGATTTTGTCACAGTAAATTTGGCCTGAAACAGGATTAGAAACACAAATCACGAATTCAGTTATACATAAGTTTAAATCTTCAATATCTGATGCCCAATAATCACATTACTGTTTGTTTATGCATATTACAGATTGGACTGATTTCACTGAAAAAAATAAATTAGAGTAGTAGAAGTATCTAAACATTCTAAAGGCATTTAACTCTAAAGGATATTCAATTTCTACTGGCAAGCTCTTATATAAACATTGTAGCTGTTATTCTATCAGTGTTAGTCCTCCATCATGAAATTCAGTTCACAGTATCTGCTAAATATAGAGTGACTCTATACAATTGCACCCTTTTTAGTTACTGGATGACAACTGACATTGTGAAGTTTTGGACTCACCTTTGTTAGCTGTTCTGCAAAGTGTATTGCAGTTTGAGTATGAAGTGTAACTGGTCCGCTTTTCACTCTAGACACTCCTTTTGCTAATGCCATAAAAATGATCAGCTGAAAGGGGAATGAAATTCTTAAATGAAATTAGGCAAGCAAGACAAACAGCAATACTTCCTAGATATTTGGAATGCCAAATGGAAGCAAATTACTAACTCATTCTTCCATAAATACTAAGATTTGCAGGAAGGGAAAATGGAAGGATGTGGCACAAAGCCGAAGTGTCTGTGGTTGCTAAGAAGCGTATGTATTTTGCTAATTCTAGTGAAGTTGTGATTGCATCCAGAAACCTCTAAGACATCTGGCTATTAACTAATTCCACCGCAGTAGTCTGTGGAAATACAACCTAATTCTGAAATCTATGTGCCGTTCTTTCACTATTCAGACTTATGTTATTTTCAAGTAATATATATATAAATGTTCTTGCTACTTCAAATGAATGTGATGACATATACGATCCTTACTTGGTCTTGTAAAGAATCATCCACAGCTCCACCATGTTTAAGATTCTTAAGCAGTATCTCAGCTGCTTCAATGCCAACCTTGTCAGAATTTTTTCCTAATGGAAATCCAAGAAGTTAGGATGCTATCACTTGTTTGTAACATGTAAAAAATACAGGGGAAAAAAAACAAACAAACAAAATAAACACACCAACAACAGAAATTATCAACTTCTTAGAACTTATTTCCCTACTTTTGCCTCGAACATCCACTTGAAAAAGCTCACATGATCACATACAGTACATATCCCCTAAGCAGTGTGAAGCATGTAGTCAGCCACACTTAAAGTCAGATAAACATTTTAGTCAAATCACTTAGATAAAAACCACATCTGTTCCTTTAATTTAGATAAACATCTAGATTCAGCACTGAACAAAACTTTCACAGGTAAACTACAGAGCATGTATATGAAGTCCAGAAGTATTTTCCACTTTTGTCACCAGGCAAAAGCAGCACAGAAGTACAGAGTGCATGATTTTATTTATAGAGTTTAAAATCTGTTTAAAATGTGTTTTCACTGACCCTTGTTACAGAACAGCATCCACTTAAAAAAAAACAATGCTCAAAACATCAGATCTTTGAACAGATTAACAAATAGGAATCTTAAGTATAATATTATATTAAGTTAATTCCGAAAAAGGTATACTTTGCTCTTACCTCTCCTGCCAAGTGATGACCCAGCTAACAAACAACCTGTTGAAGTCTCTGCAACAATGCTGAACAGAAAAAGCAGAACATGTATTAGGAACAAAATCACTCACAATTTATGTGTCAGATAATTAATCAAGATCTACCTTATCAACCAGCTAAGTAACCAGCAAAGCTACACACATTAATAGGAAGTATGAGCTCATCTTACATTATTCCACTTCCAGTCCCAAAGGCTTGATCATCAGGTTCTCGAACAGTCTGAATATTAATGTAAAGATCTCTAATTTCTTTTCTGATGCATCTCACTGCTGCTGCTGACATATCTTTTGCCAGCTAACAAGATAAAAAGTAAAAACATAAATTAATTAAATGATGTAATGATAGCAATACTTTTTCATCATAAGCCTAATTATTACAGTGGATACTTTAATAAACAGACTAAAGAGAAAAACGAAGGATTGTTACAATACATCTACAGGCAAGCACTTAGCATCATCTCTTCTGAGAATTTTCCCACTAATAATGAACAAATGTCAGATTACAGTGCTGCATATAGAAGCTCCAATAGCAGTAGAAATTTCAGTAATTCTTCTCCATATATATGGAGAAAGATTTAATTTAGTCTTGATTTTCTCAAGACCATAGACTGTAAAAACAAATTAACAAAAACAACCAGACACCAAACTGGCAACAACTACTACGTACTCTCTAACAGATAATATTTGAAATAACAATAATAAAAAATAACAATAACAAGGTGCTTGGGAGGAGATGAAGCTTATCCCATCCCTGCAATCCAGTGGGAGAAAAAGACTGTAGCCAATATTCATAGGGTTGAAGATCTTAAGATCAAAACCACCACTCCACAGCTCTTCAAAAAGTAACACCCTTTTCCTCTCCCTTCCTTTTGTGCTTCTGAGGCTGTGTGTGGCAAGGAACCCTGAGGTGATCTCACTACTTATTCCCTGTAAACATAGACAGTTTTAAGTTCAGGGAGGGGAGATTTAGGTTGGACGTCAGGGGGAAATTCTTTACAGAGAGAGTGGTGAGGTACTGCAACAGGCTGCCCAGAGAAGTTGTGGATGCCCTGTCCCTGGAAGTGTTCAAGGCCAGATTGGATGGGGCCCTGGGCAGCCTGGTCTAGCATTAAATGAGGAGGTTGGTGGCCCTGCCTGTGGCAGGGGGGTTGGAGATTCATGATCCTTGGGGTCCCTTCCAACCCTGGCCATTCTGTGATTCTGTCTGACCTCTCTCTCTTATAATTCACTGGAGTTTACCCAGAAATCTACTACAGAAAGCTACTGATTCAGTTTTAAGATAATCCACACAAAAGTGAATGATACATAGGTATAAAATGCCCTTCAATACATACTCAATATTTTTTAATAGTTATATGAAGGAAGTTGCTTATACTGTTCTCCTGTTTTAGCTGCTACCACATTCCTAAGCAATAAGTGCATTTTAGAGATGTCCAAAATTCTATTTTACAGCCTGATTAACCAAATCAATTTAATACAACTACTTGGCTTGCATGTGGAAGACTGCAGAATACAGGAACAGTAGAAGTATACAAGCTACATTCATGCAATTTTGTATAGATTTATGAAGTTGAATACTACCAAGCCTATTATCAACACTCACTTTTATAGGCAATGCTCCAGCAACAAACGCTCTTCCATATATCTTTGTCACGGTGCCACGTTCTGTTAAGTCTATTGGACTTAACTCTTTGACTGGTGACATCTGGACTACAACTTCACCACCTCCCTGAGGATAGTAGCCCCTATGTACAAACATGAATCAGACATAATTAAATGCAAAGATCACAAGGAAACTAAGAAAACAGCTGGGAGCCTCCTCATAAATTTTGTGATACATTTTTATGTTCTCTGCTACCATACATATGAATTTTGTTTGTGTATCTTAGAAATGTTTATAATGCAAGCTTTTCTTTAATAGCATTACCTCATAGCACCTTATTAACCACCAAACACTAAATGAAACTGGCACCTCAGAAAAAGCTAGATAATGGAGTGTCTGTTCAGCATGAATTTCCCTTGAGGGGTAATTCATAGGAAACATTAAAACAGCAGCTGAAAATTCAACAGTAAGGAAAAAGACAAGAAAGAACTGTATCACATTCATCATACAGTCATGGTACACACTGGGGCAGCTAATACGCTTTAGTTAATGAATTATAAATTCATCCCACAAGTAGATTCAGGGCACCTTGTGTGCCTCCAGGTTCACACACTGGTTCAGTAAGGCCTATTTTTGTCTCTTGGCCCTGTAACTTACCTCTTTTTTATGTCACAATTAAATGTGAAATTAAACTTTTCAACTATTGGCTTGAAAACCTAAAAAAACAAGCAAATATAAAAACACAGAGTTTTTTTTTTATGCACTACTGTATTCAGTTTAAAAAAAAAAAAAGTTCAAAACAAACATTTCAATTATGTTATTAAAAAAAAATAGTTAATCTCATCCATGCAGCTTATTTCAAGTTCAAGTTCCTTATACTTTATTCAGAATAATAGTTTGAATTAAAGGATTCTTTTATGGAAAGAGAAAGATAAATTCCTAACAATTCACATTTAGTAACTAACAGCAAAAACAAAAATCTTTGTTTCAGGGGAATTCCATTATACACTGGTTGCTCTCTATATCCAATACATAAATAGTTTAATATTCTCACGCCTAATTGTGCAATTACATGTTGCAGTAAGATCAACAGAAGTACAAAAGTTACACTGCATATGCACACGTGAAAGATGCACCAAGCCAAAGGAATTTTTCCCTACCATGATTGTGTAGTCTATCTGAGGAGCCATCTCAGCGTTTGTCCCACCTTTAAAATGCAATTCTGATGGGGAAGCAGCAAACAGCACACAGGGCATTGCTACCTGCATCAGCAGACACACGCTCCTAGAAGGAATTACAAGATACTCAAATGTCACACATGTAGAATCCATGTAGAATCACTACATGCCAGAGGCAAATAAATGACTTCACAGAGCATTTATGTATTTGATTTTTAACATTATTTATAAAGTAAACATATTATTGTTTAAAATTTGCTAAACTAAAACTTCATATCCCTAGCAACCCTACGTATAAAAGTTTTTGTTTTACAATAACTGTATGTTTAAAATAGAAGTAATGTAGCTTACTTAGTATACTGACAGTACTATGAAAATGTAGGGTTAGATAGCAGGCAGTAAAAGAAGAAGGCTTAAGCAGCAATTTTAACATTTTAATAATTATTTAGGTATAAACTGTATAAAAACCTACAAAATTTCCTAGAATTTGGTCAACATCTCACACAAGAGAATTCAGGGGCACAAAAAATATGCTTTGAAGTGCGTGACTCCTTTATAATTGAACCCTCTACGTTACATAGATAATAAAAAAAAACCTTCCAATATATTTTCCAAAACTAAATTTGCTCAGCAAAATGAAAGTTATCTCAGGAGCGTTTCTAACATAATTGCAAATTGCAAAAATAGTAGCTGCCACTACACTGAAGTTTTTTTCTTAAACAAGCTCCAAATGTTTGTGAGCCATATTTTTTTTATACTAATCCTTCTATATTGTTGCCTATTACAGCCCTTCTGTGTTGTTTAAGACATAGAAAAGACATCAGCTCGGTTGTTTAAAGTGTAGCAGCTCAGAAACATGTTTTTCTTAACTTAAAGGAAACCTTCACTTGTGTCTAACCTAGCTTATGCTCCCAAGTTCACACCAGTCTTCTTCTCTAGCTGAACCTATTCCACTCATTTTTTCAACAGGTTCCAAGAACAAATGATCCAACACAGAAATACAGAAGAAACACAGGGACAAAATAAAAAAAGTGGATGGAATGTATTCCAAGATCCCAGACCAGTATCTCCTACAACACCATCATATGAGTAAGTACTACCTTTAACTTGACTTTATTAGATTAAGAGGATCAATTCAATATTACTGTATAATCTATAAATTAATATTGATGTATTTGTTCAACAACAGGTAGGTAATGATTTTACAATTTCATATTTTCAATTTCTAAGATACTGATCTAATTTGATGCATTGAGTCAACAGTTGAAGTACAAATGTAAGAAAATAAGATACATTTTTAAATGCATGGGCATCTGGTTTTTAGTTAACATTAATCAAGTGTTTGACCTATGTATCATTATAACTTCCACTTGTATGTACTTTATTAATCCACATCCTGCTTACATTACTGGTCCTTTGGCCACATATATCAGGTAGCAAAGATTATGGCTCATCAGCCGTGTGTTAGTGTTCTTTTCTTCCTCTCTTTTGTGAGATTTTTAAAGCTACCAAAACCTAATCTGTCATGATTTTAATGTTACCAAGAGCAGTTAAGAGCAGTTACTTGCCAGTCATTATCCATGTACAAAGACATACCCTGCTGTTTTGGTATCTGCTATGTGGGTTCCTCCTTTGATCTTCCCAGGAGTGAAAGTTATTTCTGTTGAGCCAATTTCTCCGCCCTCCAGATTCCCTTCACATAAATCTCGAACAATCTCCAATCCAGACAGATGCTGAGGCCTTAACATCACAAATACTAAGTTAAAAATGCATGCAAGCAGACTAAAATGATGTTTACATTATTAAAAAAAAAAACAAAAACAAAAACAAAAAACACTAAACATCAACTAAGAAGCACAATCGCAGACTTCAAACAAGGATCAGAAATTCAGTCTGGTTCCTACAGTATTTCTCCTCATTTCACAGGTGCCAACAGAGCAGCATTCTGACCATTCTGGAATTTTTAGGATTCTAGTGGGAAGGATACTTTAGAGTGGGTCAAGCCAGGCAGATGAGATGCAGGAGTCATTATCTTAATGGGATAAATGCTTGAAAGAAAATATGGGATAATGGCAAGTGGGATAATGGTGGCAATCCTGAACAGCCAAGCTCCAAGGAAAGAGCTAGCAGTTCTACTGTGCATGCACTTCCATTTGTCTGAGAGGTTTAAACAGAAAGAAGAAGAAAAGAAAGAAAAAACGCAACAATTTGTTTTTTGCTTTCCTTTTTCACTTGTGCAAGGAAACTCAATGCCTCCAGAGTGACCTCACTATTTCATTATGTTCTGAGGACACCACTAGGACTACAACGTATGATTGTGTTCAGTAGCTTCTAACTTTCTCCGGGCTATAGGCTGTTAAAAGAGTACAGCACATTACTAACTGACAGCTAAGCTCACCTGAACATCTGGATTTCCTTACACAAGATCCACTGCGAAATAAACCTAACCAAGCAAAGGTATATACTGCCCTACAGACTGCTTTCAAGCAGTAGCTTAACTAAGCAAGACAGTAAGCTCAAATTAACTGCCTCAGGGCTCACACATCTCCTGGATGCATTTAAAGCCTAGTGATGTTAGTCAAGAAACTAACGGAGCTAAAGAGGAGTAGTGGCCTATGAAGAAGGTCGATTATTCAGTCAAGATGAGAAACACAACTGCTGTGTCTGAAGTGTTTGGTGGCATCGAAATGAGAACGACTGCTCTGGGACACACAGATAGCACAGGTCTTTAACACAGAACGCTGTATCTCTGTGAGTAATACCTCAGGGAGGCAATATATGATCTTAACTATACTCTGCCTCAGATCATGCGAGCTGTTTGGCACCTTAGAGAATACTTCTCAGATCCGACAGGTGGGGCCAGGGCGAGTTCTGCCCTCCCGGCACAGCCGGCACCGGGGAGGTGCAGGTGCGCTGCGGGCACAGGGAGCGCGCAGGGGCTGACTGCGGGCGGCTCTCCTGGGACTCCTCCACACTCCGTCTTTCCGAGGAAGCGAGCCACAGACAACTTGCTGACTGAAAAAGCCCTCTTAGAACTGCCGCGCTGCTCCGGGACGGCGCGGGAGGCGGAGCGGGGGCTCGGCAGGGCCGTTACCTGAGGCCGGGCTGGTTCCTCCCGGCGCGGATGCGGCGCACCCTCAGCGGCAGGCCCAGCAGGCAGCTCAGCGCCGTGGACACTCGCAGGATCTGCCCGCCCTGCAAGGAACGACGCTCGTCAGGCACGTCAAGGCGCGGCCCGCCCGAGCCCGGCGCGGCCCGGCGCTCACCCCCTCCATGATGCCGCCGTCTATCTCCACCCTGTCCCCGTCCATGGCTGGCAACCAGCGGAGCCGTCTCTCGCGGAGGCCCCCGCCGTACGATCGCGATCCGGGCCGGGCACGGAGGACGGCGAGAGCGCGGCGGAGCAGCGCGCCCGGGAAGGGAAGCGAAGCGAATCGCGCCGCCGGGTGCCGGTGCCGGGCGGCGGCAGAGCAGGCGCAGAGCGGAGCCTCCCGCCCGCACTGCGTCGGGGGCGGCACCGCCGCGTCAAGCGCCGCCGGGTCCCAGCGCCCGGGCGCCGCGCCGCGGGAGGGGCCGGAGCCTTCCCGCCCCGCTGCCGGGCCCGGCCCGGAGAAGAGCTCTGCCCCGGGTTCGCGGCCGCCCGAAGCAGGAGAGCGGCCGGAGCGCAGCCGTCACGTTTACGAGCGAGCAGCTCTCCCCGGAGGGGCCCGTTACGGAACCACGCGGAGGTCGGTCACGGCGCTCCGGGAGCGGCCGGCCCTCGCGCCACTCGCGCTCCTCTGCCGCCGAGGCACGCCGGCGGCTTTCCCACGGGACCCCGACAGGTGACGGCCTCTCGCCGCTCCCCGCGGGCGCGTCTCGGCCCTGAGGCGGCGCCCCGCCGCTCCGCACACAGCCGGGCCCCCGCCGCCACCCCCCGGGCCGGCTGGTTGGCTGCGGCCCGCGTGGCCGCGCGCGGGTTGGCCGCTCGGTGGGAGGTGTGCGGGGCGTGGGGCTGCTCTGCCCGGACGAAGATGGCGGCCGTGACCGCTCTGAGGAGCAGCTGCAGGACCGCGGGGCGCCTGGTAAGGGTAGCGGGGGTCCCGCGGGTGCCGGCTCGGTTCGCCGGCGAAAGCGGTGCGCGGCGCCTCCGCCTCGCCTTCGTCCCGAGTCCCCGCCGCTTCCTACCGGCACCGAGCGGCAGCCCCGCCTGTGCGAACGCGGACCGCGCGGGGACAGACCGCTCCCCTCAGCCGGCCTCCGGGCCGCGCGGCCCGGCCTCAGCCGTGCCCCCGGAGCTGGCCGTGTCCCCGCCGCCCGTCAGCTCGCGGAGCTCGGCCTGGTCCCCGCGGGGTCGGGCGCCGCTCGTGCCCGCTTCCCCAGGAACTGCCCGCGCTCCCGCACCTCGCTGCGTTCCCTCTGGCCGCGTTTCCTGCGAGAGGAGCCCGTGCCTCCCGTGACGGGCCGCTGCCGTCCTCCTCTTGCCTTACTTCTCGCTTGTCCGACTGCACGAACGTTTTGCTGCCTTGCGGCCGTGCATCAGTCCCTTGGTGTAGCGAGGGATCCTGGTACAGAAGGGGAAGCAGGCGTTCCCCGGATCCCAGCAACCCGCGTACTTGTAAATTAAACTGCGCAGGTGCCTCACCGTGCTTCAGCAGGTGAGTCCACTGGTTGCTCTTTTGGATGCTTATAATCTCTTGAGTATATGCCATCATGAAGACGTTATTCTTGTAATTACTGGATTTTAGGCTGCGAGTAACTTGCTTTACTAATCAAAGAATTTGGAAATAGGAGCTTCTTTTTAGTCTTCTTAGCCATACCATCTGCTCTTGCGTTCAGAGGGGCATTGTGATGAGATGAGAGTGTTCATCTTATCAGTGTGGATGCTGAACAGTGTTCTTTGGAGTTGGCCGTTTATGGTAGGCATTTCCAGCAGCACATTGTGATGCTTGCTGAGCACTGGTTCTTGTGACCACCTGCTGTGAAGCAGTGTTAATATCCAAGAAATCTGGATGGTTATCACAATTCTGAAGTGTTATATTTTTTCTCAGTATTCTTGCAAACCCTTTTACTGGTGATGGGAGGGAGGATGGGCTGTGGAGGCGTTACACTGTGATGAGGGGAAGAAAGGAGCCTGAGGTTCTTGTGTTAAGTGGTGAGGAGAGAACAGTGATCTGGAGAGTATGTCATGGTGCTGTTATTGAGGAGGATGTTGAATTAGCATATAGGTAACTGCATAATTGGAAGTAGAAAGTATTACGCAGAACAAATCCAGTGTAAGTAAACAATTTGATATGGAGAGCAAGTCAAGAGTTCTGTAGAAGATTGTCTTTGATGTGGAATCATTTGCCTCTGAGCACAGCGTACACTGTGGCTGAAGTATGTCTGAGTGTCATAGAATCATAGAATCACCAAGGTTGGAAAAGACCTATGAGATCATCCAGTCCAAACATCCACATATCACCAATAGTTCTCAATAAACCATGTCTCTCAATAAAATGTCTAAACGTTCCTTGAACACCGTTAGGGTCAGGTCAATGACTCCGCCACCTCTCTGGGCAGCCCATTCCAGCTTTCAGAGTTACATCCAACCTGAATCTCCCCTGGCACAACTTGAGGCCATTCCTTCTAATCCTTTTGCTAGCTATGTGGAAGAAGAGGCCAACCCCCAGCTCACTACAGCCTCCTTTCAGGTAGTTATAGAGGGTGATAAAGTCTCACCTGAGCCTCCTCCTATCCAGACTGGCCAATCCCTGCTCCCTCGGTTGCTTCTTATAAGACTTGTGCTCCAGACCCCTCACCAGCTTCGTTGCCCCTCTCTGGACACGCTCCAAGGCCTCAATGTCTTTGTTGTAGTGAGGAGCCCAAAAATTGAACACAGTACCCAGGATGCAGCCTCACCAATGCTGAGTACAGAAGTACAATTACCTCCCTGCTCCTGCTAGCACCACTATTTCCGATACAAGCCAGGATGCTGCTGGTCTTCTTGGCCACCTGGGCACACTGCTGGCTCATGTTCAGCCGAACGTCGACCAATATCCCCAGGTCCATTTCCTCTACACTCTTCCAGCCACTCTGCCCCAAGCCTGTAATGTTGCCTGTTGTTGCCAAAGTGCAGGACCCAGCATTTGGTCTTGTTGAACCTCATCCCACTGGCTTCAGCCCAGTGATTATCTGACAGCTTCCATGCATTTCACTTGACTTTTAGTCATTTTTTATAATAAAATCTGTCATGTGAGCTGCTTAGTTGAAAAAGATCTGTAACAAAACTGACAACAGTTATCAATTCTAACTGTTAAGCTCTGCACCATTGTAAAATGTAACACTGACAAGAAGCCTACAAAAAAAAAGCCTTTAAGTAGCTTATACCTCTAAGCTGAAAGATAGTGGAGTGTTTTACTATGATTTTGGCATTGGCTTTCAGCGTTCAGAATAGGCAGTCACAGATCAAAATATTACTGAACTACTGCAGTCAAGGGTGGGCACTCCGTCAGGTAATCCATCACCTGTATACTGTGTAACAACATTTTGTGCTGAGGCCTGCAGTCAGTTTTTAGGGTAAGCGATTAAGAAAAGCGCAATAGACTTCTTCCCAAAGGCACGACTCTGAGCGAGCTAAGTGGGCAAGACCAATCATGCCCCAAAAGATTTACTGTTTGTTCATTATAGAAATTAGAAGAATATTTGCTCTAGATCAAAGGATGCAATCTTAGTAGCAGGCAGATGCAAAGTAACTCAGTGTGACTTTGCTGTGTCCTCTATCGGAGATTGTTTTGTGTAAATATTTGTTCCTAAAGGAAAGGTGATATTAAATATAACTATCAATGCTAGATGGAATAATACAGAAAACATGTACATAGTCAATTCAGAATTGTACAGCTTTCAGGATAATCTGCACATTAAAAGTATAATATCAAATCAGATAGTTCAACAGATGGGGTGTGTGGGAGGGGAATCAGCAAGCTTCACGTGCTCTGAAATTTTTTGAAGGAATATTAAAAAAGTAAGTTAAAATGAACTTTCCCATACAGGTGTCCTGTTTTCTGGCTCATCTGAGAAGATAATTTCTAAATTTTACAGTTTTGAGCTACTGGAGGTACATTGTAGCACCTGTTATTTTTTTATTTTTTTTTTAATCTCTAAATTAATTAGAGATAGCATCTACAGATCATTTGTTATTTTTATTAACTTGACATCACCCGAGGCACCATAACACCAGAATTAAGTGAGATTTAAGAAATATTACTAAATAAGAAAGGGCGTGAACTAACTTCTGATGAAATTAATGATAAAATGCTTGTTTATGTCAATGCAAGTGCTACTGCCTTTGTTTTGACCAAGATCATGACTGATTACATGATGTTTTAAAGCATACAGCTTTGTACCAAGAATCTTTCAGAAAATTCTCATGACCTTTTAAGTTGATTTCTGGATGAATATAATTGCAATTGAAGTTATTTAAAGATGCCTATCTCCTTTATATTAACAGAATTAAAAGGGTAACTGTACCCCCTGTTGTGAATTTCCTTTCCCATATTTACTTCTGATCAGCTTTTGATTGGAATAAGAGCTGGCAAAGAAAAACACGCTGATTTTTTTTTCTTGCAGTCTACAGGACTCTACAGCATTCACACTGCATGAGAGTATTTCAGATGTCTAATGTAGTTGATATTATCTATGCTTTTTGTGTGTGTGTCTTGGCTGAACTACTTGTTTAGAGAAGCTGTAGCAGTTATGAATCTCTTATCAAATCTTGTAATGATTTTTGTTAATTTCTTAAGCTATTGTGGCTTTAATCTCCCTATGTGTTGTGTCAGTAAAAGAAGTTAAAGACAGGCCAAAGCTCATGTCAGTTAAATGGTTATTATATATTCAGTATGTATTCATTATGATTGTATTTTCCTAAGAAATTCTCCATAGAAATTACATGCTCTGATAACTACTGTTGCATCACTAATGTTAAGTGAGCTCTGTCTTCTCAGCCTAATGTTTTAACACTTGAGACTTTTTTCCCCCAGGTTTGTGTTCACCACCTTAGATCGTGCAGCAGCATCCGCTTTATAAAATCAAAATATGCGTGCGTGTTTGACAAATCTGCCTTCAACTTTAGTCATCAGCAGCGATTATTCAGAACATCTGCTGGTAATCTTTTTCATAATAAAATATTTCAACTTGCTCTTTTATGAATGTTATGTTAGTGGCTTGTATATAATTGGCATTTAGCTATTTTTATTGTGTTCGGATTATTCTGTCTGATGTCTTACACTTAATATTAAGCAAGCTGATTTTCCTTGTTTTTTTGTTTTCTAAGTTTCACGTGGCCAAATTGTCCAGTTTAAGCTTTCTGATATTGGAGAGGGTATTACGGAGGTGACTGTGAAAGAATGGTAAGCTCAGTTTTCTTAGAAATACATTAAGAAATCTGCAAGTAGTTTAAGTGCTATCTGTAATTATCAAGTATCAATAGTTATTTCAGGGAATATGTTTTCTGGGCTACTATTGAAGTCTTTCAAGTTTTGATTTCCACATTTTGAACCTTTGTATGTAGTGACCTTTACATTTTGTTTATTTGTGATCTGTTATATTTGGGAATAGAAAAGGTAGAGGAAATGGGATGTCCTATCTGCACCTGTATGGAGGCATTCTTTCAGTGATTATTGTTTTTAGAGGAGATCTAGGCTGAGCTTTAGAACTTTAGAAAAAATGACAACTCCAGAGAATCCACATGGTTTTATCCTTCTCCATTTACTTTACCCCTTTTCCATTTACTTTGATAGAAAAATGTAAATTGCTCCTAAAAAGGCAGCAAGTAATGGTTTAAGCAAAATCAAGGTGTCAATTAGAGAAAGACAGTGTTGGAATGCCTTGCTTTTTGTACAGATAGGAGCATTAGAAGGCTTGGGTTGGAAGTTACTGTAAAGACTAGTTCTAACTCCCTGCTATGGGCAGGACTCTACCCACCAAATCAGGCTACACAGGGCCCTATGTAACCTAGCCTTGAATGCCTCCAGAACTGGGGCATCTACAGCTTCTCTGGGCAGCCTGTGCCAGGGTGCCACCGCACTCTGAGTAAGAAAGGTACAATAGGAGAAATATCTCTTTGTACAGGAGACAGTTTCCCACTTTTAGATTTTTTTCTGAAACTGATTATATACTAGTCTTGACAACTTGAAACAGAGACCTTCTTCAGGTTTAAACCAAGTTAGGCTTTTTTTTTTTTTTTTTTTTTTTTTGAGGTGGTTTATAATCTGTCACAAAAAAATTTTCTTAGAAGAAATAATAGTAAAAATTGTATATGTGATAGCATTCTGAAATGTGTCATTTCACACAAGTGGTTTTGGAGCAACTGGTGGAAAGTATACAGCAAATGTGTCCGCTGTATAATCTGTCACTTTATCCAGAATGCATTTTGTATTATGAGGATGTATATAACTGAACTTAATCTGAAGAATACACAACATAGGTTTTTACTGTTATATCATTTTATACTAGCATGTGTCTTTTCTCTTAGGTATATAAAAGAAGGTGATAGTGTTTCTCAATTTGATAGCATCTGTGAAGTGCAAAGCGATAAAGCTTCTGTTACTATTACTAGTCGTTATGATGGCATCATTAGAAAACTCCATTACAATTTAGATGAAATAGCTTATGTTGGAAAACCACTTGTGGACATTGAAATTGATGCTTCAAAAGGTATTGTAAGCAGTTTTTCTCCTGTACGTTTTGTGTTTGTCAGCTAGAGCACGTTGCCCAGAACCATGTTCACATGACTTTGGATGTCCCAAAGGGGTGGGACTCCACAGACTCTTTAGGTAGCATGCCCCAGTGCTCAGTTACCCTCACAGCGAAAATATTTTTCCTTGTGCACTGACAAAACTTCCTGTGTTCCAGTTTGTGCCTAGGAGGTATTTCATCCTGACACTGGATGTTGCTGAAAGAGCTGTATTCTTCTTTACACTCCCTCTTCAAATATTTATTGATGAGATCCATCTATCTCATCAGAAGAACCATCTTTTTCTAGGCTAAACAGTCCCAGCTCTGTCAGCCTTTTTTTAAAGGAGGAATGCCCCAGTCCCTCAATCATCTCTGTTGGCCCTTAGCTGAACTCCCTCCATTACCTCCATCTCTCTCTTGTCCTGGGGAGGCCAGAGCTGGACACAGTACTTGAGATGTGACCCCACTAGTGCTGAGTAGAGGGGAAAGATCACCTTTCTTAGACTGCTGGCAACACTGCTCTTAACAGAGCTCTGGGTACCTTTTCCAGAAAGGCTTGTCGCTTACTCATGTGCAGCCTTTCCTCTGAGGGGCCTATATTTAACTGCATGTGTAGAAACACCAAGATACCTAGGGAGAGGATAGATCACTATTAACCATCAGTATTATAATATCAAGTATTTTGAGGGCTAGCTAATACTTCCTTTGTTAGTTTTTGTAAGAAATTTGAGACTTTGTTCTGCCTTTTTTTTTCATCTGCCTATTTAACATGTGCCTGAGTTACAAACTTTAAAGTGGATTCTGAAATTCAACAAATACTTATAACCTAACAAAATGAATTTTTTTCTTCTTGCTTTCAGGTGTTGCTCCAGAAGAAGATGTTGTTGAAACACCAGCTATGTCTCATGAGGAACACACACACCAGGAGATAAAAGGTCACAAAACATTAGCAACGCCTGCAGTTCGTCGTCTTGCTATGGAAAACAATGTAAGTTTGCTGAATTACGTCTTGTCACATTTTATCCCTCTTTTATATACCAGTTTGACTGACTGAGAGGATATGGATTAGAGGATAGTACAGAGAGGGATGTCTTGTTTTTGAATATATTTCAAATGTGTAAACTCCATCTCCATTGTAGAGATGGAGATAATTATGCTTTCTGATGATTATGGCAATTTAGAAAAGAATTAGTGGGCTTAAAATGCAGCTATGTTGCTTTAGGATGGTGGTTTCTGAAAAACAGTGGAAGTATTGGAATGGATCCATGGGGCAGAGCAGGAAGTAGGGAAAAATTGAATCTCAGCTTTAGCTACCTTGCTCTGTTCCCCAGACTTATGTTAGAGCAAGCAATGGACTATATGGTCCTTTAAGGACTTTTCTAATTCTTTTTCTGTGTTAATCTATAAATTCCACTGTTTTTTGAAGCTTATGGTGCATTTTTTTTTTTTTGAGAAAAATAAAACAACAAATAGAGAAATTTAAATGACAAATAACTCTCTTCAAATTAATACTTTGTTACTGATCCAATAATAACGAGGTAAGTAGTATTCACTGTTCCTCCTTTAAGTATGCAATTAAGATGTCTTATGGGCCTTTTATGTGATTCAAACAATGTTGCATACCTAATAAAGCACAGAATGTGTCACTTGATGCTACAAAGACAGATGGGTTCTTTAGAGATCCTGGGTAGGGAGGTGCTACTAAGCTGTAATTACAATTAAAGCACTATTAGTTCACCAAATTTTTGTAATTAGCGTAGGACAGATCTTATTTATTTATTTATTTATTTACTTACTTACTTATTTATAGTGTAGTATACAGTTTACTCAGTATTTGTTCTAATCACCTGAACCAGGTCAAGCCAAAATATTAATAGTTAGCATGCAATATAACAGTCACAATCTGGATTTGTAGAAGATGTAAAGGAATATGAGTCACTCCTTCCATCCTTGGAGGAAGCATACCACAGTGGAGGTGTCCCTGAGCACCATGGATCACACACATATTTTGCTGTCCAGCAGTGGGTCCATTCCAGATCCCCCCTTAAGACTTGCAGCTGCTTGACTTTACAGACTGTGCTCCATGTCCTGTTAAGCTTCCCTCTTCTGTGGTGGGTTGGTTGGGTTCATTTTGGGTGGTTGAGTGCCCAGGACCTTCAAGATGCCAATAGGGAAGGAAAAGGTTGCCCAGGGAGGTGATGGACGCCCTGTCTTTGGAGGCATTCAAGGTCAGGCTGGACCAAGCTCTGAGCAACAGATCTAGCTGTAGATGTCCCTTTTTTTTTTTTTTTTTAACTGTGGGGGAGTTGGGCTAGATGGCCTTTACAGATCCTTTCCAACTCAAAAGATTCTGTGATTCCATGCTAACCGTATTAACAAGGATTAGGAGCCAGGAGTGTTGGTCACAGAAAGGGAAATAAAATGGCAGATATGTCGGATCAGTAACTGTTAACCATATTTCATAGCATAGGAATGCTTATATTGCTGTAAATATATATATTGTATGTAAAGAAAGTGTCATAGTTTGTTACATACTTTTCAGATTAAATTGAGCGAAGTTATTGGAACAGGGAAAGATAACAGAATCCTGAAGGAAGACATTCTCAATTTTTTGGCCAAACAAACAGGAGCTATCCTACCTCCATCACCAAAAGCTGAAATTATTGCACCATTGTCAAAATCAGAGACAGTGCCAACTGCTCCAAAGGACAAAGCACGCAAAATTCAAATGCCTGTTTCCAGACCCATTGTGTTTTCAGGAAAAGACAAAACCGAACCTATAACAGGTAAATCATCAAATACAAAAATCTTGAGAAATTGTTTGCAGTGAATTACTGGTGAATGTAACTCAATGAATGGCTCCATTTGATGGGAGTGTTTCAATTTATTATTTTATGCGAGAAATAGGAAAACATGCTCTCTGCAAGAAGATGTTGCATAAAGTTATTATTTTCTGATATAATTGTTCATATTTTGGTCGGATGAAGTTTGGTTGCAAGTTGCACTTGCTCATTTTTAACCCATGTTTCTTCAAATGTATTCTGAAACAGGTTGGAATTTAGAAACACTTGTGAATTTGTTACAGTTTGAGTCATTATATAATTAGTAGCAGAGGCATTAGTAATTTCTTTCAGAGAAACAATAGAAGACACAGAGATAAGAAAAAATCTCATTGAAAGAAGAAAATAAAAGATTTTAATTTTCAAATAAATGGAATTTCACTCTCAGTTCCAAGAGTTAATTTTGTTCATGTAAGAAGTCAGTGAATATTTTCCAGGTTTTCACAAGGCAATGGTAAAGACTATGAGTGCTGCCTTAAAGATCCCTCACTTTGGTTATTGTGATGAGATTGACTTGACTCAACTTGTTCAGTTGCGAGAAGAACTCAAACCTTTAGCACAAAGTCGTGGAATTAAGCTTTCCTTTATGCCTTTCTTCATAAAGGTAAGAAATGCAGCAGAACATTATATGGAGTACTAATGCAGATTTTACCAAAATCTAGTGATAGGTCATTGTTTTAAGTTTGGATCACACTCTATCATCTAAAAAATCACAGATCACAAGAAAGACATCAGCTTTTCTTGTTTAATGCACTGTTTATCAATTTACTGTTGGAACTGTAGTTAGGTTAGATAATATGTGAATGGAGAAATAAGAGCAGTTGCAGCGTGACGCAGTAAGTGAGTAAGCATCACTGTGTGTGTAATTTTAACAAAACATTTTTCAGAAACAATTGATAGTTTTGGTGACCTTCATTAAAATCAATCTCACTTAAAATGCCATGTAATTGTTGTTGGTAGTGAATCCCTCAGATGAATGAGTATGTTTATATTGTTCAGATGAATTGAACATATGCCTTCTCTGGTTGAAACACTTGTACTCAAGTAGTTGTCATGGTTTCATTTCCAGTTGCTGTCATCACTGAAGGCTGAATGCATAGCTTAATCTAAAATTTCTGATAATGCTATTTCAACTGGAGTGTCAAGTACTTATTTTGCTCACTCTTTTTAGGGGGAATTACTGTTCCCTAAAATGACCATCTAATTGGAGAGTTTAGAATGAAGTTGCTGTGGAATATCCTAACTTTTTTCTTGGGATATTGAATTCTAATTGCGGAAGAGAAAATAACTTGAGAAATTTATTTTTACTTTTTGTATGTCTCTCTGACATGTGTTTGTTTTTTTGTAAAGTTTTTCCTTCTGTTACTGTCATCATAACAGAATATCAACATGCAAGGAGCATGTAGGAGAGTTGAAGCCACATTTGATTGCATTAAGAAAATCTAGATCATTAGCCTCATTTTTCTCCCAGTATTCCTTGCTTTCTGAGCACTTTTCTGAGTTATCGAGTATAAGAATCTATCTTTTTGTTTATGTTTAACAGGCAGCTTCTCTGGGATTATTGCAGTATCCCATTCTTAATGCTTCTTTGGATGAAAGCTGTCAAAATGTCACCTACAAGGTTTGTAAACTACTGATAAAAGTTGTGAGCAAAACCCAAACTAACATTTGGTGAGGGCTTTTCAGAATGTCTGAGGCAATTGTGTATTATATTATATACAATTCTATTATTATATTATAAAATGTATATAATTGTAGCGGTGTGCTGGAAAATAATTTAAGTATCCAGATTCTGTCTAAGATTAGATTTAATTCAATATAGATCTTATTTCAGTGGTTTGATTAATTAAAGTCATTTTTTCTCTTCAGCTTGCTCCCAGAAATGCGTATTATTATAGTGATTTCCTGGTTTCCCCTGAAGACAGACGAAGCAATTGTAATGATATTATCTAAAATCCAAAGACAGTAATTTTTAGTAATGGCACAGTGACTCTGCAGTTTGGACTCTCAGCTATTATGTATTTAAATCATATTTTAAGCTCAGTTTTGATAAAACTTACTTAATTTTTGTACAAGATGCTGGCCAGATACTTCTAGAAAGAAGTGTCTATTTTCTTAAGTGATGTGTATATGTGTGTGTATGTATTTACATATAGTTAGTAAAACTTCTTTTGTGCTGTTTTATCAGACTCACTCAGATGAATCCTTACATACTCCTAGCAAGTACGCATGTTGTGTTGACTGCTTCTGTTAATGTCTGGTTAATGAAACTTATTGTAGGCTTCTCACAACATTGGAGTTGCTATGGACACAGAACAAGGTTTAATTGTCCCAAATGTGAAAAATGTTCAAGTCAGTAGTATCTTTGAGATTGCTTCTGAATTAAATCGCCTACAAGCCTTGGGCTCTGCCGGCCAACTGGGAACAAATGACCTCACTGGGGGAACATTCACCCTTTCAAATATTGGCACAGTAAGTACAAGAAAAATGAGAACTTGCATCTGAAAACTGCATTGGAAGTGAACACCTTAATAAAAGTTTAATATGCAAAGAACAAAATGAGTAGTAATTCCTGCTAGAAGCTTTTCAAATAAGTGATACAATTATTTGTTAACTAGTATCCCTGGCATTTTCTTTTTTAGATTGGTGGTACTTATGCCAAACCAGTGATTCTACCTCCTGAAGTTGCTATTGGAGCACTTGGAAAGATACAGGTATACTGACTTTGTCTCAGTAATGTGAGTGTTTAACTTTAGTGAACTAAGGTTGTCTTCAGTGAAAATGTTCTTATGTGTTTGCTTGTTTTTAATATAAACTTGACTTCTTTCTGTTAAATAAGTGCCTAGCTTGTGATTAAAAAGTGTTGTGGTATTTTTAGATGGCTAAGCAGAGAGCAGAGATGCTGAAATCTTTTATGCCAAAGTTTCAGCTTTTTCTCTAGAATTCTCTAACATTCACTTAGGTCTGTATTTAATCTTCTAGTTATTAGCAAACAACATAAACATATATTTTTTTAAAGTTTTTGCAACGTGACAATAGCAGTCTTACTATGATTAAGGAAAAACTTGAGACTTAAAGTATTGTAATAGTATTTAGCTTTATGAGCCAGATGGCTGAATCTATACAGGACACTGTGGTCATGGCAGTTTCTTATTTTCTGTATTTTGGTATTTAACTCTTTAATGCAGACAGTTGAGATCAATGCTGGAAATGACATTAATATCAATTAAAAATACTTTTCACATGGTCTTCCTATGAGCCTCATTTCAGGAATGCTTTAGGAAAACTGTCATTTTGAGCACTAAAAGTGCAAGTAATTATTCAGGAGAAAGCTTCTGGATCAGTGAAAGTTTTCACGACTTCTCTATATCTGGGATGGTGGAAAGTGGATATTGCTGTTCATTATGTAGGTTCACAGAAACAAGAATGGGAAGCTCTTTCATTTCTAAATGACGCTACTGCTGTCTGTCTGTCTTAGCAAAAATATTAGATAACAATAAAAATGCGCTTTTGTTAAAGAAAGTATTTAATATTTCTACTTTTATCTTACCTCCTTTCACTGGTTTTTAGGTTCTTCCTCGATTTAATGGAAAAGGTGAAGTATTTAAAGCACAGATAATGAATGTGAGCTGGTCAGCTGATCACCGCATTATTGATGGAGCTACAATGGCCCGTTTTTCTAACCTCTGGAAATCTTATTTGGAGAACCCTGCTTCGATGCTGCTAGACCTTAAATAAAGGAAATCATGGCTAGAATATGCCTTTAAACTGTGTTAGACTGAATAACTACAAAAGCTGGCTTTGCTAGCACATGCCCTTTGCTACTCATTGTATAATAACTTTATGTGGTTAAAAGTTCTCAATATCAGTCTATCAATTAATTGTTACTTCTTTTAATTAGTAATGCTGTATTTTCTTCTACAGCAGGCTGTCAATAGGTCATGGCACAACTTCTGAATATGGTGATGAACTGTCTTTATTTTGCCTTCTGTAGTACATATGATTGTAAGACTGGTGTAAAGGAATCACTGATCTATACCTGTAGTATTTTTAATCAGATTAACTCATTTTGAAGGTAAAAACGCACAGTTCTTCTTTGTTGGAAAGAAATTTATCTTAACAGATAATATCAACATTTCCAAAAGAAGTTATGCAAAATTAAATGCAAATAAAATGCCTATTATGCTTCTGCTGTAAGATGTCCAGAGAGCTTTTTGTTGTTTAACAGAGTTAAACTCTCAAGTTTAACTACTAGTCCACTTTTTCCTGGTATTTCTTGCACAGGTACTTTATCAGATGATAAAGGGAGAGGGCATGTTTATTCAAATATTGCTGATAACATTTACTGATAAGTATCAGGACCTTGAAACTCTCTAGGATATACTGTATTTTTATAGTCTGGAAATAGTTACAGTCCTTAAATTCCACTATTTTTGTTTCTTATAGAAAACATCTATTTGTAGAAAAGGAGGATCTCATTAGTTACTGTGACATTATCTAAGGCTGACAGCAAAGAGAATGTACTCTTGAAGTTTGCACCATCTTACATTATTGAAGTTCAGTTGCCAGAACTTGACAGGTTAATCTGATACAAGTAAGAATTAGTATTTAATAAAAATATTATGAGGAATAACTGATACAAGGCAAAGAATGAAGAGGTTCAAGTTAATGCCTTCAGAACAGATTATAATTGTGCTGCTTTAAGGTAAACTTAAGAAATGATGAGAGCTGTAGTGGTTATTTGGTAGGAGTTAGAAAATGGTTGGATATAAATGCCTTCTAGAAACATAAGCTTGAAATAGACACAGGAAAAAGCAGTTGTATGATCTTAAAAATTAATTTGCAAATTGGACGTTTTCTCCTTTCTTTAGAAATATCAAAAACTGTCTTTACAGGAACATTCACCAGTGTTGTAGACCAAAGTAGCCTGATGTGTTTAGCTGTGAAGATGCAAGATGTAAGCTACCGGGGTAGAATCTCTGCTATCCTTGATGCTGAGACTGAGCAAGAGGAAAGGTGGTAATGTAGGTGGGGAGTATACATGTAAGGTGCTATTCGTAATTCTGTAGTGGTATAAGGTGCCTTTATGTAAGTCACTTACTGAAAACTTTGACTAATATGTTGTGCATATCACCTATTTCATTTGTATCAGATTTATTTATTCCTAATACATTTTCTTATAGGCACAAATAATTGTAGTAATACTGTTTTAATATGTGCATTTCATGCAGGTGATCCTGTACAAGTGGATACATCTTCTACTTATTTTAAAGAACGTACTGCACTTGAGACTACTAAAAGAGCACTGCCTAATGGCTATTCTTCTACAAGTATGTTACTGTGGTAAGGGCTTAGTCTGAATTATATTTTGTTTTAGTCTTATGGCCATATAAAAAATAAGTTGAGGAAACAAAAGTATATGATAGAAAGTGATAAAGTGATCTTCAAATATTTTAGAGAAGAATTTTACTCACAAAAGAAGCTTGAAATTTCCTTACCACTCAAAGACCTGGTTTGGCCTAACTCTAATTATTTGTTTCTTTCAAGAAGGCAGAGCTTGTATTTTTATTTTAAAAATTAATTAATTAAAAATACTGGGGGTATTGAACCTCTAACAAAACTGAAAGAAGCAATACCTATACCAAAGACGTCATTTTTACTTTTGCATAACTTTCTCCTTTGCTTCTAACACATCCCCTCCACACACAAAAAATGTGCCCTTGAAGATTAAAAGCTAAAGCAGTTAGCGTCTTTTAAAATAGGAATTGGTGTTCATATTTTAGTAATTTAATTTTCATTATTAATGTTGTGGTTTACTTTCCATTATGAAGTTTTATGTGGTAATGATAGAATCTAAGTCAAGCTGAGAATGACTAAAAGTGTTTTCTACTGTGACCAAATGAGTGCTATTTTTAAAATTTCGTCTTCATATTTTATATCTTTATTGTGCAATCTAGGTTAGAACAAGTCAGTTTTATGACTTCTGTTTCAACCAGTGATTTTAATGATAATTGCTGTCTCTCTCTTTCCATCTGAGTGAAGAAAAAGATATTAAACATCAAAAATAATAACAAAGTTAAAATGGTCTAAATAGTCTGTCATGTAACTTCTAACACTCGTTTACTGTGACAGTTGTTCGCCTTTTATCTTCTCCAATGTCTCTTTGAAGAAATAGAATGTTAAAAATGTTTTATGATTGGAAGCATGTAAAAGGGAGTGGTGAGCAATAACCCCTCTGCATACCATGATAAAAATTACTTTTCTGCCGGGACTTTGACAATTTACATGGGAATTCTTCATCATGAGCAAAATGAATGAATAAAATACTTAATTATGTAATACTTCTTCTGAGTTAATTAATCACTGTTACTGATTAATAGCAGTTATGCCATACTAAGTATTTTCTGAAGCTCAGTTATCTTGCAGATAAATGCCGAAAGAATAAAAAAAAATGCCCAAACTAGCTTACTTTTAGCTTTCATTATGAAGTAAAATGAATTTGTTTTTGTTCACAGCTATTAACTTTTATTGATCTTATAAGCAGTTTATGGTAGTCCAGTCATGTTCAGCTAACTAGGAAGACATTAAGAATGGTAAATGCCGGGGGGTGTTGCAGAAGTGCCTCATGTGATACCTTCTATTCTCAGCATAGGCTAAAATTAGAGCTAGACTGACATTGCATTGGAGTCTGAGTGAGAGTTCCAAATGGTTTTGATAGTACAAACAAAATCTGTACCTTACCTAGGCTCTTGCACAGAAAGCAATGAATCATGGAAAATCTTTGAAAACCAAATATTTGAGGTAAGTTGTTCCAAACTCTCTCAAGTGCTTGGAGGTGATTTGGGGGGGGAATTACATGGTAGTAATTTGTGTTTATTTTACAACTACGTTTGGGAATTCACTTCTTAATGGTCAGTGGCAATGTGATTATTATGTCTTATTGTTTGTCAGGAAAATATCAAGAAGATTTGACAGTAACCCTGGTATATATAATTAAGTATCCTTGTAAGTAGAATCATATATGTAGGGCCTTTCGTACTTCATGGTCTACAGCAGTGTTTTAGAATTGAATTATATGCTGTCCACTTTTTGCTGAGTGTAAGCTTTCACTAAAAATAAGTACTGTTTTGATTGTATAGTCTGAAATTGGCTTTAATAGTCATGTACGAACAAATTTGTAGAGATTGGAACCTTAATGTATCTTTTCTGTACAACATACCTCAAAAGATTTGTAGTTTTCTAGCTGAAAATGTCTGAACAACAGGTATGATTGATCAGGTAAATCACTTTTTCTTGGTAGAAGACTAAGTCTGAAAATAAGTCAATTTAAATCGCAATTACTAATTGGAGCAAAAAGCCTCATACAGTGTTTTAGTCACTAGTGTTGCATGTTGGGATGAGGAATGGAAAGGTATTTACTAGGAGTACCACTGAAAAAGAAGTTGGTCTTTCGAAGTACAGCAGTTAATTGTGATCATATTGATACAGGGAAGGGAAAGATGAAAAAATCTCCTAGTTACAGAGAAGAAAGGATTGAATCCCTAAAAAGGGATTGAATTCCCAATTGAGTGCCAGACAGCATTGTGCCACATTGTGGGATGCCTTTTGTATCACCTGTCAAATCCTGCCACTCTTCCTTAACAAGTAAAGAATGGTTAAGAATTCTTAGTATAGCAGTATTGGACCAGATTATCTCTCTCTCTCTTTTTTTTTTTTTTTTTAATCTTTCTTTGGTGGGGGGATGGGAGATCAAGCTTTATAGCATGATTTCATGCTGTTTGTCATTTAGAAGAGTAATCAATCTTGACAGTTTAAAATTAGTATTTGCTTAGCTGTACCTTTTAAATTGATTTCAATACAATCAGACTTCACAAACAACTATTTTTAGCAAAAGACATGGTAAACATAAAAGGGCAAGAGAATGATTTTTAGGAGGGTGTACTTATTGGGATAACAGAGTGTCTTCGCTGCTCTTCAGAAAATTATGTATTAATTATCTCTCTAAGGAAAAGATGATTTCAAAACATTAGCCTGATTTGATTTGGATCTTGACACTCAGGAGCTCTACAAGATGGTGAGAGAGATGTGACGAGTATGAGAAGTCTTTTTTAAAAAGGTAATGCATTACTAACCGTACACTATAGTGTGAGAGATACTATTAAGAAAAATAAAACAAATAAATGCACATGCTAATATGTTTCTAGCAACATTTCAGTTTCTCTGAAGTGCAAAATTCCTTTCATTGCAAGTGTTTATACTACCCAGGATGCAACTATAATGATTATTTACCTGGAGTTGCACAGAACACTAATTTTCTTCCTGGGAGGGGAATGAATTCTTATACCCACATTTAGTAATGCTGGTTGTTCTCAGTCTACAACTGTAACAAACCGAAAGAAACAGTTGTTCTCAGGAAGAATGCAGAAGAGATTGTAAAAAGATCCTTAATACAGGTACCTTTGGGGAAAAAAAAGTTCAAAATTGTTCATTCAAGTTAGTATTTAATTTGCTTCCCAAAATGAATGTTGAAATTCTTTATACTTTCCAATTAATTTTTTTGTTGCTATTTATTTTAGTTGCATCAACATCTTTGATAATAGTGCTGTGGTTTAATGATCTCTAGATCATTGCATAGTGGTTTTGTTGAAAGCTGATTTTTGAAACTAATTACCATTTTTACTTGTTTGCATTGTATTTTATTTCAGAAAACGTAACTGGGTACAATTATTTTGTACATAGAAAGCAATTGTTAATGTTCTGTATTAATGATATAATCAAGGAGATATGTCTGTATTTTAGTTTTCATGTCACTGCCCCCATGTGGTAGGTGATACATGCACTAAAGTGCTGAAATTCACAGTTGGAGTCCTGTGATTGAACCTGAACATGTAAGAATCATGACTGAAACTGCTGTTTGCATTGGATCATTCACTGCTGTGAAGACACTTTGGGAAGTGAGAATACAGAAGATAAATGAAGAATTACGGAAAGAAAAGGAGTTCAGAGAGAGGTCTGCAGGAAGGTAGGTAAACTTAGATGATATGTGAAAACATGGACTCTAAGTTACGTTGCAGAAGACTAGAAGTAGTCTTTCCAAACTCATCCACAGTCTAATTCTTTAGTCTTTACTACAGTAGAACTCCCACTGGTTAGAATTTGGCAATATGTTCAGGTCAATCAATCAGATGTGTTCTGTGATAAAAATATTAGCATATACACTAAATCTAATAAATACAAATATTAAAGTCCTCTTTTGTGTGCATGCTCTAATTAGGTCTAACTTTTTTATTCTCAATGGAAGCATTAACAGTTTGGTATTTTCTTCTGAGTAGCCAGCAATTTCATGAAATGTGGAGAAATTTAGCATTTTTGGAACCATTCCTCATTTGTCAGATGTTTGAAACGGAATAACAAATTCAGAAGTCACAAATGGAAAATAAAAGCAGAAAAAGAAGTGGGTTAATTATTAAAATTCTTGTTGAAGTCCCCACTGAAAACAAAGCTAAAAGAATCTCTAGCTGATTGGCCTTGTTTGAGTGAACTTCTGTTTGGTGGAACTGAAAGCTTTCTGTCCCACCACGAGGTTGTTTCAAAATTTATAACTTTGGAACTGTCACTTTACGTGAATTTACTTTCTATTTCCTGGCTTCAATGTGATGAAACTGAATAAAGTTTTATTTTCCTTTTGACTGTAAAACTAATCTATGCAGAGCTGTAGATGAACGGAATTACTATAAACTAACTCAGTCAAACATTACTTTATGTTCTTCCCTCAATTGATAATATAATTAACATTCAGAAACAATATTGTTACTCCAAGTAACTACTGCCTCTTTGTTTTTCCAAAAGTAGAACGGTTGGTAATTATTACCTTTATTTACAGCTGCACCACTGACAAATTTTCTTTCCATTGTAGGTTACTGCTTGTCTGGGAGGAGAAAACCACGTTAGCAAAACTCAAAGAGAAAGTAATTAATGAAGATGGAAGAGCAGTTTTAAGGATAGAGGAAGAAGAATGGAAGGTATTGTGTATAGGTATTAATATTGCTGAATGAAGGCTGAATGACTTGATGCATTTGAAGACTACTATTTACATCTTTACACTCGCGGTTTTGCTGTTTCTAATCATGAAATGCTCATGTTTTGCTTTGCTAACTATGAATTGAGATCCACTGTTGTGAGAATGTAAAAGCAAGCTGATTTTTTAGTTTCAGGTATTAAGCATTCCTCTGCAAAAATCACGCTCAAAAGACTTTCTTGCATTAGAAGTGATTTTACATTGCAAAATATGAGTTTAATTAGGTACATCTTCATTTTGTTAATGCACCCAAAGCAATGAAATATCTCAAGATGAAAAACCTCTGTGTTTAGATGACCAAATAGATTTTTTATTGTTACTTACTTTTTGAGTGACAACGAGCGAGTTAGATTCTCAGATTCTTATTTCTAATGCATGTAGGGAGTTGGCTAACTGTAGAATCAACAACAGAATGGAATCTAGCAGTGAGGACAAGTTACAGAGCTGGTAGCTTTATCAATGCAGAAATGCAGGTGCCAGTTCAATGAAGAGAATTAGACTAAGTTGAAGTCAGTAAGAGTTACAGTCCTGCCAGCAATACTCTGGTGTTCAATATAGGAAAGCTCTTTGGAATTCATAACGTGTAAAGACTGGAGTGTTTCTATCCTTCTGCTCTTAACAGAACAGAAATGTCATTTAGGTAATCATTTAAAAGCAACAATCCATTTAGAGCAGCTTCATCCTCAGCTATAAAGCCTGAAACCTTTCAAGCAGTAGTGCAGAAGTCTAAATCCTAAAAGAAAACAGTGTGCAGATGAAACTGATGGTTAGAATGACCCACACTGATAGAGTTCTTCACTGGACGTTATTGTGGAGCTTGAGAAGAAAGAAATATTTATTATTACTATTTTTAAATCACAATACAAAATATTAATGAGAAAACAAAAATCTTACCACCACTTTCTGACTAAATCCATATTCTTGTTTATTAAGCTTAATTTTTTTGGATTTATATTTCTTGTCTTAGACATTGCCTTCCTGCTTATTGAAATTAGTCCATCTCCAAGAATGGCAGCTTCATAGAACTAGCTTGCAGAAAATTCCTCAGTTCGTTGGAAGATTTCACAATCTTGTTGTTCTCGATCTATCCCGGAATTCAATAGAAAGCATACCTAAAGAAATTGGTGAGCTGTATTTCTTTATTTTATTTTATATTGCTTTTCTAAGAAAATTAATGTTATTCAAGCATGCAATTTCTTGGCATTTTACCTCCCTAAGTTTACAGCTCTGTAGTTAGAAAATATTACTTATATTTGGCAGTTAGATAGAGATCTTAAGGCCACCAATTCCCTATAAACGTTTGGGTTTTTTTTTTAAACAAACAAACAAACAAACAAACAAAAAAGGCCAGATGGATAAGACATATCTTCATGATAGCTCTCCACGGGGGGAGGAAAAAAAGCACAACAGATATTAGACATAAGAGAGTCTGCTTAGGAAAGTGATACTGAAAAACAGGCTTCAAGTTCTGAGTTCATGGCGTGAGTTGTTCTTTTCATAAGTTTTTGGATTTTTTGAAGTACTCATCTAGAATTCTGTACTAGAGTTCTGAAATCCCTTAATTTAAATTTTTATTTATTTATATATTATGAGAACACAGAACTCTTCTATAGCATTATTAGGATAACAGAAAAACATTAATGCTGTATTTCAAATACAATAAATATTCATGTTCATTCTTTCTCATTTGTGCTCTCTGCAGGCCAGCTGACTGGCCTCCAAGAGCTGCTTCTCAGTTACAATAGAATAAAGTCTGTTCCTAAGGAAATAAGTAATTGCATCAGTCTGGAAAGATTGGAACTGGCTGTCAACAGGAATATCTGTGATCTTCCTCCACAGGTTTTGACTATTCTGATTTATTTATTTACTTACTTATTTTGTGATGTATATTTTGAATTTACTCTGTGTTCTTATATTTGCTTTGGTATTCTAATGTTATAACTAATCCATATAAATGCACACATAAACAGTATTCATACCACTAATCCAACTGAAGACACATGACAAGGGCAAATATACCTGAGTAGTTGCAAGAGCTAATCTTTGTCTAGATAAATGAGCATACAGGACAGCAATACACTTGATGTTAGTTTAGGCTGAAGATCTTCACTGATTGATTTACCCCACTATGGATCTGATACCTTAGCACAGATGAGTTCCCTTTTAAGGCTGAGAATGTAAGTTCATGCCATTTGCCACCATATAATTGAAAGCATCTTTACCTGGACTTCTAGCTATGAAAAGGTTTTGTGTGATTTAGACAATTGCCTTTGTGCAAAAAGTTGAATTAATTTTGTTCTGAGAAGATGCTGAAAGCAATTAAATGAGAATAAAGTAATTGCTTACATACTGTTGAGATTTAATTTGGTCTAACTTAGATGTAAGAGAGACCTGCATCTCCAGCTATTAGCCTCCTAGGTACAGAAATGTCAAGTGTATAACCATATTTACTTCTTCTAGTGTATAAAAAAACACAGTAATGGAGCATTGCAAAATTGAGTCCAAGCAACAATACCCAACAAATCTTCAAATAAAAACATACATGATTAGTCAAAATGCAGAATTTACTAAATCTACATGGATACAAGTTGTAAGATTTAATATAGAGCAATAGCTCTTGAAGTAACAGCTCATAGTAAGTAATAGTAAATACATAGTTCTTTCCTGTTGAGATCATCATGTTGCAAACACCTGAGATATTTATTGTAAATTTAGCTTGGTTCTATGTACATGCAATACTTCTTTTGGGCCAGATTTGCCATCAAACATCGTTGCATTGCCTGAAAATTACAAAAAGCATTTGAATACATGATTCACAAAGGACCTAGGTGTTGCAGCACTCATTGAGGCTATGTTTAATTTTTAATGACTTGCACTACTAATGGACTTCACTACAATGAAAGTATTTCAGGTCCTGCCAAAATACCATCCATGCGATACGAACCACAAAAAACTAAAAGTATTTGCTTAATGAAATACAGCAACTTGCATGGAGAAGCACCAGCTGAGCATGAAATACTGAAGACAATGATCGTAGAATATAATCACAGAAATATTTATGTTGGAAAAGACCTTTAAGATCATTTAGTCCAATCCTTAACGTAGCCACTGCCAATTCTACCACTAAAACATGTCCCTAAGCACCACATCTACACATCTTTTACGTAGCTTCAGGTGATGTCTTTAAAAATCCTTTTCTTCATATTTGGGATGTATCTGCATTGTAGTCATGACATTCAGCTTCTCAGCATTTAGGGCGCTCACCCTAAATGAGACAAAGGTGATAAAGTATAACCACCTGAGCAGCTTAAAACCTACATCCCTAGCCTCCAGGTAAGTGCTGGAATTGTACACTGAAATTCAGTTAATGTAACTCAGAAACCATTCTGTGTTTACAAACTCCAAAATGTGTTTTAATGTTATATTTTCTTTTTTTCAGTAAACATGACATGAGTGCTGTAATGGAACATCAATGCAAAATTGCATTAAATCTCTTTCCTTTCAGCTAAGTGATTTAAAGAAGCTTTCACACATAGATTTGTGTATGAATCAGTTTACCACCATCCCTTCAGCTCTTCTGAACATGCCAAATCTAGAATGGTTAGATATGGGAGGAAATCGACTCCAGAAGCTTCCTGATACTATTGACAGGTAAACACAGCTCAGAGCTTCACATTATAGTCTGAATTATACTGCACTGAAATTCTAATGGTTAAATCCTGTTTCAAAAGCTATTTCAATATTAACCTGATGGCAAACTTAAGATTTATCAGCTTTTGTATGTATTTGATAAGTTGGAATAATTAATTTAGTAAATAAATAAATAGTACATGTACTGTTACCAAGTTAAATGTTTCTTGCTAATGACATTTTCAAGTAGCAGTTCAGATAGTTATCTTGGATATGGGATTTTCTTAGAGATTTTTATTATTCTTTATGTGAGTCCTTTATGTGGCTGTTAAAAATAATCAATTTAGAAAATAAATCTTATCAATCATTTATACAAATTTTCTAAATCTTGACTGAGGAAATACCTACTTTTACAGAATGGAAAATCTCCATACTTTATGGCTCCAAAGGAATGAAATTAACTCTTTGCCAGAAACCATTGTTAATATGAAAAATCTTAGTACACTTGTTCTTAGCAACAACAAACTTAAGGATATTCCTTCTTGTATGACGCACATGACAAATCTGAGGTAAGAAAAAGCAACAGAAATATAAATACCAGCAGATAAGTTTCAAAGCCTCCCTTAAGTTGCGTGTCATAGAGTGATGCTAAGGAAGTGGAAAAGGTGTGTTCACAGTTATACAGCATAATTACACAGATTCACAACATTTGAGAATCTGGTCAAGAAAGCTTTGAGAAGCACAGTCCGTTTGAAGAGTGTCAGCTATGATAGTTACACTCCCAAAGTTTAAGGTGACTAATACATTTCTGCACATCAGGGGCAAATAAGCTTGTATAAGCTTTAATTTGTAAAGAAAGGTTTGTAGGCTTTATCTATATAGTCTCAGCTGTTCCTGGGTAATGGTAGCTACTGTGGGTCTAATGGTTTGAGGGAGAAGGATTCAGAGGTAATATTCTCCTAAAGTAGGGAAATGTCTGTTTTATGGGGTTTATTTGGCCTCCTTCCTCCTACAGCTGTTAGAATATCACGGGCACACTGTAGTATTACCCTAAGGCAAGCATCATAAATGGTCAAGCCATGATATACATGGAACAAACTATGGGACTGGACTAAGAACAGAGGGACACTGGGTGGACTTATCTTGCAATTAGAACACCAGCATTGGCACACTTGTTCTCATCTGCTAATCTGTGGAAGCTGGATTATGATGACAACAAAGTGAAACCCAGAAGACAGAATTATGAGAACTGCAACGTTTTCTCCCACAACTGTCAGCTAGTTATTATAAGAATTCTTCTTCACTTATTTATCTGATTCTGCTAATGCGTTGATGGTTTCAACTTAAGACTCATAGCATCTGGAAAAATATCCATAAATTCTGTTTCTCTTGTTCCAAATATTACCAGATAGATAAATCTTTATTCAGTTTCAAAAGTTCTCTCTGGTCAAGATGTAGTGCAAGCATAACCTTTTCCACTGACCTAACAGATTTGTCAACTTCAGAGACAACCCACTGGAGTTAGAGATAACACTCCCTCCATGTGAGAATACAGAGGAAGAGGAGCAACAGGAAATGTTTGGCATTGAATTCATGCACATGTATATCCAGGAGTCACTGAAGAAAACAGGTATGTTTTTTTGTTAATTCCAGTCCCTCTGGAATGAAGTGACAAAGAGAAGGCTAAGCTGGGAAAAGAAAACTAGAGAATGTATACAAATGACACATGAAAAGCCTGGATTAGTATTTTCCAAAGCCTGCAAGATGAATTTTACTTGGAGGATGGGGAAATTCTGTCTCTCCCTGACAAAAATCCAGTCTCCTAAGCAAAGTGCTCCCTACACTTTCATCTCACTTCTAAATTGCTATGTCAAAAAACCCTGCCGCTAGTAATGTCAAAGGAAACAGATTAAATTTCTCTGCCTGTTTAATGGTTTCAGTAGAAGATCAAAATAAGCATTTCTAAACAGATGTGCAGGTGGCCGCTTGTAGAGAATTCCATCCACTGAAGATATAAAAACATTTTCTTTGATCTTCCATTCTGCATGTCTCAAAGGCTTAAAAGCACTCTTCAGAACCCTAAGCCAATTTTTTTCTTATTCATGTTTTATGAATGAATATTTAAATTAACAAGAATACATCAAGACAAGTGTTTTATAAGTTTTATTGTTTAACGAATGCTCCCAGAGCTGATGAAATAAGTACCTAAGAATACTTAAATAATTTAGGAGGAAATACAAAACATCTAACTGGAAACAAATTATGTTAATTTCTCTTATTTTAATCCACTCTCTTTCAGGAAATGTGGAAAGCTGCAGTTCTGATGCTTCTCCTATCATAACTGCTAATGATGAAGGAACTTAACTGTAAGTAGAAACTATCAAAAGATGCTTCTTCCTAACAATACAGCTTGCAATTAGTTTCAAGCATTCTTAGGAGTTTCATTTTTCTAGTAATGAGAACTGCTTTGCATATTTTTAATTTGCAGTCAAACTGGGAAATATAAAACCTTTTCTTGGGATAAGAAAGACTAAAACAGGTTTTCTATAAGCATGGAATCTGCTTTTTATACAATCCAGATAGATTTTGTAGTTTTTCTGCCAGTTCCAAATCTGTATCTTGTCACGTAGTTGTCTCTGGGACAGCTGTTAACAGGACATTCTCCAAGGACACAGAGGAATCTGTATAGTACTGTAGTGCAGCCTTGTATCCTCGACGTTGTAAATATCTGATCCGTCCGTGATCAATCACAAGTTTACAGAGGGAACCTATCTCCTTTCTCTCTTCAACAGTAAGGAGCCTAGTTTCACAGAGAGGGGGGGAAAAAAAAGAACAGAATGCATTAGGAGAACAATTTTGTTAATTAACATTAGCAGTTGAATTTCGAAAGACTACTAAAATCAGTATAATTTCACTTCAAATCAAGCAAGCATATATAAATATTTATGTTCATGAACATTCTATTTTTAAAGTAGAATGTTTCTATACAATAAGTAATTATATTGCTTCTGTAAAATGAGTTATTTCGAAGACCCAAACCAATTTCATGTTTCAATATCCATAATTCTGATTTTTGTAAGAGTTTTTATGCTAGGAAAAAAAAAAAATCACATACCCTTGCAGAGCGTCAGAACCAGTCTCTGTTTTACTGTATGTTTGGTCATGCTCTTCTGTGTTGCTAGTGTGATCTTCACTTTCTTCATTTGTAGAAGCTTTGGTTACAGTTCTTCTCATGCCACAAGTGGCCCAGCTACTCATCCTTTGAAAATAATGAAATTCTACTGGTCCAAGTCCTACTGATCTAAAGAACTCTCTGCCTACATAATGTGTCCAGTCACATTTGTGATGGCAACACAGTGCAATAACAATTCCAGCTACAGGCTTAAAGTCTTCTTTGTTCCTTTCATTGTCATCATCATTCAAACTGTTAGAAGCTCCTTCTGCCTTATTCTTACTACGTTTTGGTGCAGGCTCTTCATTTTCTTCATTACAGCAAGTTGCATAACTTTCTACCAAACATCTCAAAGCAAGATCTGGGGGAAAAAAAGGAAAAAAAAGAGAGAGACTGAAAATAAGAGCAATGTACACCTTGCCTTTACTTACATAGGCTATATTGCTGCTGGGAACGTGCTTCCCACAAAGAACAAAAAAAGTGTGCATCACAAGCCAAAAAGCAACAACTTTGAGGATAGCTAAAAATAAGCATATTGTGAAAGCATGAAAACTTTATATGCTAAATGAATATTATGAGTCCTGTTCAGCTGTTAAGTTCTTATTCTCTTCAGTCTTTCTTCTACCCCAATCAAGCTGAAATATTTTGATTACCAGATTGGCATACGTATCCTCCCTTATAAAGCATGCAAATATTTGCTCTAAAAGTTTCACATCCTGGACACACTCTCTTTAATATATATGCTTCTTAATAATATATATACTTCTTAAATGTTTAACTGTGTCGTCTTTGTAACAATACCTATATAAGCTTTATACATGAGAGGTCTTTCTCAACTTAGTTAAGCATGTAACATTAGGAAAAGCGTAATAGTTTAAAATTATCAGGACAGAAAAAAAAGTTCTTATTGTTTGCTTGGGATATGTATTCAGACAGAGCCAATATACATTTAGAAAGAAAAATATGTTAGGGTAGAGATGATGGTGCAAAAAAGAAAATACTCTAAACCACTGACAAATACATGACCCATGCCCCACACTATCCTTTGGTCTACTCTGTAATAAACTAGAAAGGTTTTGCTTCTATCTAAAGTAAAACTTGTCTATTATTATCCATTTTTCTGTTCTATTACAGTTAACAGATATTTAGAATAGAATTTCTGTATTCACCAACAAGTAGTTACAAGGGGAGAAAAGCATAACTATTTGGAAGATCATTCCCTTCAGAATGTAGGGCTTAATATCTTATTGTCCTGTGGTTAACACATATCATGCATACCTGTGGCAGCACCACACAAATGTTTCCCAATTCCTACCACTGGTAGTTTTTCCTTCTCTAAAATAGGTACCTTATCTGAAAAACAAACAAAACAAAATACACAATGACCTAACAATGTATGTTAGTTGGGCAAATACTTGTTCTGGATAATTTTATTTCAGCACACTTAACAAATAAATGTTTAAAAAATACAGTGGTTTGTATATAGAGTTATAAGCTACTAAAAAGATATTATTTTTAAATGAAAAGCAGCAGATTCAGTGTCTGAAAGCATATGGTTAGGTTATTCTTTAACAACTCAGCCCTGGCAAAAAGCAAAGAATGTATTTTAATGCTGTTAGGAAGCAACACTCTTTTCTTCCCAAGCGGCAATAATATACAGCAGTAAAATGATAACCAGAGAACTCTGGAATTATCTGCAGCTGAGAGATTAGCTCCAGATAAAAGCTCATTTAAATACTTTGCCTTTTATTAAGGATTTATTTCAGCATTTTGCAGTTAAGCTAAAATAAATTTATCCATTTAACTATTCCAGTCTTTCCATACTAACTATGAAGTGCAAGCATGACACCAAATTAATTTCATTTTCAAATTCAATTTCAAATTTTCGCTTTATAATTAAGATTGTTACTTTTTATATATACATGCACTGTTGATGTGTCCAAGCAACCACTGAGAACCTGATACACATAAGCATGCTACGTACAAATTGACTCAATATCAAGTATTCACTTCTAAAATAAAGCCTCTATTTCAGAGGTATAAAGATCAAGAAATAACTTACTTAAACATAAATGCTGAATATCAACTTGAAGCCTTTCAAATATAGAATCTCTCTTTTTATGTTTTCCATCCACCTATGTAAATAAAACAGGATAATTACATAGGACTGTCTGCTAATAATTATTGTTTTTCTGTAGCTCCTAGTGTCCAGCTTTAGTAACTTTTGAAGTTAATTTCCAACATTAAGACAGCAAGAATTTTTTCTAATAAGTGTACTATTGGGAAAGTATGGAACACATACAGTCAGACTTGTAGAACTTTTACGTTTTAAAGACTTTATGTTATTTTGGAAGATGAAAAGCAAATGCTAACAGCTTTGATGACAACAGTTTATAAATTATACTCTGCTAATATGACAATATCCTCCTTTACCTTGAATCTTGTAGTTGCCCTTTCTACAAGCAAAAACTGAATATTTTCAATATCTTGTAAGGCAACATCAACCCAGTGAGATAGCTTTCCTCGCCCAGCTCCAAATTCAACAAAACATCTTCCTGGACCAAGCAAATGTAATTTTTCCATGTTACCTAAAATGGAAGCCTACAAATATCAAAAGATTACTTATGAACCATGCAAATATATGATAATGCCTGATTAAAAAAAAAAATCATTATTCCACCAAACTGCAGAAAACTTTTTCAAGTCCTCCTTCCTTGACAGATTAGGAAAGAGATCCTGTGTGCATACAGGAAAAGAATTGTAATTTCTGGCTAATAAGCATTACCCTGCCACAGAACTCCACTCAGTAACTCCATTTTATCTTAAGTCAATATAAAATAAATAAAAATATATAGATGAAAGCTCAGAAGAACCACATGTTCTACTTCAGTAGCCTAATAAATCTATTATTAACACTTAGCAAAACAACTGTTCTTTTTTTTTAATATATATATATATGCTAGTATTTGAAAAGCACAGAATTATAAAGCATCAGATTTACTCTGTATAAAGTATCTAACACTATGCACATGCAGCCATTAGAACGGTTACACCTTTTTAAAGTCATCCATAGCAGTAACCATACCTGTTGTTTCAAGTGTTTGAAAGCAGAGTCCCCGTTCTTTGGGTCATTTAAGGCTTCCTCTAAAGCCTGGTGAGAGAGTACTTGTTCTTTAAGGTCGAGTTCCAGACCTGCACACAAATGCAGAATTTTTCAGTATAGGTTTGAAGTGTTTCTGTTTTTGCAACACATACGTGTTCAAGATATGTTGCAACTCATATTCAGATACAAGCTCAAATTATGGCAGGAACAAAATAGCCTTTTGGGAGCTTATGTCTATCATTGTAACTTTGTAACAGAAATATATATATATTTTGTCTGTAGTGGTTTTTGAGTGGAAAACCACAAAGAAAAAGCGCAGAAGGAAGGGAAAGTAGCTATATGGACAAAAGATCAACATTCTATCATTCCTTCAACCTAGATTATTCCGCTGAGTAAAATGTAGATATTAGAGGATTGCCTACATCTTAATTACTTCAGATTTGTCCAATATCAAGTTCATCTCATCTTTTCATAAATATTTAACAGCAAAAATAACAAGGAGACATTTATTCAAAATGTATTATTTTTAGTATTAGGTGAGCTCACCATTACTTGCTTTTTTCAACTTGATAATTAAGTTCTCAAGCTCTTCTTTGGATAGGGAAGAGAGAGTTACCTTTTTAAGGAAAAAAACACAAAGGCAAGATTTTTTTTTTGCCAGTTTTTTTAGTCATACCATAAATGGCAGTATGTTATGTAGGGCAAAAGCTTTAGAACAAATAAATGTACTCACTTGATTTGCTGGTATTTCTGCTACTTCTTTTACACCTGCATTAATGTCTTGGACAAAATAGACCTTTAAAAAACAAAAGAAAACCAATCTGAATCTATTTATTACTCTGAAGCAAAAAGCTAAGTTCTTCAGTGCTTTCATCATACTGTACACAGCAACAGGAATCCACTGCAAAAGAGATTCCAAAGGAAAATAAACCTCTTTTCCTAAAGTCCAATCCTGAGTCCCCAGCAGAAGTTACTGTTCTAGCACATTTTTACAAGGTTAAACATGTTAGTAACAACTAAGCTGTTAATGCTTTCTAGACTGATCACACTGACAGCTTTACAACTGCAGGAGTTATTACGTTGTTTTGGAACAGCTGCTGAAACATCCTATCTTATTCATTCTTTCAGCACTGCCTGCATCTGTCAGCCAAGCTTTCCATGACTCACTGCTAACCTGCACAAAGCTGGGAGAGCTGGGTTAGGAGAGTGCCAGAGGCAAGGAAGCATCTACAGCTCCCTCTTAGTTTTGCTTTTCCAAGGCAAAATGAGAGTTGTGGTGGCACTGCGAGAGACCACTCTCAGAGAACATTTTTTTGTGAAAAAATCCATTCCACGTTTTCATTTATAACTAAGAGAATCAGAAGTTATACCAAACTACAGCGGAAGGGGACGCAGCGGACGGGGAGCAGAAGTGAATTCCAGATGAACAAGTGCTCTCCTGCCGTGCTGCGCCGACCGCAGCGCCTGCAACCGCTGGGCCTCCCCTTCCCTACGGCACTGCGGGGGCTGCTGTGCAAGGCTGTCGCGGGCAGGGCTGCAGGGCTGCCTGCACACTCACCGGCTTTGGCTTCTCTCTGGAATTACATTTTTTCAAATGTTTTTGTAGTTGGTCTTCATACACGGTACTAAAATCCAAAGAGAAAGGAAAAGCAGGTCGCACCAGTTACAGTGAGATCTCCGATGTTAAAAAAAAAAAAGAAGAAAAAAAGAAAAAAAAGAAAAAAAGTATTTTGCATATACTTACTGTTTCGGATCAAGAGGGCACGGGATTCTTTTCCTGTCATTTTCTTTCTGGTTAAGAAAGTTTTAAACAACACGTCAGCGTGCGTTCAGTGTTCCTGTTGCACAGAAGCTGCTGAGGAACATCTGAGAACCGCAAGCCATCGATTCAGGGGGGTCTGGAGAAACCGGGCAGGAACCGAACGCCCAGCAGATCCCAAACCCGTGACTGCCGGCAGCGCCGCCGCACAGCCGAACCCACGGTCCGTCCGCGCAGGGCCTGGGCGCCCGGGCTGCCCCCCCCTCGCCCCGGCACGCGGTACCTCCTGCTGCCCGTGCTCCCCGCAAAAGCGTCTCCCCGGCGCCGGGAGCATCTTGCAGAAGCGCCTCTTCCTCCGCACGAAGAAGGCGCACCGCCCCGGCAGCGGCCCTGCCCCGGAGCCCGAGCCGCCGCCCGCCGCCTCGCGCGCCGCCATTTCCTTCCCGCCGCACCCCGCGCGCGCTGCCGGGCGCCATCTTGAGGCGCCTCCTCTGCGGGAGCCGAGCGCCAAACTCAAAGCGCAAGATGGCGGCGGAGCTCCTGTTCAACCGCGAGGTGTGCGTGCAGGCGCGGGGCCAGGGCTGCGAGGACAGGTGAGCGGCCGCAAGGCGTAGCTGGGTCTGGCCCGCTAGCTGCGGGGAGGCTTTTCTGTCCCTTTTGGGGGAGCTCTCTTTCGCTCCTCGCTCTCTGTCGTGTCCCGGCAGTCGCGGTCCTGCTGCGAGGCCGGCCGTGGGGCTGGCGAAGGGAAGGGCTCGTCGGCAGCGCGGCGTCGGAGCGGCTCTCACGGGCCTCTTGTTGGGAGCGGAGCGGCAGCGGGTTGGGGGCGGAGGAGAAACGGCCCGAGGGGCTGCGCGGATCGCGGCCCGTCCCCGGAGCCGCGGGGCCGCCGCCGGGCGCCGCCGTTACCTCGCGTCCGCCCGCCTCGTGCCGGCGCTCTCCCCGCGGCCTCCGGGAGCGGTTCGGCGCCCGCTGCTGCCCGCGGCGCTCGGACGAGGCCGGGCACGGCGCGCCCCGGCCGGTCGCTCAGGGCTCCGCAGGCAGCGGCAGCGCCCGTGCGTGGCGCGGGTTGTTTTGCGTGAAACGTGCTTAAACGTGGAGAATTGCCGTCACGGAAGTCTTCGCCGCGGCACGGCTGTGCGGGATCTGAGCGGCTGCGGCCTGAAGCGCCGAGCGGCCGAGGCGTCCGGGAGCGCGGTGAGCACGGGCCGCTCTGCGGGAGCTGCGCGGCGGTGAGGAATCGGGGCTTAAACGGCCGTGCTGCGCTTCTGCGAGCGGCAGAGAATGTCTGCAGGATGTTGCAGAATTGCCGGGTTTGGAAAAAAGGTTCAAAGCTTCTGCGCTGCTGTTTGAAGTTTATGGTAACGAGCAGCAAAACTGAAAACAAAAACGAAAAGCCCTGAGCTGACCGAGGAGCTGTGCTGGTAACTCCCGGGCAGCTCAGAGCAGCCCTCAGTTCTTGACGTTTTGCCGAAATGTTTCTGTCTGACCGCCACCCGATTCCTGCAGCGTAGCCGTGAATACGTCTTTTGAAGACCATTTCCTCGGTTTATTAATGAGTTGCACCTTTTTGTACGCAGGAGATTAAATGTTCGAGTGAATGTTGAGCTGCTGTCAATTTCTAGCCCTGTTCATAAAAAGGTTTGTGGATTAGTTGTATTTGTGTTTTGCATTGTTTTATCTGTATTTCTTTATATGGTGGGACAAATAGGCAAAAGGAAAGCAGAATAAGATGTTGGTCTGTTTGTCATTTGAATTCTGTTCTTCAGAAACTTGAAGATTAGAAGTATGCGGGGCCCTCTGGAGGAGCTTAAAGGGCAAGTCTGGCCTCAGCTCTTAATCTGGGGTGTGGAGCACCAGCAGTCCTTGCAGAGACCTCTCCGTAACTAATGAGAATGACAACTGCTGTGTGGGTGCAACATCTTGTTTTGAATGTGTGTGTGCACTGCTGTCCTTGAATGCTTGGAATTAATCCAGTGGGGCAGGAAAGAAATAATGCACTAAATCTGCAGTGAAACAGTCTTAGGAAGTCAGCAATGAGATTACTCTTGAGGATTATGAAATCTGTTTTATGTCTAATTTGTCACTTAAACTGTACTTCTACCTATCAGGGTGTTTATGAGTGGTCATTAGTTGATGGTAGAGTTAATGAAGGAAGGCTGGTGTGTGAGTGCAGCAATTTATTGTTATTTGTTTAAAGCTTTTGCTAACTGCAGCAGCGGTAATGCTGTGTGAAGAAACTGTTCAGCTAAGAACACAGTGCCTGTCTCAGAATGTATGAGCGGGAGCCTTGACAGCCACTTGCACACAGAGGAGATGAGTCTAAGCACATAACTCCCTGTGCTCGGATCAGTTCATGGCACATGAAGCCAAGCAGGGTTCTTATCCTTCTCAGCAGCCTACCCATGTGGTTATGTGCCATGAGCAGTTCTAGCAGCTAGCTCACATGTAATTGCTGAGTTTGTTTTTAAAGCTCCAAGAGCTCTGTTATTGTTAGCAGTACCTCAGGTACTGAAATGTATTTCTGTTCTGTGTGTGAATGATGGTCACACTTCAGTTCCGTTGGAGGAGCTGGTCAGTTTTTTGTTTGTTTGACTTCCTCTCTGTTGGGGCATATTAAATTATTCATGTAGGTTTGAGCACCTGGCAGGTACTGGGTTGTACCTGGTGTTTGTTATGGCCCCGGCTTTGTAGTGAAAGGCTAATGTTGACAGAGAAGGCAGCTTTTCCAAAATGCTGTGTAGATTTCCAGTGAACAGATTAGTTCGTTTATAAAAGCTAAGCAGCATAATGCTACAATGGTCCTGATGAGTGTACCAGATTCTAGTTGTATCAGTTTTGTTTGCTTTGCTAAGCTCTGTATTCAAACAGATGGGCTGCTCAGAAGGTGTTGTCTCTTATTGCTAGGAGAAGAGTGAGCTAAAAAGCTGGCAGTTATGGGAGTGATTGTGTTTGTGATCAACTGCTCGCTTACAAGTGGGATCTGCACACTCTTTAATGACAGGAGGAAAAACTGCAAATAATCTTCTTTATGTAAAATAAGAAGACACGTAGGATTTTGAAATATTGCTGCTGAAAGTTGAATGATTTTTGCATTATTTTTGTGAGAAGTAGTTTTCCTGAGTTGTTGCTTTTTCCCCACAGTATTATTTAAAATGCTGATTATATTAAATGTTAATGCTTTCTCCTAAAATAGTTGTCACAATTCTTATCTTACTTTTGGTTAAAAAGTAATAGTAAGTAGGCTGTTTGCAATATTGCTTTACAATATTAGAACATACGGAGTGGTGTATGGTATTTGAAATTGTATTTCACTGTCTTTCTTTTCAGGATTTGGCTGTGAGACTGACTGATGATGCTGATCCTTTTTTCCTTTATAACCTTGTCATATCCGAGGAAGATTTTCAAAGGCAGGTGAAGCCGTAATGTTTGTGAGTGCACAGAAATGGTCATAAAGAATGAAAGCTTTTAGCATGTAAAGATTTGTCTTAGAATTTGAGTTCTAGCATTTCTCACTTGTAGATTGTTGCCAATATTTTGGCAGTGCTGCTCTCTTTTGCCTGCTTGTGAAACAGCACAGTGCAGGGCAGTGAGCAGCTCAGCATGGTGCGGATGTGACAGAACCTGACACACAGCTCCCTGCGCAGCTACAGAGCCGCAGCCTGTCTCGCTCCCTGCCTCTTCTTCTACCCAGCTGCTTCTTAGAGATTGTTGTTTGTGTGCTCTTTTAAGAACATATTCCAAGGGGAAAGTATGCTTGTGTAAACACAGATTTACAGACGTGAGGCTTTGTCTTGTGGATTTTTTTTTACTTTTTTTTTTTTTGCATTCTAGTTGGGCACCGCATGCAAATGGTTGAGGTCCTTTTTCCTTTATAAAAAAAAAAAGCACACCATATATGCATGTGATCAGTGTGAGGCTCAAAGTAAAAGTTGTATTTATAGACAGGTGTGCAGAATGCAGTGTCATTATTCAGTCATTGCACAAGGTACGGCTTCTGCATACACTCTTGCAAGTCTTTGAGTTCACTGCGTCTATGGTGAAGGTGCGCAATTAAACGGGCAAGTGGGCAGGTGGTGTCTGTAGCAGCTGAGCATCCCCTCATCTGGGAAGCATTGTCCTTTGGTGCTCCATGTGCCCCTGTGCTTAAGGAGGACGTGTAGCTGAAGGAACACTTGTTTGGTATCAATAACTTTCCTCTGTGCAGCACATTTGCAAGAATTCTTGAAGTTAAAAATATCCTCTGGTGATTATTATCCAAGATGTGATTTCATTTCTTCAGTGGTCAGAATTGAAAATAACACGTCAGACATTTATGATATGACAAAATATTTTATTTTTAGGAAAGAAATTACATTTGTATATATTGCTGATATTTTTTCCCTAATCTGTTTATGTAGTTTAAAATCCCAGCAAGGTCTCTTGGTGGATTTCTCCGCTTTCCCACAGAAGTTTATAGATTTGCTACAACAATGCATTCAAGAACAGAACAAAGATATCCCAAGGTAGGTAATAAGAGAGTACCGTATTACTGTGTACGTGTTTTGAGTTTATAAAATATTTGTCAGTGGAACGGGGATAATCTAACCTTTCCCTGAAGCATCAGTGGGTTGGGTGTTGCTGACAACCTAAATGTTAAGAAGTCTCAGCAGTGGTGTTGCTGCCTGATGATCGTCTCCTTAGCAGAGCTGAAGCGAGCAGATGTGCAGGGACGCAGCACTGGTTTGTTGGAACGGTGCTGGACAGTAATGGACTGAAACACAAATAGATTGTCCTCTTTCACAGGGAGAGCAGAGTAATAAGGCATTCTGACAAGAACTTTCTCTTGCTTTCATTTTGGTGTTCAGATATAAAAATGGGAGGGGGCAGACCGGAGGTGCACTCCTCTGTGTAGTGGGCTTTCTGTAAGTAGCTTTGGGTGTGCATGGCTCCAGTAGTTAGGGCAGCTCCTGAAGTATGTGCTGTGCACTGTGAACTTAACTAGCTGATAGGATACCTGAAAGTGAGAGGTCTGTTTTCCTTTGGGAAAGGCCTGATATGGTTTTGGAGGGAGTCTAAGAGAGGCTTCTGAAAATTTTCAGAAGCCTAATGCTCTTTTTTTTTTTTTCATCTCTTGATAAAATGTACAAGCATTCCAGTTGATAATTATTTATAGGAATTAAATGTCTTAGTTCTTTTCAAAACAAACTCGACAGCTTTTTATTGTATGTATAAAAATGTATTTTATTTGAAAACAGCTTATAGTATCTACAAATAGATTCAGTAAAAAAATGTTACATGTTGGGTTATTTTTGTTTTCCCCCAGGTTTTTGCTGCAGTTAGTTTCTTCAGCATCTGTTCTAGATCACACACCTGTCTCTTTAAATGTAGTGGAGACCAACCCTTTCAAACATCTTACCCATCTCTCTCTAAAATTCCTACCGGGAAATGATGCAGAAATAAAGAAATTTTTAGCCAGCTGCTTGAAGTGCCTTAAGGTAAGTAAAGTGAAGATTGCCATGGCTGCAACAAGGCCTCGATGCTGTGTGTACTTGGGAATGGTTTTTCATGTTTTTTACAGTCTTAATACTTCAAAAGTATGCACGGAATTGTGTAGTTTGGTTTGTGGTTTTTTTTTTTTAACTCTGTTCATGTATGTCATTGCATGCAGTTATTTGGTTGCCTGTTATAAAATTAAATTGTTCATTTCACTCTAGCAATGAAAATCTTACATATGCACTGAACCATGTGCTGTAATTTAAACTGGAAGAAAATCATGTGTTTTACATACACGTGTGCTGTTCAGCTGTTGAACGCTTCATAATCTTGTGCCGATTGCCAGATCAACTGCAGAAGTGCCATCCTGTAAGCTTTCTGCCTCTTCTGCAGCTGAGTGTAGGAAATCACGGGTGTGCGTGTATAATTCTGAGGTTTTATGGACTTCAGAGGGCTACTGGCTCTAAACAGCAACTCGTGATATTGATGCAGTTGACAGCATGCTAAGTCTTAATACAAAATCAGTGATCTCCTATTGTAACTGTTGTCTCTTTCATAGCCTGGTATTTGCTTCTCGTTCATTGCACTGTCATGTTGATAACCACCTAATAAGCCATTTTAACCAATTAAATTTTCAATATTCAGTTGATCTATTACTAATAGAACTGCTTTGTAAACAAGTCTTTATAAGATTCTGTTCCCTTATAGAGGCTTGATTAAAAGCATAATGCAGGATATTTTCCTTGCCTTTTTCTCTTAAATGTACATATTATATCTTAATCAATACAAAGTTTGTTTCATAAGATGCTTTTTCCACAAATACTGTGTCTAAGCAACCACATACCCATTGTATGATGATAAAGTGGAAGCTGAATATTGGTATTTTGGGAGCTAAGATTTACTCTTGATATCAATTTTTACATAGGAAGACAAAATGATATTGGAAGAAAAGCTTAGGAAAACTGAAGAGGATTCTACCAGACAACTGAGCTACACTCAACAGGTAATGTACATTTTTAACTTTCTGTGTATTCTGTGAATGGGTGGAAATCCTTAGATTTACAAAAGTTGTGAAACTGTTATAAATGAATCAGAAGGCTCGCAGATTATGCTGCTCTGCTTTTTATTTTTTTATTGTCAGCTCAATGGTGGTTTTGCATTTACTCTTTGAGAGCATGATGATGGCTATGGGTCAAACTGCAGAAGTACGAAGGTAGCTTTTTGACTAACATGAAACAGGAAAAAAAAATCCATTAAAACTCCTAGTGTGGAGATTTTTTTTTAATAATGGAATACTTACTTACCTCATCTTTGGGGTTTCTGTGCAATTGGGGCTACTAGATTGCTGAATTGGAATGAAGAATTACAAACTTAAGAGCAAAAGATAATTGATGACCTTGGTTTTTTTTCTCCCTCCCAATGAGAGCCATTTGTTTAAAACTTCTACAAGATACGGCGCTAGGAACAGCAACAGATTGTTTTGTCACGCCTAAGTTGGAAGAAAATAGAACTGGAAATGAAGGTTATTGTACTCACACAAAGTCAAAAAGCTGCAGTTGAGCTTTTCAGTACCTCATTTTTCTGTTGATACAATGAATGTATACCTTGGCTCCTTCTGCTGAAATACAGACTTTAAGAAGTAACAGTAAATAATTGTTTGGTAGTTAATGAAATGCTGCATTCTTAAAATCCATGATACTTTTTCTAAAATTCTGAATGGTTGTCTAACTTGAACAGAGCTTGTCAGAGAAGAGCCGAGAACTGGACAAACTGAAGAATGAATGGACATCATACACTGCTGCTCTGACAAGCAAACACACGCAAGAGCTGACAGCTGAGAAGGAAAGAGCTCTCCAGGTATGACAGTGGAAAAGAATTGACAGTATTCTGATGTGAATAGTTTCTTAGCTTAATCTTTAGTTTCACTGAATGACTGTTCTCATTATAGGCACAAACTCAGTACCAACAACAGCACGAACAACAGAAAAAGGAATTGGAAAGTTTGCATCAGAGAAGTATTCAACAGTTGCAGAATAGACTCTCAGAACTTGAGGTCATCAATAAAGATCTAACAGAAAGGAGATACAAAGGAGACTCTGCTGTCAGAGAACTGAAAGCAAAGCTTTCTGGAATTGAAGATGTATGGCTTATTAATTTCCCTAACCAAGATGACGATTCTTAGAGCAGTAAGGCTGCCTGCCTATGCTTGTAATAGAAAATATAGCATATTAAGTTTGACTTTTTTCTACTTTATGCTTACTATAATTTATATATATCTTTTTAAATTTGCTTTTGCTTTTTTTTTTTTCTTTCTTTCAAAGAATGTTAACCAATTCCTTCCCAATGTTCTAGGAATGTCAAAGAGCCAAGCAGGAGGTGGTGTCACTGCGTCGAGAGAACACCACTCTGGATGCTGAATGTCACGAAAAGGAGAAACTCATTAACCAGCTACAGACCCGGGTTGCTGTTCTGGAGCAAGAGATCAAAGACAAAGATCAACTGGTTATTAGAACAAAAGAAGTGCTGGATGCGACACAAGAACAAAAGGTTCAAGTTTCAGAATCATTATATTTCTAAAGCTCTGTAGAACCTTATTAACTGAGGTCTCTAAAGGTTACTGGAAAGCCAGACTTTATTAGTGCAGCAAGACAGCTTACAAGTGTAGTTAAAGATGCTGAATTATGGCATCAAAAGTATACAGGATTAATTTTGATGAAGGCAGCTACTGTTGTGATATTTTGTGGTACTTCCTGTAGAAGTGGGTGAATTGAGAGACCTCTCTGTAATTTAACCAAAAATCATGGACTGATTGTAGAAGAGTTGCTGAGGTTTTGTTTACAATTCTAAGTGGTGTATATTCCATAATCCATATGGAACTTATATTGTTATAAACAATTTATGTTGTTGTAAAACATTTATAATTCTTTTGTAGGTGATACTGGAGGAGAATACAGAAAAGAAACGAAGTCATATTGAAAAGCTTGAGACAACAATTAAGTCGTTGTCAGCTGAACTTCTTAAGGTCTGTTTTATCTGTTTCATCTGCTTTACGTCATCTTCCATTTTCAGGAATTACTTTGAAAATATTCTTTTTTGTAGGCTAATGAAATTATCAAGAAGTTACAAGGAGATTTGAAAACCCTAATGAGTAAATTAAAATTGAAAAATACAGTAACAATTCAACAAGAGAAACTACTAGCAGAAAAAGAAGAGAGACTTCAGAAAGAACAGAGAGAACTGCAGGAGACTGGACAGTCTCTTCGAATGAAAGAGGAGGAGGTACTGTGAGAGGTTAACCCTGCATCTGCACATGTTACTGTATGTAGTACAGTTGGTTGGTGTTTTTCAAACCCTTAAAATATTTGCTAACAGCAATGAGGTCTTAATTTTTTTACCTAAGAATTTACTCCTATGCACTTAATATGTTTATTTAAGTGCATAATCAACATTTCATTTTTTTGTGTTAAACTGACTTGCAAGAGATATTCATCCACGTGCAAGAAAACTAAAATCATATTGTTGGGGGTACAAAGCAATGTATATCAAATGGACTGAAAGGCTTCAGAAGGTATATTAATGGGAAGAATTTGTGGGAGGCAAGAGCAGTAACAGTGAATTTCTCCCCTGCTTAGGGCCATTCCTTATTTAAACATGGCAAAATGTCAGAAAGGTTTCTGGCTGCAGTCTTGTCCTAAGTCCAGCTAGAAACAGATTATTTTAGACGAGTTATCATAGTGATTCTGTATAAAATTGAGTTCTAACTTCTTTAAGTAATTCTAGAACTTCTCTGATCCTTCACTTCTTATTTATATGATAATTTTTCTTGAGTTTTTAATGAGTACTACACTTACTGATGGTTTTATAATCAGCATGGTGATATTGCAGGTTTGCAAGTTACAAGAACAGCTAGAAACTACAATACAGAAACTGGAAGAAAGCAAGCAGTTATTGAAAACCAACGAAAATGGTAGGTTTATACTATTTTATCTGTAAAATGATATGATGATTAAGCTGCTACTGAAAAGTAATGGAAGGCAACTTTACTGATATGTCTGTTTGCTTTGTTGTGAAGAGTTGCACTTCCTTCATGCTGTTGCTTTTCTGTGAGGAAAGGCTTGACCTTTCTTCCATCTCTTTAGTAATCACGTGGCTAAACAAACAGCTGAATGAAGTTCAGATGGTAAAGAAGATGGAGACTCCCAGCAGCACGCAGGGTGGTGTCAGGACTGCCCTGTCACCTCACAGCATGGTAAGAAACAAGTATAGATAACACTCATCATTTCTTTGAATGCATGGCCTAAAAAAAGCCTTTTTTCTTTTAATCCTGTATTGGCAGTTTGTTTGTTTTACTATTATGACATAAATAGTTCCTTGATTGCTAGCTGAGGTGCTGGCCCTAGGGGTTATTTTTGAAGCTCTTATTTATGAAAATTCATCTAGCAATACTAGAACTTACTTTGAGAATGTAAAGCATGGGATGAAAACAAAACAAACCCTCAACGTTTGTGTTGTGCATACTTATAAATCCATACAAAGATCATTAGTGAATTTTAGGTTTGGATATTGCTATTAGGGAGATTTAGAAATGTGAAAATACAAAATTAAAAAAAAAAAAGCTCAGACTATTTTTGTTAAGAACAAAGATAGGTTAATGCTTCCTGTACTCTTTTGTCCCTATGTGTACACAGATGTCTGTCTCAGTTAGCAACTAATGAGTTTCTTAGTAATAGAAGGTTATATTCAAGCAAAGATGTCTGACTTACAGATACATGCCTTGTAATTGATTAATATATTAAATATGACTTCTTTTAGAATAAGTTAAAATAGCAGCACAAGTTAAAATAGTAATTATATTACAAGTTTTAAAAAGCTACTGTTTTTCCTTAAGAACAGGCTCTTGGAAAAGGTTTGCTTCCTCTCCCATTAGAAAGACTAACCTGGTTTAAGTGTTAACTTTGCAAATGTGGCTTCTGTTCAGCAAATGCATTTCAATAATTGTTCTTCTCCTTTGTGGATGTACTCTATTTTTCTTATTAATGTATTCTCTCTACAGCTTGACCGACCTTCCTTTCCCAGCTCAGGAATCAGTCATCCCATTTCTCCCTTCTATGCCTTCCAGAAGTTTGCAGAACCAGCGCGTAACAAAAACACCAGCCCCCACTGTCCAGTACCAAAGGTAGGCATTTGGGCTTTTCTGCCTGACTAAGAATGTAACAGCTTAGAAGTATCAAAGCTTATTCTTCTGAATCTTTCTCAGAATGCATTAATACTTACTGTATATCCCAGCACTGCTTAATAGGGGACAGTATGATGACTACTAGTCAGCATGCTTTTCTGTCCTTCAGTGCTGTTCAAGGTAAGGAGAACTGAATCCTCACAAAGCCCTCTCTGAATACCAGATGCTGCTGCACCATTGTGTCTGGAGTAGCTCTGTTTAACCTGCAATTCTTTTGTTTCTGCAGATTCAATTTAACTCACAGGTTTCAAAAATAGATCAGCATTCAGATGTTCAGGCAGTGACTGCAGCAACTGGTCATCCAGCAAATAAGGAAAAGTAAGTATCATCCATTGCATTTTTAGCTGCTTTTTTCCTCTTTTATAAAGCCCTTTGTCTTCTGTGGATATCTGGAATTGTACAAAACACCTCCAATACCAAGCTCATTCTCTGAGCTGCTTTTCGTCACTCCCATGTTTATGAATTCAAAGTTGCAGTCAACTTACTGCTCACTAAGCATGGTTTGTAGGCCACAGATGAAGACTGTTGCTTTCAGGAGGTCCCGCAGCAGTTTGTCCCTTCTGGTGACAAGTCTGTGGCTACCAGGTGATAGTCAGACCATTAGTTGCAGATGGTTCTCATTTACTCAGTCATAGCTAACACTTAAATGATAAATTTCATAAGAACTCTGGTTCTACTTCAGTTGTTTTTTGTTGAATGAGCCTCTATCCACCATTGCTGTTCATCTGCTGTTAACTATGTTTTGTTTTATTTCTAGCGGTGATAACTTGGGGCTGGAATCCAAGTATTTCAAGAAAAAAGAAGACAGCATTCCTTTACGAGGGCTTAGTCAAAATACACTTAACTCAGGTATGTTTGCAAATAGTTAAACAAGACCTTATTTGAGATGTACTTAGAACCGTAACTATTGTTACCCTGTATGAACACTATCGTGTTTCTGCTCTTCTACAGAGTACTTGAAACCCTACTTACCAAAAGTCCAGCCGTCACCACCAGCTGCAGTGACAACAGCCTCAGCTTATTTTCCAGGATAGTAGCCAGGCATATTAAGAACTGTCTTTTAACTGTTTGGGGGATATGAAGATGTCCTACACTGACATTAGTAAAGGTATCAGGGTGAACTGACAATTTTGGCTGAATCGATTTTCTTTAAGGTATCTTATCTTATTTGGAGCCTTTTCAGCTGATTCAGAAAAGACAGTGCTTTAAGCAGCCTCAACCACTGTACTTCAGTCACTGAATTAAGTGCTGCATTTTTTCCTGGCCTGTAGTCTTCCAAAAAACCCAAGTAATTGGCACTCACTTTTTTTGCTATAGTATTTAACAAGTGTGACTCTCTAACGAAGTGTATTCTCTGGTATTCCCTGATAGGAAACATGATTCCTTATAACACTTTCCTCTAGGTCCTTCAAAGAAAGGATGTTGCAGATAATTTTCCAGCACTTTCTGGGCTGTTTATTTTAATAACAGTCAAGCTTGTGAGTTAACATGACCCCTTCCTCTCTAGCAGTTTTAATTTGGAAACCTTACTAATTTGAATTGCATATAAATTTATAAAGAATATAATGGAAGATCCTAAACCATTTATACCTTCGGTGAAAACTAAGGTTTAAAGACGTCACCTTGGGCTGCCGTAACTTCTTACCCATCTGCCAGTACTACATTCCTAACAACCAATTAGCATTAAATACTATAAAACTATGTATCTGAACATTGTAACAGATGAACTAAAGCCGACTTGTATTTACTAATCCTACTTTACAAACATAATACTGCACAGAAACCTACTTAAAATATTCTGACATTCAAATTGCAATGGACTAAACCTATTCAGCATGTTCTATCTAGGCTCAAATGCTGGAATCATGTAACTATATTTCATTCTTAAATATGGCAGGCACGTACTTGGAACATCCAAAATACACTTTTATTGCAGAGACTGTCTACGTACTTCTGTTTTTAAAGATACTTCATACCTTAGATATTTAACTGCAGCTGAGGACTGTATATTTAAGTGGTTTGTTTTGCAGTGCAAAATGTGTATATTTGTTTATAATCAGCACCGTGTTTACTTGTATCTGTTTGTTTTGAAATGTACAAGCTTCTCTAGAAATATTAAACGTTTATCAAAAACTCTGAAAAGTAATGCTTTAAGAGTATTCAGTTACCATGTCTGGTACTGGGACGTACCAAGATGAGGTAAATGCCAGAATGGTGATGTTTTACTCACCTTTCTCTGGACTTTCCTCCCAGCTCCTTTGCTCCCCACGCACTGCTGCAGTACCGGCCCAGCGCTGTGCTGCACGTAGGGTTCCCGTTTGGCAGCCACCCATTTCTAAGTTGTGTGCTTGCACTGCTTTTTCTAGGTCAGCGTTAGTGGGTATAAGAAAACTTAAAAGGATGTGAAAAGATGAACAAATTTCAGAACAGGAAAGGCAGAATTGCAGTACACTGAATGTGAACTGCCTCCATAAGCAACTATCACTTATGTAGTTCATATCCATAAGAATATTAAGGAACTGAGAGCTGCAGATAAATGGTGCTGCTGAACAGAACGGAAAATACCTGTATGCTGAAGGCAGCCTTAGCTAACAAATAAAAGTACTCCAGGCTTTTCTCAGACCTACTGCAGTATAAGAAATATAGTATATGACTTTAAGGTTGCAAATGACATGACTATTATTTAAAAATTCATTAAAATATTCAGCTTTATTAACAGTATATTTACATATTTTTTCCTGCTCTTGGTCAACCATGGTGAATGTTCAAAGGTAAAAAAGCATTAAGCAATAACCACAAGATGAAAATGTTTTAAACCTATACAATACTTTATACACAAATTTATACAAAGGAACACTTAAATAATACAACTGGACACAAAAATATACACTTTTAGAGAAATTCACATCTGTCATTGTATAAAGCTTTCTTCTGTACTAAGGGGTCCTGAAAATTTAGGACTAAAACATTAGCTCTGTAATGTAAAAGGGTTACTGTGACAGTCCTCAAAGGCCACTATATATAGCACACTGACATATTCAAGGCTATCAGCTTATAGTTCAGTCTGTATTCAAGTTTTGAGGTCCTTGTATGATTACGCAAACATCAGAAATATAGTGGTATAATAAACAGTATTTATGAAAGCAGAGTTTTAGAGCCCATATTAAAATCTGTAGGCTCAAAACACCCACCTAATATTTAAACAAATGTTTGATACTACCATTTGTTCAAAAATAGAGTAAATGCACTTACATAAAAATAACTTTCACTGTTCAGCAAGCGTGCTTGTAGTTTTTATATTAGTACAAACTTTAAAAAAAAAAAACAAAAAAACAACAAATCCACCATATGACTTTTTTAAAATAAATGATACCAGTTCACCTTTTCCCTACTTGAGTACATTTACATTAAGGCTTTGAATCATCTGACCCAAGATTTTACAACATTAAAATGAATGGGTCCACACGGATGCTAGTATGTCTCATTGAGACTTAGCATGAGTAGAATTAAAGCTCACCACCTTAAGGAAACAGAAGGACACATGCTCATATCTTGACTATATTCTTTTGTCTCTGAACTAGAATGTAAAGTTTAATAGTAACAGTATTTCATGGCAAGAGATAAGTACTTAACTTTTAAGAAAGAAAAAGCATATTATTAATGTAATGGCAACATCTTTGGAAGTTTTTGTTTTTTTTTTTTAATTCCTATAAATTTCATGCAGAAAGATAATTCTGAAGATTACCTTAAGAAGTTCTTTTTGATGGAAGTGGAATGTGTATCCCAAACTGCTGATGAAAAATGTCTAAAAAGTCTTCCTAGATTTTTTTTGTCATACATTTGTGTCTTGCAGTAATGGTTCTTTAGCTTCACCAGGAGCTTGTGGACTGTGGGGATGGCCGTGACTGCCACAGTGTTTCTTCCAGTTGCTGGATCGTACAGTTAGGTTGGTGTGTTCAGGAATAAACAAGGCAACAAGCAGTGCCAGCAGCACAGAGCATGCCCCAAATAAGAATGGGGGTCCAGGAATTATAGAGTTCTGGAAAAAAACAAACAGCATCAATACAAAATATTAAGCTTTTAGATGTGTTAATGTATTAAGATGGCTAAACTACACATTTCGCAAGTGAAAACAACTTTTTCTTCTTCCTACACTTAGCAGGATGACACTTGCCTCCATGGGGAATCTTTAAGAAGAAAACTGGACAGATTACATCTTAGATTTAAGAGAGGGAACATGTGCCATTTCCTGCTGCTTGCTAACTTCTTGTCCTAGGGCATGTTTTATGAAAGAAAGTTGAGCAGTAGGCTCAGTGAAAGTGAGCTGCAGCAGAACTTGATTTTCTGTGCTTTTGGGCATTTGAAGCCGGACATCAGCTTGTAGAGCATGCTCCTTGGGGGGCAGCAGGACAGATTCAAGTCTACGATCTTCTCCCTGCTGACCTGAACTCCTCCTTCCTCTCAAAGTGCCATTTGCCATCTAGAACTAAGAAAAAGGTGGCAGTACACACAATGCAACTGTATGAAAGTAGTGCAGAACAAGTTCTTCTGCAGCCTGAACAATGAGCATTTCCCCAGTCATTCGCTTTCATTGCCATCAAAAGACAGTGCAGTCTTAAGAAACCACCATTAACAAAAAAAATGTACCAAAGAATAGGGAAATAAGGCAGAGATTTTGCTCTAAAATTAACCAGTGAAACAGAGCTAGACAGCACTGAATGTAACAGCTAGAAATAAGCATTGCCTTATCCTGCTGCAGCCAGTACAGACAGCTGCTCTTTTTTCTTATTATCAGTTATGAAGTAAAAAATAGAGGGCTTGGCTAAAAGACTAAAGAACACCACAACTAAAATGCACATGTGAAAAGTAAATACAGTGCTAGGAAACTGCACAGGAGACAAGAAAGCTGGTACTAATCAGTCTGGTTTTTTCCTTCTCTTTATAAGGGGGTTATCTGTTGCCTGTTAGTTGGATCTCTTTCAAAGAGAAATTAACCGCGGTATCTACCTAGTTAAAAAAAAAAAAGCTCTATGAGAGTGATTTAAGAAGCTCTTTTTACATGCTTCATTTCTATTTAGCATCATGAAATGTAGCACAGCATCATGCTCAAGAATTAATTCTGTTTTAGGAATCAGTAAGTAAATGAATACCTGTTGTAACTGGTATTGTGTGACGACAGTACCTCCTGATGGTGATTCAGGCATAGGGAGTTCATTCAGTTCAACGTGAAATATGTAGAATATGAAGCCATAAAGCGCAGGTCCCAAACCATTACATAAGCCTCTAATTCCTGTTATCATCCCTTGAACAACACCTGAGAACAACAATATACACTGTCATCTATTAATATACATACATAAACAGTAATTAAGTCTTTTAAACCAATGCAAATAGGAAAAGCGTCACTGGTGCTGTACCATGGGTAGCATTAACAAGGGCACAGAAAAATGGTCCTATGGTATATTCAAGGCTCTTTTTCCATGTCCCTGCAGGCCTAGAGCAGTATTTGCTATGCCATGCCTATCCTGAGACCTTGTTATCAGTGTCATAGCAAAGGAAGCACTTGACAACAAAGCTAACTTGCATCAAAGTAATGGAAATAAAGAGTGTATTAGTGTTGCTAAATATTTTTCTGCTGTTGAGATTTGCCTGAATGTTCTGCCTCTGGGACAGAAGGACTTAACATGCACACACTGCAGCTTAAACACAGCTTGGATTTTTACAGTTTCTGACCTATACTCAAGTGCATGGGCTACCATGATAATGGATGACTCGCTAGATATGTTTGGCTTCATAGATTTCTTTGACTGGAATTCAGAGGGTTAAGGGAACACCTACCCTGTTGGTCAGCATCAGCAGTTCGTGACACCAGTGCACTTACAGCTGGGAAAGTAATACTGGACATGGCTGCAACAGCTCCTGCTGCCCACATCATCCTGCAGAAGATAGACAGAGAGTAACTACTCCACAGGGACAGAGTCCTGCAGATGGAACACGTATCTATGTATTCATGCATACACAAACATAAGTGTCTCTCTGGGATAAAGGATAAAATGCAGAAAAGCACCACATTAATTCAGATGTTAAAATAAAATATACGTACCAAGGTTCAGATCCAAAGCCGTACCACGCAAGCTGCAGTATTTGAAATCCTAGACCCAGTAGGATGGTGTTTTTATTTCCAATGGACCGCATAAGTAAACTCAAAACTATTGTCTGACAGAGCAGGGAAAAATGTACAAGAAAACAAAAATAACATTTTATTCTAAATGTTAAATACATGCAAATAAATTAATGAATTAAAAAAGCGAAGTTTAAAAGCAGTATTTGCCAAGTAGTCGGGAGCCTTGCCTCTACCAAAAAAATCATCAATTAGAATCACTTAGCAAGCAATATAAAGCTGTCACTCTCTCTCTAAACAAAAGGATTTTGTTATCCCAACACAAAGCACTTTGCATATTTATGAACTATGCTCTTATCTGGCAAGCTGTTCATCCAAGTAAGTTAGTTAAAGTAGGAGTGTTAATCAGCTGTTAGGAGCTTAGAAGAACAGCTACAGAAAAGGCGAGTGAGATTTCTAGATCCAGAACATGGAAGCTCTCCATAGTGCTTAGCTCTTCCCAAGTCGCTCAGAGAAATACTCAGCAGTGACTCACCTGTGCAATAATGGAAAGAATTCCAAGGACTGCTATAAATGCTGCAACACTTTCAGATGAAAATCCCATTATCTAGATACATAAATAAAAAACAATTTGATTACTGAATGTGAAGTGCATATCATGTCATCACACACATCAGTCTAAGAACAGTCAATGCAGAAGTTAATCAACTTCAGGCTAACTTGATTTATTTTTTTCACCAAGAAAAGTATAAAAAAAAACTAGAGAGGCACAAACAGAAAACCAGTAGATGGTTCTCTCATCAATTAACAAAGCAGTCTGACAGAGTGAACTTCATAATCCAAGAATAACATAATAACAAAATATGAGAAACTGAATGCATTTTTCCCTCTGTATCTAAAAACAAAAGAAATCCTATCTGCAGGAGTACTTAATTGCTGCAAACTTTTAAATTATATTTGAGACCTATGCTTTTTGTATTAATTCAGCAGTACTGTAACCTTCTGGTAAATTTACTTCCATTCAAACCCATATCAAAATGTTAATTTACCTGTCTGAGGTATAGGAAGAAGCTGGAATATTGACCTGCCTCTGGGAGGTAGGAAAGAAAGACTGTGATGCAGATTAGCAGCACTATTGAGTCCTGGCCAACCTTCTTCAAGGACTGTGGCAGGAAAAAACGTATTGGAAAATATTTAATCATCATTCAGAAAAAGTATGCCTGATAAAAGATACTGAAAAACACGTCAGCTAAGATACCTAAACATTTTCTGAGCATTTAGCAAGACCTTTGGCAAAAGTGTCAGCAGAAGTGCAAGACTGAAGTATGAGCTTTGCTGTTTTTTTTAAGCTTGAAACATAGTAAGTTCAATCATTGTATTTTCTTAAAAGCTCAGCATTTTCAAATATGAAATACTCTATTATTTCACTAACTTACTGCAAAAGGGTCAGCCTGTTCCCAGGAAATGGGCGCTCCCCAGGACGCCGGCCTCATCTTCTCCGGCAGCGATTCTGGTACAGCAACAAGAATAAAGCAAATGTCTAACAAGGCTATTGCCGTAGCCAGGACCACAACCAAGCTGTCTCCATAGACCCGACCAAGGTAGGCACCGATAGCAGGGCTGGTAACTAAGCTTGCTGCAAAGGTTGCTGAAACCTGAAACAAAGAACAGTTGGTAAGGGTTTCAGTCGTAACATTCAGAAGTGTTAATACTTACTTTCCCTGACTTTCAGAAGCCTGCCCATTTTTATCAGGTAAAGATATTTTTTAAAGATAACTTTTTCCCTGGCTCTATGCAGTGTGTATTTCTGACAAAACTTTTAAAGAGAAAGATTTTTTGGCTAACTGGACGGCAGTGTGAAGCTCATGGCACTCTTAAATGTTCCAACACAAAGAGGTTCAATTAAATACATAGCTGCCTGCTGGTATCTTTAGGAAGTTGTACTTCATATTGGTGAAATAATATTTCAATTAAAAAAAAAAAAAAAAAAAACTAGTAAAAAATACCCCTGTTCAAGGGCATGTTAAATTTAATATGCTGCTTAACCCAACTCATTATAATGGAACTCTCCAGAGCAGTTTTCAGTTACCTGCCTGTCTTTGCAGAAAATGTTACACTTTAAACCTTTGAAGGAACTTTCTCAGAATCCCTCAATCCCTGATGCATACATACAGGAAGAAACAATTTAGTTCCTTATCCCTCACTTTCAGCCATCCCTGCTGAGTATCATCAGATTCTGTACTTTGAATGCAAGAAATGATTCTGCTAATCCATAATATATAAGCCCATGAAAGCTCCTGAGATTTGCAGGTTACTGGGAGATAACAGAGAAACAGAGGTGAGTCAGTAAGAACTTAAGACAGAGGAGTTACCCAGCTACATTTTTTTGAATGGGAATATGAATGGTGACATCAGCAGGAGCAGTCCCAATACTGCAATGACAGTTTGAAAATTATCCAAGAAAGATACTTACATTTTTAAAAAATGACATGGTAGTTAACACTAGTGTGAGCCCCCAGATTACACTGTTAACACTGATGATAACTCTAAGAAAGAGAGGTTTTAACACAGTCATATTATGTTTAAGGTAGAAGTGGAATATTCAGAAGGAGCCACCAACTGGGTGACTATAATTTAAACCTACCTCAGGCTGAAACTGACTTGCCAAAGAATTGAAAATATCAGTTTTTAAAAGCTTTACCAACTGAAGTGTTAAGTAGTGAATAAAATACAAACAGAGCAAAAAAACAACCAAACAAAAAAGCAACCATACCAAACCATAGGCCATGCTTCTTTCATGTTCTTGGGTTATGTCTGCTACATACGCAAAAACCACAGAAAACGTCACAGCAAAAACTCCAGAGACAGATATAACAGCGAAGTACCACCTAAAAACATTGTAAAAACATGAGTAAATAATTAGAACAGCTAACTAGGAGCAAAAAGTCTCAAAATCCAAGTACAGCTCAATAGTAACTGTCTTGTCCATCTTTTCCTGACAAATACTACAATGGCCTTACAGAAGTTGTACAATTGATAAGTTGTGCAATTTCTTTGTGCACTGACCATAAACAGCATAATTTTGTAAAGTGTACAAAAAGCTGTTGTGATTAAGTTCTTACAGGAAACTACACGTTAATGCCAGTAGCCAAAAGCAAGTCAAGAACTCGAGTATCTTGAGAACTTGGGGAGTGGGAGATGTCCACACTAGCCTGATCTTTAGTAGAATGTCATTAGAAACATTAAGCTACACTTTGAAACAAGTTGCCCCCAGGGAAGGGATGAAGTAGCCACGAAGAACCCACGTGACCAGAAAGTAAAACTGAAAAGGGGTATGGAGCTACCTGAACAGTTGCCTCTGCCCTGGGTCAGTGCAGTCTGTTATTGCAGCTACACCCTGAGGTACAGCACACGGGTAGTCCAACAACACTGAGAATTCTGACTCATGCACTACCTGCAGAATGTATGTGCCAGTTAAGAGCTTACTAAACTTGCAGATGGTGTGAAAGCTGATGGATTTTAAAACTAGAGAAGCAAAAGTATAAAACTGCAGTAACACTTCAGTTTACAAATGGTTACTTCATGCATAAGTTTTTCTTTCTTCTAGTTGGTTAATTTTAAAACTAAGTGGCCATAATAATGACCCATAGTAAGTAGTGGCTAAGCAGGGCAGCAGCTCACACTGACTACTTCAGTTTGCAAAGTTAGGGGAACTGAGCCAGTCTCTTTCTATGACTGGGTGACCCACCTGGTGGATGAGGGCGAGGCTGTTCGTGCAGTCTGCCTAGACTGCAGCAAAGCCTTTGACACTGTCTGCCTCAGTGCTCTCCTGGGGAAGCTTGCAACCCACAGCCTGGGCAGGTACACACTCTGCTGTGTGAAGAACCAGTGGAGGGCTGGGCCCAGAGTGTGGTGGTAAATGGAGTTAAATCCATCTGGTGATCGGTCACAAGTGGGGTCCCCAGGGGAAGGTATTGGGGCCCATTCTGTTTCTTATCTTTACTGATGATCTGGACAAGGGGATTGAGTGCACCCTCATTATGCAGATGGCCAAGACAACCAAGTTAAGAGGAAGTGTCGATCTGCCTGGGGGTAGGAAGGCCCTACAGAGGGATCTGGACAGTGCGGATCGCTGGGCTGAGGTCACAGCACTACAGGCTTGAGGCACAGTGGCTGGAGGACTACAGAGCATGCTGGTTAACACTCAGCTGAATGTGAGGCAGCAGTGTGCCCAGGTGTAGTCAGCAGGAGCAGGGAGGCAGTCGTCCCACTGTACTCAGCTCTGGTGAGGCCACACCTTGAATACTGTATTCAGTTTTGGGCCCCTCACTATAAGAAAGAGACTGAGGATCTGGAGTGTGTTCAGAGAAGGGCAACAAAGCTGGTGAGGGGTCTGGATCATAAATCTTATGGCGAATGGCTGAGGAAATTGGTATCGTTTAGCCTGGAGGACGTTCAGGGGAGACCTTATTGCTCTCTACAACTACCAGGAAGAAGGTTGCGACAAGGTGGGGATCGACCTCTACTCCCAGGTAACTAAGTGATAGAATGAGAAGGAAAGGCCTGAAGTTGCACCAGGGGAGGTACAGTTGGATATTACGAAAAACTTATTCTCCAAAAGAGAGGAGTGAACTGGAATGGGAGGTGGTTGAGTCACTGCTCTGGAGGTGTTCAAGAAACATGTAGATAAGGTGCTAAGGGCAACATCAGTAGTAGGTGGATGATTCTATGATTTTGTAATGTTACACGGAGCCCAAACAATATTTTATCAATAATACTACAAACAAGTGTTAGATAATAACCTATACAAGGAACAAATAAGTGTGAAAGAATTTACTAACCATGGGCTGATCTTCATTAGTGGTATTGGTGCACAGGTGAAAAACACTGTTAGCAGCAGGAAGGACTTTCGTCCCCACACGTCAGACAGGGCACCTATGAGTGGGGCACTGAGGAATGATAATAAGCCCTAAGTGAAACAAAACATTTCAGTTAGAACTGAGTGCTTAGAATCGTGATAGCCATCCGTACTGCAAACTGATGGTGGAGTAGGCTCTCTTGCTACTAAAATTAACGACTACAATGCAGCACAAAGGCAGTAGGGTCGACCATTCCTAATCTGTTCCACGTTTGCTAACATGCAAGTTGACTTTTAATACCTCAGAGCTACACAAAACTCAAGACAGATAATCCATCAACTGAAGCAGTTTTAGGAACTGTGCTTTGTTTTATATATTTGGAATTCACATAAGCGTAACTGAAAATACCTTAGTGGAGCATCGAGTTTTAACACCATGTGTGTCATTTGGGATTAGTCAACAACATACACACCAAACACACAAAGTAATACCCTAAGTAAAACGATACACATTAGCTTTGCTGGCAAGATTTTATTCTCACATTCAATTTATACTACTAAAGCTATCTTGAAAAATCTTTGAAATGTTTCTCTCATTGGGTGCAGTCATTTCTAAATCCCACCCATCATTCACCTGAAATTGTGATTACTTTTGTCAGCCTACCTTTACTCCTTGAATTAGACCATTCATTAGAAATGTGTGTTTTGGGAAGGTTTCATGCAAAACCTGGAAAAGAAATTTGAACACTGTTGCTTACACAATATTAGCAATAAATACTGCTCATCATGCACCCACCTTCTACAGCATGGCACACCCACAGCACTTTCTGTTTTCATGGATTACAGAAAGATATTTTTAACTGGAAGGCAGCCAAAATTATGCAAAATTAATCCACACAAAACACTAAGGAAAATCAACTCAGTAACCATTATTATCAGGTTCACTATCCAACAACTTAGTTATAAGATATTTATTGAAATTACACAGAAAGAATACTCCAAAAACATTATATCAATCACCTCAGATAAGCACAACCAATTTACTGAAGGGAGGAAAATAGCTAAGTAGGCTCCTTCGCCATTACTGCTTTGCAAGGAACAGCAGGGTAAATACAATGACAAAAGTGGCCTTTGGGATACTCTGCAGATATTCACTATGCATTACTGATAAGTGTTAAATATAGTGGAGCCTCCCTTTCAACAACAGGTATGGTCTATCTGTATTCTTTTAGTTGTAAAATACCAAAGTGTACATTTTTTTCCTGTAATCTGAACTTTGAGGTTTTAGCTTTACTTGATGGAGGCTTCAGTTCTTTCAACACTTTGAGAAGCATTCATTTCAGCCAAGCTCAATATCTGAAAACTAAGTAGAGTACTGCACAGAAAATCTGGAAAATTATTTCAACTGGAATTCTCCACACACTACTGCTGACTGTGGGTGGATGGACAGGCAGAGGACAACACCATTCTGAAGTGTCTCTCCCAGGTCAGAGACTACAGCCGAGGTAGGCAGGTAAAACAGGCACTGATCTCCAGTCTGACTTGTGTTACCCAAGATGGTTCAGTGGTTGACACAAAATTTATATCCAAGATACTACTCATGGTTAACAACAGCTCACAGAACTGCACCAAGATTGCATTTTAAGTGGGGTTTGCTTGGAGATCTTTAAGTCTTTGTTCCATCTAATTAGTAAATACATGTCATTTAATGGACCAAATCCAAACAGAGCAACCAACTACACTAGGAAAGAATTTGATACAAACACGCTGCTGTGAATGTTTTCACTAGTCATAGGGAGGCTCCAAAGCTTGTTTAAAGCATAGCTACGTCAGCCAAGAGCTCCCTATATACACACACCTGCAGAATTTTACCAAATTTCAAGTTGTTTTGTCCTTTAGCTTCTAGTGTGCTCATGTCTTGTAGCCTCTTTCATTGCTGTCCTTCAGGTTTTGAGTCAGAAAACATTCACAAGGAAGCGTTACCACAGTTCCACATAAATTTATATAACACTGTGACAGATGTTTAATTAAATAATTTTGAATTTCTGACTGTGTATGGAAATTAAAGAACTCTCTTCATTCGCATAACAGAGCAGCTCAATGATGCACAATTTTCATTTAATTCAGGTATTTGAAGCCTTTGCAGTAATTAACCATTTCCCAAACAGCAAGAAAGAACTTAAGCACATCACTTACCACCAGAGTGGGTGCTGTCAGGAGTCCCCAAGCAAAAAACTCCAAGAATATCACTATCACAGCGTGGTAGACACTAGGTGAGCCTATTCCTTGAGGCTAAAACAAGAGGAAAAACAGGTCATTAAAGCATCTGACAAACTGTCAAGAGAAATGCATCTGAGCACTGTAAACAGAAGGGTTAAGAAATGAAACGGAACTCAAAACATCTCAGAGGAGTTGCTCAACCTAATGTGCTGAAGTGCCTGAATGCTTTGTGGAGTACAAAGTGCATTCTCATCTCAAAGAGAAAAATGAACCACTTACACTGTCAGTCTGGGAAACAAGGGTGCTACTGAAAGCAGAAACACTCTTTGAAGGACTGCAATTTTTTTCTTCCTTGAGAAAAACATTTGAGCCCATGCAATGCTGCACAGAAATGAAATTTTCATAATTTCAGAACATGGTAGTATCCAGCTACCCCAACATTTAATTACCTACTGTGCCAACCAACACTGCGGCATTTCTGTTAATAAAAGTCACCATGGCCAAGCACAAAACCTGGTTAACTATACATCAAGAAAGAAACTGACACAGTGGCTGCCAGAAGCAAATCTCAGGGGCAGAACTGATAGTTTTCCAAATACCGCTAGTAATGGGCTTCAAATGTAGGAAGAGATCTGAAAAACAGATTTAAAATAAGAAATTTCAAATTCCTTGGTGATTTGATATAATTAGAAGCAGGTCTGGATGAGAAAAAGAAGAGTGTGGGAGGGATAACCTGCTCATCTCATATATTCTAAAATACTAACTTGTCAAACAAAATTCTGCATTCCCAAATTGAGAAAACAGTGCACTACATATTTTTATAAGAATTCAGTATAAATAACTCATCAGAAATCTTAAATGTGTTGTATAACCTTAAAATGCAGCCTCAGCATCCAGTGTTCCAGCTTCACATAAAGACATGTTGCTAGCAGAGTGGCACTACTTGATGAGACCCAGCACTTCTACAGAGCAAACATACAGCCCAAAGTCCTTGGTTCCTTTCTTTAGGAGGCTGAGGGGGACCTTAGCAATGTGTATGGATGTCTTACGGAAGGAAGGAAAGATGACACATCCTGGTGTTGTCATATATGCTCAGTGACAAGACTAGAGGTACAAACTAAAATACAGGAAATTGGACTCAAACTAGACACAAAGTAGAAGCAGGTCATCTAGTGAGGTTGTGGAAGCCCTGTCCCCATAGCACATGTGGACACAGCAGCACACACTGCTCCAGTGACCCTGGCTGCAGGAAGTGGGGGGCAGGTGATTTAGAAATCATCGGAGGTACCTTCCAAACTCAGGTGCTGTACAATTTTAAGGTCCAGTTAGGTAACATTAGAGTCTTTAATTACAAAACGTACATAAGTTGTATCCAGCTTTTCTATCTGGATTCCAATTTCTCTCAACAGAAAAAATATAAAACTTCTAAACAACTGCAGGAAATAAATACAGAAAACCACAAAGACCATTCACCCCTACAGCTAAATCACAGTTTTAAATGCAACTGTATCAGTACTCTAAAGGTAAGCTAGAAAAGGACCTTCTTACTGTGCAATTTTTCTTTCCCAAACCCTGTTCAGTAAGTGTTCACCCAGATCTCTGCTATTTTTTCTGTCTTATTCTCTTACTGCAGTAAATTAAGTCTTCACAGGTACAGAAAGTGGCTACAATTACCTTGACTTCCCACCATTCCTTGCCCTTTCCACCCATAATCCTTATTTTAGTTTTGGATTAAAATTTCATGTGGCTCTGCACAAAGCATAAGAAACGATCTCAGCTGAGTGCCTCAGCCCACTACAGGAAATCAGGTTCACTCTCATTTTCCCTATATCGCTTTCAAATTGCCACCCCACCAGCTATCATGCTGGGGTGGCAGCAGTGCTGTAACAAACCACCACCCCGACCTTCCAAGTACCACAGGTCAAACCTATTCCCATTCTGTCAAAGCAGTGCCCATCACATGTTGCCATTATGGTGGCAGAAGCAAACATCCAGTGGCATCAAGATCACTGAGTTAAACTGCCTTTCTTTTCTATTGCCAGTGTCCGCTTCTCACAGGTACTATTACTAGTTCTTACCTACAACACCAGATGCAATCTAGTCACATCTAAATGAGATGTAACTCTTAATTTGTCTACTGAGTACTTAAAAAATGCATAATCTTATCCTAGGTGAATTCTAGTAGGTCATAAGGAAAGGCAAAATTACAAATAGCAAGGAACCCACGCAACTGGTGTTACACCTCTCCTTTTGGGCAGCCTGACCACAAACACCATCACATGCTGCTTTCTGTGATACAGCTACTAAACTGCAAAGAGTAACACAAAAATGCGAGTTTCAAAATAGCAGTTCTATGGGATACTGCTGGTACAGTCATCCTTGTCAAATTCGAACATTGAGATGCTGAAACTACTTACTTATAACTAACACCATAACTACTTACTTGTAACAGTAGTCAGCCACAGTGTGCTTCCTCCATAAACTTTTATATAATTCATGATGAAGGGAAACAAATCTGATTACCATACTTAAGGAAGAACCACCCTATGCCAAGTACCAAGATGCTGAACGCGCCACTAGGTCCAGTCAGGGCTCAGGACAGAAGCACAAGGCCCCACACCAGGTGCAGGCACCCAACTGGGCTGGCGGGGTGCTGGCAGCAGGCTGAGCTCTGCAGGAGCGGGCAGGAAAGACACACTGTGTGCCAGGAGCACACCAGCCAGAGCCCGTGGTGCCTGAACCAGCTGAGTTTACAAAGCCTCTATATAAGCAATGAAGTAGTAAACACCAAAACACAGGAATAATCAAACATACACCCAAACCTGCCCATGCCAGGAGAGACGAAAGGGGCAGAAGCAGCAGGAGGGAGAAGCTGGGGGCTCTGGTCTGCACAGGGGCCAGGACACAACCAGCGAGACCACGAGCAGCACCACGAGCTGCCCCAGCCTGCAGTGCGCGACACTTCGCTGCAGGATCCTGCATGACCTGCAGGGCTGAGAGAGGGGCACTAAGTGGATTCTTCTTCCCCTTTTGCTTTGCTTTTTTTTTTTTTTTCCCCAAATCTCTCTCTTTGAACATCAAGATCAGTAAATAGAAGTTACAATAAATTACATTAAGTTCCTCGTCAATAAACTATTCCATGACAGTGCTTCATTAAGCAGCTGCATCCTCTCGCAGGCAAGAGTCACTGAGTTTTCTTTGATGTGAAATGGCTTCAAAATAAACCAATGAGGCTGGAAACTGTACACTCAGACACTAGATTAATGACTGGTTTGCTAACTGCACACGTTCAAGACACAAGCCCTTTTCATTTACCTGTTTCCCATCGTGTCCCATAGCACATTGGGCAGACAAAGAAACCAGGAAGACTGGGCGCAGAGGACCTGACAGGATGTTTCAGCACTGAGCAACAATGGCAATCCAGGCATAATTAAGTTCGTGCTGGCATTATAAAGATGTTACACCAGGTAGCTTGAAAGTTTTAAAAACATACAACCCTTTCTGTCTCTTGGCAAGTATTAGTTGAACGACGAAGGGCGCTTCAAAACACACTGTATCTTCATCAGTGACTGATGGTTCCAGAGAGAATTCACTCTGAAGCACACTGTTATGCAACAACCAGCCCTCTGCTCGTTCCAAAAGGCCGTTCACTACACAGTGACCGTGCACACGTGCCATGCCGGCACCTGCCCTCACTCCATCACTTCCACGCCCCCAGGGGCCGACGCGTCCCCGCGTTAAAGGCTTTCTTGAAATAAAAACACCGCGTTAGAAGGGTACGCATCCAATCTACACTATATGCAGAAAAAAAAGACCCACGGTGACGACGCGTCGTCAGCAACCACTGACGGATCAGATCAAAGATCGGGCTCCAGCCGCCAAAACGGATGACAGCCCCCAGAGCCAAGCGCCCGAATAAAGACCGGCACACAGGAGGGCGGGCCGTCGGAGGAGCGGCAGCGCAGCCCGGCACCCGCTGCTCCGGCCGCTCCCTCACAGGACGGCGCGTTTCGCCCCAGCCTCGTGCCGCCCCGGCCCCGCTCGGCTTCCGCGCGCTCAGCCGTGCCGCGCGGTGCGGGCGACAGCCGCAGGTGTCGCGTTTCCTCCCAGCTCCCGATACGCCGCGCGCCTGTCGCGACTCCGCGCCGCTCCTCGCGGCCGTTCCTCGCGCCGAGGCCGCACCGGGACCGAGTGCCGTCCCGCCGCACGGCGGCTCCGGCCGCGGCTCGAAGCCCGCGGGCCGCCCCGCGCCGCCACCTCCCGTCAGCCGGCCGGCCTGCCTGCCTCTTCCCCCCCCCCCCCCCCCCCGCCCTCCGGCCCCGCCCGGCCTCACCGTCCCTCCGTCCTTAATGATGATCTTTTTGGCCAGCATGATGCTGCGGTTCACGGCGCGTTTCTTCTTCTTCCCCCCCTGGGTCATTTTACCATCCTCCCCGGGAGGGAGCGGGGGCAGCGCGGACCCTCCCCACAGCCGGGCCTGCCCTCCCTCCCGCGCGGCCGCAGCCACCCCTCAGGCACGCTCCGCCATCTTGGCCCGCCGCCCCGGCGCAGCCGCTGCCGCGCATCACGCGATCGCCCCATTGGTCTGCGCCGATCACGTGAGCGGGGCGCACAGCCTCGGCCGTGGCGCTCGGAGCCGCGCGCAAGCGCCGTGTCCCGGCCGTCAGCGCCCCGCCGCTGCGCGCGCGCTGCCTTCCGCGCTTCCCGGCGGCGCCGAGACTCGAACGCAGCGCCTCGGCGCGGTCTCCCTCTCCCCGCCTCCAGCAGGGGCCCAGCTCCGGGAGCCCGAGGAAAAGGAGCCTCCGAAGGCGGTTCTCGGATGCGCTTGTCAGGCGTGCGAGGACGCTTCGAGGGCCACAGGATGGAACCAGAGAGAACCCATTTTACAAATCCGACCTGCAGGCGTTCTGCGTTCTGACTGTCAAGTTCTTAACTCTGCTTACGAAGGATTTAATAACTAAATCAGCAGGCTGCCTCGCGCTCCAGTTCAGCACGCTGCGGGCAGGGCTCGGCCTCTGCAGGGCGATACGGCCGCTGCTGGAGAACATTGTTGAGAAACACCTACTGCTATTCTTTACCTGCAGCATTTACTGGTCTGCAGCTCATTTACCTGCTCACGTCCGACAGCACAAACAGCACTGCCCACACCAACACTGCTACAGGCACACACCTAGGTGCAGCTCTGAGGCGCCTCTGTCCCCATACCAATGTTTTCTCTGTGTTCTTCCACGGAGCACTTTCCCCCACTTGGTCCTCCGTCTTCCATCCCTATTTCCACATATTGCTGTATCCCCAGCTCCTACAACAGCCTGGTTTCTCTCAAAACCATGTTCTTACATTCCCCATCCTTAACAGCAGCTGCAATGCTGACCGCCACTCAGCACAGCCCCGTGCTCTCCCTCAGTTACAGCACGGCAGTGTTATGTTAGCAAAGGGCTGCAAATCACCTGCCACCTAAGTTCATCGGGCTTAAAACAAACCATTAGCCTTAACATAAAGCATCATAATGCAGCTTTTATCTTGGTATGTCATGAGGCAAAGCCTTCCTCAGAACCACGGATTTATTCTGGTCTCGCACGGAGACACAGGCAAGCAGCAATCCAGATCGAGATGCACAGAGCAGACTTACTGGCCTACCCATGGAGAGACTGCTATTATCAGACATTTGTTACACGTCTTAATTAAATTATGTCAAGTATGTGACCATTTTGTGGAAAAATCCCATGCTCCACAGTTTCTCACTCCATAGGGACCTAAGATTTTGGCATGGTTTCAAGGCTGCTCCTCAAAAGGAGTGCCCACATTTTGGTGGGCAAGACACATGCAAACACATCATATGGCAGAAATTAAAGGTTAGAAAGGTTACCACAACTAGATGGCAGCAAAGACATTTTGTGACTATGCTGATTAAACAGCTGTTTTTTCATTCACACGTAATTAGACCATCCTCTGTTTCCATGTCATTACCCAAAAAATAAAATAAAGAGAAACACCCAGTTTGCTTGGTGTAGACCAAACAGATGACTTTAGAGAGAATTCCTAGATTTAGAATAAGCTTCAGATAAATACGACTTGCTTTTGCTGCTGTGAATCGCAGCCAGACACATACCTTCAAACTGCAAACTCCACTTTCCTACGTAAGTCCTGACACAACTCACTCTACCATGATTTAACTGAGAAACTCCTGACAGACATTTAGTTTCCTGAAGAAAAGAAGCAAAAGTTTTGACTGTTACATCCAAACACCTGGCACTGTACTGTGCAACCTTTCATACAAAGTATGAAACTGCTGGGAAACACTGTATATTAGAATTGTATTCACTGTAGTTATTCACAGATCAACATATAAAAAAAATCCTAACTCTAACCTAAAAATTTTGTCACAGAGTTTGAATACACGGTTTATAGTTGGGCTCATATATTTAAAACTTTGTTTAAAATACATTGACAGTAAAGAAAACTTCAGAAATCTAATAAGAGAGTTACTTACAGCAATAAATATGTTTAGCATATAAGCGATTCTTACTCAGCTATCAATTGCCAAGGAAATGAGAATGGAAGACTACAGGCACAGATCAAAAATGTCATGGCCAAATTTTACTCTTGGGTGCAAACATGTAGCAGTCAGTCAAGAACAAGCACTGAACTGCACCTCAGGACAGACTTTTTTTGCTCCTGCAGAGTTATAAATTCACCTAGCAGGAAATAGTTAGGCAAAGGTATAAATGTAACTGAACAGGAAATTTGGATTCACAGTAACACAGATCAGAAGTTATCATCTCATTCATCCCACTTATCTTCTTACATTTTTTTCCAGTAAAAAACCCCTCATTCTAGATAACTAAAAATATATAATGAGCTCACCTGGAAAGAGAAGAACTCTTTAGTTCAAATAACTTCCTGTAGGAAAAAAAAAAAAAAATCAGCATTAAAAATGCACAGAGTACAAACAAAAGTAAGGGTACTTGGATTTTCTTATGCTCCCAGAAGTATGGTGTAACACCACGCTAGAGGTAAACACACCTGGCTGTACACACACACACACACACACACACAGAGCTAACTTGTTAAAATATCGCATTCTTACAAAAGAAAGAAAACAATAATCATCCGCCTCCCTCATAATAACCAGCAAGAAACACACAATGAGTAACAACTTCAAATCTGGAAGTGACAATTGCTTATATATAGCAGAACATATATGGTGATAAGGAAATATATTAAAAGATGAAAGTTACTGACAATAAAAACCATAATAAATGCAAAGTCTCATTTATCAATATTAAAACAGTTTAACAAAATCCATTACAGTCTCTCGAATTAGAGCCATAAAACTAAGTCAGGAACACAAAATGATAATATGATCTTAAAAATCTGAAAAAGGACCACATGAATAACTGAAACGTAAGGATATGCTAACAAAATACAATCATTTCTTTAAGAAAAAAAGTAAAACAAAAGTCTTTAAAAGTTATAGTATAAACAGGTATTGTCTTGTACAAGCAGGAAATAGAACATGAATCTACCTTTTATTATTAAAGCAAACAAAAAGGTAAGCTTTTTTGCAGTTTGTCTAAAACAAAGAACTTTCATAGAACTATACTGTTATCAGAATTCCTTGAGAAAAAGATAACTGGGCACTTGTGGACAGCACAAAAATACAATGTTTAAAGGAAAGTTTATCTTATCTTTAGCTCATGTTGGATTTAAGAGTTTTCACCACTGAACTGATGATTTATTTTGCTTTGAGGAAAGTTCTAATATCTGACTGGTATTTCACCATTTATCAGGTATCCCAGAGATTGAAACAAACGAACAACACAACCCTACTAAGTACCCAAGTATTCAATAAATACTGGTAATCCCATTATGTAAGCCTTTAAAAAAATGACATAATTCAAATTATGCAAATAAATACCTCTCTATAACATTATAAATATTTAAATAAAATTCTGTTGAGTATGGATTAGCCTCCTAAATATACAAATAAACTAAAAAAATCCATTTTCTTAAATTCGGAAACACAGATCAGAAAGACAAGATCATTTTCGGAAAGTTATACTCCTACAGACCACTTTTAGGGCAAATTCAAAGCACGCTACCCCCTGCTTCCCAGAGCTCTGTGCCAACTTGCTACGTTTCTTTGGTTAGTTAATGAATGATAGAAGTAAAACTTCTTTTTCCTCAGATCCAAAAGTATCCCAAAGGGAAAACACGCTTACGCTCTCTGATTGATTTCTGTAGCAGTTGCAACCTTCCTCAAGTCTTTCACCATCACAAGAAGCATACAGTGCCTTCCTTCCCTCCAGAATAATGCTTTTCAGCCTGCAGAGCCCTCAGGCTCTGTAAACAGCTGAGGAAATGCAGCTAAAACTGCAAACTCTTATTTCCTTTACAGTCACAAATGTACAGAGATTTACCCTTCTGCTAGAATATTTAATGGACTGGAAATTGACAGTCCTTTATCTACAGACAGAAGTTACTGATCACTAATACACTATGTACATACATTGTTTTCCAAGGCTGTAAGATGCCATCCTATTCAAAAGCAAAGATCACATATTCCTGTTACTTCCTAAAAACTTATGCTTAAAGACAAACTTGATGCACCTGATATATTAAAACTGTGCAATCCTTTGGCCTATTTGATCCCTTTCTATGCAATTGGTTTTACATTCTTAATCTGCTTCTCCTCATTCTTGAGAAATCCTCAACAAAGTATCCAACTATATGACCTGAACATTTCCACTACTGTGATTTGTGATTCACGAAATTAAAAGTAGGCCAATATTACTACAACACTTGTCAAACTGTTTTGGTCACACACACCTCCCATCACGCACCAAGCAATGCTCTGCGTACATCTGACCTCATGTTGCATTTCAGTGGTGACATGACTAAATGTAATTTTTCACTTAGGCAGATTGAAGATTATAGGTGAAAGGTTAGTAAAGTAGGATGCCACTTTAGGGTAACATTAGACAATTTTAACTACTGAGCAGCATAGCTCTTGCAATTATGGCATGCTGGGATTCACAGTTCAGAAAGCTTAGTAAGCCCTTGGCATAACTCTGAAATTTCTTCACTGTCTTGCTCTGATGCTACAGAAATAATACGTCATCAACAACAAAAGAAAAGACTATTTTTACTTGGCTGATAAAAGTAGATATTTTCCTTTTTCTTTACAATATTTAATTAAATGTTAATTAAAAATCTCAGAGTCCTCTTAGAGAATCCTCTCTTTGCAATCCACAACTAAGTATCTGTGGAAAAGGGACTGAGGTACTTTGGTAAACGTTTTGAAACACCTCTCTCTTCACATCATATTCATTAGCACAAGAAAGAAGTGAGATAGAGCAGAGGAAAAAAGAACAACAAACGTTTTTAACACTCAACTGAATGGGACTACTGATATGTTTCTGTACAATGCATACATATACATATGTAATGAATAGGTAAGAAGTCACCTACATTAATATCCATTGTGAATAGGTCTCCTAAAACCAAGTGATTTTTAAGCCTTTTCTTTGTTTACTGTTCTGGCACTGTTTGGTGCACTTCTTTCTCAGTTGGCTATATGCAAATACTTCAACAAACAAAATGTTCCTAACAGTTGATCTGCATATGTTTCTTCGTGTTTTTTTTTCTTTTGGTTGGAAATAAAAAACCAGCATGCTTCTATATTTATCTATTGCACAATTCAGTACTTTTTCATTCTCTTTTCTTTTTAAGTAATTCCACTACTAGACTGAACAGCCCCATAGAATCCATTTTGGTCTGTTAGCTCAAGGACTCCCAAAACAAAATTAATAATAATAATAATGAAAATAAAAAACTCAAATTATGCCATTACATACAAATGTACTGAGACAGACTTTGAGAGTTCACGAGTCAGTAACAATTGTTAAAAAAAAAAAGCCTCCGTAATAAAATACAGTACAGTACACAGATAATATATCACAATAGCTCAATCTGGAGCTGTAACAGACAACAACAATGCATTTAAAATGTTTATTATGGGCTTTTTTTTTTCTTTAATTGCAGGTAAAAAAACATCCTCAGGGGATATTTAAAGCAAAAAGAAAAAAAAAAGAAACAACAACAAAAAAAGCAAAGAACCCCACTACACTCTACTTTAGAAGTTCTACCAATAAGTTGATTTATAATCAATAAAAATAAAAAACAGTGAACATAACATCTCAGCAAGCACTCCATTATAACCCACCTCATAGTGCCAGATTACTGCAGCAAACTGTGTCCTGTGCTCACAGAGTTATTGCATCTGCTGGAACACTACAGGTTATCCTCATGATGGCTGGAGTATCAACACAGATTTCCAGCTTTCATTCTCAGTTTCTCCCTTTGCATACTGGTGAGAATGTTAACATTCTTACAATAGCTTTATACAAGCAACAGTACACAGATCTCTGTTGTTAAATCAGCCTTCTAAAATATAAAAATATTTGTTATTGTGAAAATGTCTTTCAGTCATATTTCAATTTTCATTTTAATAAGGAATACCTAATTAGAACCATCGCTTTAGAACTATGATGTGCATTCAGTTGACTTCATGTAAATAGACAAACAGTTAAAAACATGTACTAACATTAAATATAGTCAAATTGCAAAAACATACAATCTGACAATGTTGTCATGTGCTCTTTCAAAGAGTGCATAGGACAGAGTGCAGCAGTCAATACAGTAAATTCTTTGATGCAATCCCAGGTCAAAGCTGTAAACATTCCCAATTGCAGTTTCTTGGAAACTTTTTGTTCACTTCAAGTTTTTATTAGCAAGTTGCACTGGGCTTTCCCCTGTCATTTTTTTCCACCAGTCCCAGTCAGTATCATCATCCATCTTTAACCCGTTTGGCTGTTCAAAACTACTCATAAAAATTTCTTCACTCGATTCAGGGTAGTAATCCTTCCCTTGCAGTGCACAATGGCACCTTCCACATGCCATTTTTAGCAAGGCCCCCAGTGTATGATCTTGAGAAGCAGGTTGAAGTAGTCAGCTATGCCTTAATGGGATTTCCTGCAGGTTTGGGATCATAACCATATAGGAAAGTAGCTGCTATTACAAGGATGGCTCCGAAGAAAAAGACACTGAATAGAATAGGAATGGAAGAAAAAAAAAAGTTAGCTGGTTTTAGTTAACATGATTGTATGTAGTACAGTCAAAGAAAGGACATCAATCCTGTGAGAATATAGGAAGAATAAACTACATTCATCCCATTTATAATGAAAAAATGTCCATGTATTTTGTGGAGAAGAATGCAGGAAAAAGTTGAAATCTGTTATCTACATCCAGGTAAGCAAAATAACCTATCATTATACTGACATATTCTGAAAATTAAACATAGTTTCATGGAATAACTGTCAAAGGTAATCAGACTGACCTTTCATTTCTATTCCTTTTGACTAAAGCTCTATGCAAAATGCAAGCAGAAGCTAAAGAAGTGTGACTACTGTAGCCACTCAGCTGTTTTTATTATTTGATACACATCATGCCTTTGGAGCTAAACATGGCTCTGAAATCCAAACTTGTGTTAAAACTAGTTTCTGCTGCCCAAGAACCAGTTGCAAGACAGTCTATACTCAGTTTTGGCAGCTATGAGAGTATTTATATAAGGAAAAGATAATAAAGACAGCCTTTGCGTCGTCACAAAGGGGCCTTTCAAGTTGTTTCAATAGTTACCAGTACATCTTAAAGAAAAGAACCTTGCTGACAACCCGATTTTCTGAACACTAAAAAAAAAAACTGTGGTACACTACATGATAATACTTCAGAGAATACAGTTTGCTTACTTCAGACATGATCTATTGTAGGACATTCAAGCACTAAAGCATTTTATGTCTATTATCCCAACCAAAAATGCTTGTTCAAGTGAGAGGAACAATTAGGAAGTTCACATAAATTCAGCTGGCATAAGAACATATTAAAGATCAAGTTTTATTAAATGGGATGGATTCAAATTTTACATCCTGTGAGTTGGCTCTCCTTTATTTAATTATTCAGCAATTTCCATTTTTATCCTGTTTGCAGAGGCAGCTAAGTTACTTATTAATTTCTATTTGAGCACACAGAACTTCTTATACCACTTTCCACATTCATTTTAATAGGAGGTTATTTAGAATTTAAGTCTGATATGTCCCATTTTTAAGCCCCAATAGTTAACTCTGGTTCCTTTTTTGAAAGTTAAAACAAACCCCTGCTTACATTGTGTATGCTCCTTCTGGTTAAAAAGCTTTTATCAGAAATATTTTTATACCTTGAATGTGTAATATATATATGATAAATTCATGTTCACTATAAGCAAAATCCTATTAATATATTTAAAAATTAGAATATTACTTTTACACTCCATACTTCAAGAAGAAAATCACAATATATCTATGTACAAAACACAGCTCCTAAAATGTTGCCTGGTTTTGGGCTTCTGGGTGCTTACTAATCACTGCAGTGCAATTTTCTGCGTATGACTGGAACAGTTTCTTCTAGGGACTGTTTAGAGATTGGATGAAAAGCAGTATAAATAGATGATCATCACTACTGTTGTTCAGTCATAAGTCATCTTGCAATGAGGTGACTTGTGGAAGATATGTCAATTTAGGAGACAACTAATGAACAAGAGTAATCGCTTTGTCTCAGTTCTTACTCAGAACAGACAGCCAGGGAGAAACTGGTTCCAAGAGCAGAGCCAAACACAGTGCAAGGCAGTCATCAGATAAAAAGAGGAATAGCCTTAACAAACTGAGGAAAAGCAGATGAAAAGAAAAAGAACATAGAGCCTGGAAGAGAGAGGTCTGTCAAAAGCAGAGATTTGAGATTCAATTATTCCTTATCTGTGGGGGGCTCTATCTTACAAAAAACTTAATCTTGATAACTATACTACGACATTTTAGTACTAGTTATGTTATGAGACTAAATTTTTTTGTGGAAGTTGAATCTAACTATTTTATAAGGCTGCCTTATTGTTTATTGTTGCTGTTATATCTGATAAGCATTAAGTTTTCAATCACTGCTTTCTTCTGTACATGTGAAAAATAATTCTTACCTCGTAGGGACAAAATCCTGAAGCCAGAAATAGGAGATCAATGTCGAAAGTATAATAGAGAGAGAAGTTGCAAATCCCTTTAAAATGTTGTCTGCATATTTTATAACAGCAGCAATCACCAGGCCTCCAAGTGCCTGAAAAATATTGAAGTTTGGATTTGCAACACAGTAATTCCACTGAGAATATCTACGTTAACAAAACAGTCATGTTTTAGGAAAAGTCTCTATGTCTAGAAATGTTACAATTGTTTTACGTTACATAAATCCACTTTATTCCCCAATAGAGAAGTTGCTTATCATACTATTAAATACATCATTAATACATTATTAAAATTAGTAGAAAACATTTGTACTATACATTTTTAGCTGTGGGAGAAAGGGCATGTATGTATTTAAAATATATATATATATTTTTTAAGCATTGCAAATGAAATAATTTACATAATTTTATGTTGTACAACAATCATATACCTGTTCTGAATTTCCAAATTTGTATTTAGAAGCTTTTTCTAACAGTGCTACATCAGACTTTTAATTATAGACATCCCAGTATCTTCACCTACACTCATTAATTTCCCCTACCATTTAAAGAAAGGAAATCTCCAAATGACAGAAGCATAATATATCTTACCTGTAGAACAACAACTATCCAAGTAAGTTTATTATATCCTTGAAAAAATCCATTTTTGGACAGCTGCTCTCCATCATATATATATACACCCATCAGTCCAAAAATGCTGCCAAAGAATCCTGGAAATACGAGATTGATTTATAAGTTTCAGGTGAAAAACATGCAAACAGGTTTCCTGTCCTCAAACACTGCTCATACACATCTGATTTTAAAATAGGACAGCTACTTGCAGCATCACATCCAAATGCAAACAGTGTTCAGATAGATAATTATTTCTTTTAAAAAGCAATTTTCTACACTTATCAGAAGTTATGCTTGTCTCCACTAGGAGTTTTTCATATGCATATCTTTCATTGCTTTCTACTGCAATGAAGTGACTTATCAGTTCACTTAGTTTACCAGCAGAGACAATCTCAAAAGAAGCAACTGAGATGAGATAAAAAGTTTATAATTTGGTAAGTATGGTTTTCTACTGTTAGGAGGGAAATTTTCTGTAATCACCTCAGGAATGAAAGTGATGGAGACATCTCCTCTATGACTGATCTAGGCTCTATTCCTCTCCATTCTGTGAAAAGCTCACCACTGTTTTCATTGCATTTCCATCAATTCCATCCGAAAAGGACATTGTTTTGAGTGAAATAAAACCTTGACACAAAATACTTCTTTTTGTAAACGTAATTAAAAATTCAGATTTGATTCACAATAGACTAATTACTTCTCTTTTTTTTCCCCAATTGATCTGCTAAAATAAAGGAATGATAAAGCAACTACTTATACATTCCTAATGAGATACTGGTACATATTTTAAAAACTACCCAACTTTTGTTTCCATTTTTTCTACAACCTCTAAGGATATGAAAATGAAAATTAGGTTTTGATGTAAGTTTTTTTTGTTGTTTTGACTAAAGCTCTATTTCAAAGCTCTTGCTTTATGATTCACTTGCTTCTGAATGACAGTGTCTTAAGTGAGTAGCTATCTGGCACTCACAGGAAGGATACACTGAGGTGTTCTTGAAATTAACTCTGCTGCATTAACATCTAGGCTCTAGAAGATACAGAACTGCTTTGGGAAGAGAAGGTATTCCCTTACTGATAGGTGCATAATAGGTAAGAACATTAAAAGTTAGGATGAACATTTGTACATACGTACATACAGTTATTTGGTGATTATTCAGACAATTAAAAGAAACTGATCTTCATGCTGAAATAATCATAAATTCATTACCTCATCTTTATTCACAAGCATGCATGCTTTTTTCTTGTATTAAAATTGCCAACCTATAAAAACTGCCTATCCAGACAAGAGAAAAAGAATCTCAGTTGTAAAATAGGTTTCAAAGCATTTATTTAGGAACATATTTTATTTTATTTTGATGTTCCATGTTTAATATTGAACTCTCCAAAAAAAAAAAAAAAAAAAAAGAAAAAATATAGTATCCTTTCCTCTATATGTACTTATCTGATTAATCTGTGCAAAAGATACACAGGACACACAAAATCTGCACAAGATAATATTTTTTTGAGCATATTAAGTAAAATTCAATTGACAGCTTTCATGCAAAGTTACAAACACTATAAAATTTAAATCAAGAACTGGGTTGATAGCAGAAAGCAATTCCTAGAATTCTATCTTGTGTACTACTCATTTATAAAGCACATTTATGCAGACCACTACATTTTTGATATTTCATATTTCTGTGAATTTATTTTAAATCAGAATGCAGTATTCCTGCTCTAAGAGATAACTAAAATTAAACTTACCAAGCTGAATGTTTCTTATCCACACAGACTGCTTAGTTTCCTTTAAAATTTTCTCAAAATAAACGCCTGCAAATCCACTAGAAAAGCAAGCTATAAGAACTGCCATCAGGCCTACAAACTGAGATCCTGCTGAATGCTCCTTAGCAGCTGTTGCTTGAGAGTCTGAAGGCCACTGGATGTAAAAACAGTTATTCAAACTTACTGTTAAAATCAAGTCACGAGCATCTATAGAATGCAAGATATTTTTTAAGCAACAATAATAATTACGAAATGCAGACAATCATGCAACCTTTTGTATTTTGCATCACAAATACTTCTAAAGAACTGCAAAGACATAACTTTTCTTACTGTATGCTTGTAAGGAGCATAGTTGTGCCTCAACTGGGAGAAAATCCATCATCTTAAACAGGCCTAGGATTTTACCTGCCAAGCTGTATAAGCCAGCACTACCCTGAATTCCAGCACTACTCAACTCATCCTAGTCATTCATTGTGATTGACTTTTTGCAACCTGTCAGTTGGTTACCTCTTCTATACACAAGTGTAAGTCAGGACACCACTTTGCCCAGATGTCTTTAAGATGTGATAAACTGTCATAGGTATCTGTTCATGATTTTGCATACAACTAAAACAAGCTAAACGTTGTGAAGTATCTAATGCTAAGAGAATAAAGCGTAGTGCAACAGAAAAAACATACCAAAGAGTCTGTTAATTTCTGTCAGGATGCTTTGCTCTTATTTTTAGTGATTAAATTGAAAAAATCTATAAAATTTAATCCTTAGTTTTTCTTTTCATCTTTAAGATCTACAATAAAAATTTCTAGAATACCCTAAAATCTGCTAAAAACTCTTAGTCTCTTATCCCACAATCCCTCTAAAAGCTACAAATTCCTACACCTCCCATCATTTGAAAAGATTTTGCTCTTGAAGAAATTTAAGTCAATTTGCCATGCTGAAACCATACATCATAAGATGAGCAGCAGGACTGCGCTGTCAGAGAAGCTCTGTGAATCCAAACTACTAGTGTCAGAAGTGCACTACAAATACTTTTATAGCTGCTGTTTGCAGGCCAATCCAGGGGCACAAGAACTCAAGAAGAGCTGTTATCTCTTGCTTTTGAACCATTTTTTGTGTCCTCCAGTCATGGCCAGTTGTGGTTTGTAGCTTCTGGCTGTACTCCAGTACCGGTGTGCAGCTGCTACAACCAGGAAGCTGCACAATCAGGAAGCTGCACAATCAGAATAGAAATGCACGTTCCTTGAGTAAACACATCACATTTATTTACCTGCACAAATGCCACTCCTGTCATTAAAATTACCAGCGACAGCCACTGATATATACCCAATTTCTTGCTTAACATGGACACAGAAAATAGTGCTGTGGTAAGAATTTTCAGTTGATATGTAACCTAAAAGAACCAGAAACACTTATTACCACATAATTCATATTTGTTTTTTGAAACTTATAGAAGAATCCAGATGTACAGTACCTGGTATGTGGCTGCATCTAGGTTTGACAATGCTACATAGAGCAAGTTATTCTGAAGAGTGTAAATTCCTGAAGGAATGGCAAGTTTAAGAGTTTCCATGGGCTTATTAAGAATTTCATCATGTAGCACTCTGTTCAGGGTCCGTAAATTGCACTCTACCAAAGAAACACAGAAATAGCCTCGTAGACTAAATGGAGAAGGGAAAAAATAAAGAGCAATGTTCTGTTCTTCAAGACTAATAATTTCCCCCTTTTTATATCTATCACTGCTATCACAAACCCAAAATACTACAGAATAATTGTCTTTTGTAAACCTGAAAAATGTCTTGGTGTAGTCTGGAATATCAGAACTAGAACAAGCTACCTGGGGAAGTGGTTATGGAACTAAGCTTGCTGGAGTTCAGTAAGCATCTGGACAATGCACTCAGACATACAGTCTGATTTTTGGGTGGTCCTGTGAGGGACCAGGAGTTGGACATGATGATCCTTGTATGTCCCTTCCAACTTGGGATATTCTATGATTCTGTGAATTATTCAATTGATGTTAAAATAAAACTTAGCCATATTTGAAGCTGATAACTTAAAGAGTACCACCTACAATGCACATGTTTAAGAGCCTACAGAATCATCAATATTTATGAATACGCAATGTTATTTTTAAACTGTTGAAAACCTAATGCACATGTCAAGGAACTGGATAAATGCAGTATAAAATGTACAAAATGAGAGTAAGCCCAATTTTTTTTTTTTTTTTTTTTTTTTTTGAGCTTAAAATTGTACTTCTTTTTGTATTAATGAAATTGCTATTTCCCTTCTGTATCTGCGTGATTTATTTATAGGCTTCAACATTATCATTCATGCTTCAGACATGCAGCTTTTCATTTTGTCCTACTTTTATTTATAAATTTCTTAAAATATCTGAGCAAAAAACAGGCTTCAAGCTGCTAGCAGAAAATTTATTCTTGTACACCTTAGTATGCATAGTTATTTAAAGAGAACTCACTTCAGCAGACACAAAATTCTATTGGGTGTGTTGAAAAGTGAAGTATGACTACAGTCTTCCCCAGGCTGCCTCTTTAATGAGAAAGCAAAATGCTTTTTTTGTGAGCCTCTACTCACATGGCTGCTTTGCAGTTCCCCTTACAATACAGCATATTGGTTAAGAAAATTATTTGATGCAAAATTGAACACATACTGCTGTCTTTGTAGACCAGTAGAACACAGGACAAAATCTTCAGAAGTTCAGCAAGAACTACTGCAGTAGAGGACAAATAACGAGGTCCTTCTTCTTTCAGTGTCCGAGAGTAACGCATTGTCAACACTAAACTTGTGGTCTGAAAAACCAGGATGCCCAAGGAAAGGTACTTTAAATTGGTAGACATTTCTTTATTACTTTCTTCCTGAAATAGAAAACAAATAAACAAACAAACAACAAATCAGGCTTAAAATTTAATACTGCAGACAGTCATTTTCATTTGGAATCAACATATTAAGTTAGCCAGAGACCCCTCCAGCAAAGGTAAACAACCAATATTATCTGATATTTCAAGAGAAAATGGAGATTATCACTTCAAAAATGTTTTTAAATACATGATTAGAAATGGAAAAGCATATCTGGACATTAGATGAGGTGGCAGTTACAGAAATACTCCTTTTAATTTCTCATCTGTAAAAAAAAACAGTCAAATATGGACTACTAACTTATAGTTACCTTTCCATATACTGGTTTCACGAAATGAATCTTTAAAGTTAATCCAATCACAGATCTCTTTACACAGAGGAAGGTTCAGAAGATATCTTCAGAATAAAAAACAAAAAGCCCCATACTGCAGTACTGCAGAATGCCTAGTATGCCCACAGCAACAGGCTATCCCCAGAATGGAGTGCTTCTCATTCTTCCACCTCTCCAGAGTTTTTCAGGTTGCAATTTCTGCCTTGACAGATAATACAGCATCAGAATAAGAGTGAGTCAGCACTGCCCTAACAGGGTTTCCTTTGCACTTTGCCACCACTTAACACCAAGTTAATGCAAGAAACTAAAAGCAATGCTGCTTTTGGAGACAGTATATTACAAGGATATATTACCATTGCTACTCAGAACATTGTATCATTTTCTGCTGTTCTTTATGTATGTTAAGTACAAAGATGACCCATACACAGAAATGTTCTTCATAAAAAGATTACTGCCTTCACTACCCACTTATTCAGAGCACTGCTTTTATAATGCCAAAACAAACAAACAAACAAAAAACAGCAATTTCAAGAAAAGCAGTAACAAGTCAATATGTTGCATGCAGTTCTTATTTCCAGAAGCCCAAAGCTGATGTGTGTAGTACATATTGGATGCCTGTGCCAGAGCTGTCCCTGTGTATGTTTCACATCTACAGGCAAATGGAGCTTGACTCTTAACTATGCACTTTTGTACCCCCTGCTGAAGCATGTGCTCACACCTCTAAGTACTCTGCAGCTGAAACCAAAGTGTTTCCTCACTGACACAACTTCTCTAGTTCAACAAGGATTTTTCAGAGATCTGTAGAGCCATGTCATTCAAATATTCCTGACTTGCCCTAACCTGTCTCTAAGCTTCAGGAGATTTTCTCCAGTCAAGCATACAAGGTCACAAGAATATCTGTATAGCATCAGTATTTCAGAGGCACTGCAGTAACTTGCCAACAACTACTAACTGCCAAGTCACAGAGATGTGAAGTACACACTCGTATCCTACCAAATAAAATTGTTTACTTCAGAAATTGTAAGGCTGCAAAAATATTTGTAAAAGCTCACTAGCAAAGGAGAAAGAAAAAGATGCCTGGATGCAGAAACAGAGGAAGCAATAATTCCCTTAAGGAAGCTTAACAGAAGATGCTTTTGTAATAACCATGACTTCATTTACCTCACTGAACAAACAAATACTGTAAGTGCAGAGGACAGTATAAATCAGACAGAAATATAAAGATGACAGAGAAACAAACTGCAGCCAAAACTCACTATTTGCTAACTTTTTCCAAATAACGGGTTCTGATGGAATAACCCTTTACATGAAGATAACTGAAATTATGCACACCTAAGAACTAAATGAAGGAGATCTTTTAGTCAAGCAGGCATTTGCTGTAGCTGCAAACAAGGACGAGAAACAGAAGCAGTTTCCTTGAAGAGATGTAGAGGGTCATGAAAGGTCAGAGCTCATACCCTAGAGAAATGCCAACAGAACAGAGAACACAGAAGTAGAAAAGGGAAAAAAAAACCCTCCAAGAGAAAAGACACAACAGAACTTCATAAAAAGATCCACCTGTGCTACTGGACTGACAGCAAAATGAGCATTTAGATGCCAACACACACCATTTCTTCCAGCCATCCCATCTATTCAATTTTTTTAGTATTGAGACATGACAATCTGGGTACAGAATGAACACACAGTGATGATTATCACGAAGACTCCTAAAAGCACACTTACAGATGTTTCTTTTCACTTTTCAAAATGCTTCTGAACAAAATACAGATAATTGGAACATATCTTTGCTGAACTAAGATTAAAATATTTGCATTTTGTGAGCCTGTAAAGTGACAAAATACTTCAGGACTTTCTCAGCACTCAGAGTTCAGTAACTTAACTGAAATAGGTCACAAGAACAAAAATTAACACGTGCATTTCTTGTTGTCATACAACCATCTATTTATGCTTACAATGTAAAGGTGTATCACCAATACATTGCTTATGAGCAATTATCAAAACATTCAGTAGGGAAACATAACAACAAGCACAGCAGTGTAACAAACCCACCGGAGAAGCCATTAGGAACACGTACCACATCATCATCTTGAACCATAGTATTTTCTTGATCAGTAAGCATGATTAAAAAAAAAAGAAACTTCTCCCACAGTAACACCATCAATGTAATCTTGCTTCCAGCAACACAGCCACAAATCCACTTTGTCCTATTCACCGGGCTGCATTCTGAAGCCAGACAACGTATTTCTAAAAAGTGCCAGCAGCAGAACGCATTCCTTCACAACAATTCACCAAAGCAGCTTCAGAGTTTTCAAATTTCAAATCAGAAGGACTTCAAGAGTCCAGCTTCATATCTGAACATAGATTACAAGCTCTCTTCTCAGTGGTCAGCATGACAGGTTAGCAGAGAACAAGCAGTTTCATGTGGAACTAAAGTTAATTGCTCCACAAAGCAGGAACCACATACTTCTGAAACCTACGCACACCAATAAAATTACCACCCTCTGCTGAGCACACATAATACCTTATCAGCAATCCTTGTCTCTCCTCCTCTTTTATAACAGTTGTATATCAGCTCACAGAACTTGGTGCAAGCTGGGGACTGGATCCCAAAGAGGAGCCAAATACTGAAGCTGACACAGCTGACCTGTGCAACTCAGCCCACAGCAGGGCTGGATTCACACATCACTAGCAGGTGAGACACTCACCCAGTTCCTGCTATCCTCATTGCAACAGACTGTGCAGTCATAAACTCAGTTTAAATACTGTCTTCAGTAACAGTCCACACCCTGACACTCTTAAATCAATAACGAGATGGAAGTTCCCAGTACACTGCTTGTACACAGTCACTCCTCCTGGCTTTGATTGCTTACCTGCCTTTGGACAGACTACCCAGAGCTCCGCAGGCCACAAACTCGATTTACACCTGCTAGTTCAAAGGCTGGGAGACCAGCTGTCACAGTAATTCTCAGGCCTTACTGGGTTCCTTATCTTCCTTCTATTAGTTCAGGTAAGAGAAAAAAGAAAAGGAACTGCTTCTATGTAGTTTAGTTGGTATGCCTTGAGATGCACCCTACAGCAGCATGGAACACAGGGCAAGAGGCCGAGGGCAGCCTGTGTGGGAAGTCACTGTGGTGCTATGTACAGCCTCTGTGCACACCAGTGTGCAGAGGCAGAGTGCAGAAGGATGCTCCACAAAGAGCTGTTCTCCTCTCAAATGTAAGGGGAAAAGACCAGGAAAAGGATTTACAGCATGAGGAAACGATTCAACAAAAATCAGTATGGTAACTATTCAGCTCATAAAAAGATCACACTGCATGAAGTTTTAAAAATGTCTGTTCAAAAGGAAGCAGATTTTTTTTTTAAGTGAAAAATCAGCAGTTTCCACTTCGTAGTGTTAATTCAGAATGAATGAATTTCTGATTTGCAGGTTTCTATTTCCTTCAGTAACTTCTCCACAACAGACTAACATTTCACACCTCAGGTTCTATTTTTCTATCATCAAAGTTCTCTCAGTGTCCCAAGTTATCTAATGCTCCACATTCTATTTCATGAACTACCTGAAATACTAGATACAGTCACCATACCTGGCTCACTTTTAATTAACTTTATTAAATTTAATATTCATTGCATTTCTGAAACTTCAAAAATACGTACTAACTTACTAACATACGTATAACACATATACTAAAATATATATTTCTACCAGCAACTAGTTCTTCTTGACTCCTCCCTACCCTCTCACCAGGCAAGTTAATCTGAAAACAAACACACAAAAAAAGTCTTATGGATTCTTATGCTTCCCATATTCACAGTGACAGCACTACACAGACTGCATTCTTCCCAGCCCACCTTTAAAGCATTTTCACTGCTGAGGTTCCCTCGGCACAGAAGTTACTGCTACAGTTTGCTCTTATTCCACATTACTATGAATGAGTTTAAGGTTGCCTAACCAAACAAACAGCACTCGCACTTTATTTACAATACAAAGCTGAGCAGAATGAGACAACCAGACTCTTAACAAAAATGCAGAAGTTCATGAAGCTGTGTGTGCCACTGCACAAGTTCCATGTCTAGGACCTGCCAGAAAGTGACCGCCAACCCTTCCTTCTGTAAGGCAGACTCAGCTTAGCGCAGAGCCAGGAGCTCGCCCTGGTGAAACAGGCATGGACACATTCTGGGCATTCCCTTTGAAATCAGGATAGTAGATTAAAAAACCTAGACTACATTCTCAGAAGAAATTTGAACCCAATACCAATGCTATTCCCACACAAATATAATAAGATGTGAACAAAGAGGAAAAACACAAGAAGAAGGTGGGGTAAGAGCTACCTCACAAAACCTGAAGAAAATACAGGCTTCTTTTTTTTGTTTTGTTTTCCTCCTAAAACTCTTCCTTCTATGCTTTAGTAGTGCAGTGCCTTCTTCCCAGTGCTGGACAACACACACGTGAAGTGCTACTTTCTGTAACACAACTGTATTTCTCAGAGGGAGATTCTACTCTCATACATCTTTTTTTTCAGAAGCCAACATGATCTTCTTTACAGCTAACAGTAATAGCTTCTGCAATACTTTATGTATGGAAATAAATATCCTAGGTGGAACTGAGGGTGCAAAGACCATTCAGAATCTACTGAGTGCTGCTCAACTGGTTTCTGAACAGGATTTCACACATACAAATATTTAACCTCTATCATTCAACAATGCACCTCTATTTTCCCTTTTGCTCCAAATACATAAATCCTTCATACATCAGTCAATATTCCATTAAAATTAATAATGCTGTAAAACTTTGTATTAACCCCACACCCTCTCATTTTATGACACCGTTTTCCATCTTTCTCGTACCAGGTATGTGTTTCTCTGCTGTTCCCCCCATAAGCAATCAAATAATTATCAGCTTCCTCCCTGCACACATACCACTTTTCAACTAAACCACTGTAAAACACCTCATTTTAATACTTACCCTGCTCTTTCTCTTGCGTTTCAGTTTGTTACTCATTCTCCTTGTTTGATAGTTTACAATGTGTATTATTTTTCTTTGAGATTGTATTCTTTTTAGGCGTTACAAAAACTAAATGCACCAGCAAAGTTTTCTCCTATCTTTTATAGCAGAAAGTAACAATGTTGTTTTCTTTCTTCTCTCTCTCTCAAAGGCAGGTTTCATACAGTAGCATTTTCAATTTCTCAGTTTACATTTAAAGGAATCTTAACTTGTGAAAATAAAAAAGCATTCTTGTATTCAAATAATATTTGATGAGAAGAAGACGTCAAGTACAACACAGCAGAACACTGACAGAACTCTGAACCCTGGCCTTCAACAACCACACTGATACCTTTTAGCATCGGCAAGAGCAGATGGGTTACACATTAAAATGTAACTGCTGAAGACCAACCAATGATTTCTTCTCAACTTTGGTTAAGGTCAGGGGCCAAGGACCCTGGAAAGCTGTACCAGTGATTCACTGACAGAAAACTGACATTGCCAAGTCCAACAAGGAAGATGCAATTACATATTAACTAACACCTGTTTTCAGATAGTGCTTCAACTTGTTTGGGACTCAGGTAAAGTTTGCTTCCATTTTTACTGAAATGCTAATGTTTTTTTTGGATGCCCTAGACAAGAATTTTTGGTTTTCTTTTGTATGGAAAAAAAGTTACAATTCTAATCTACATATAAAAAAGTGAAGTTGGGAATTACGAATCTTAAATGTAATAAAAATCTTCATTGTGGCTAAACAGTCTTTAACCCACTCTGTGTCTGCCAAAAACAAACAAACAAACAAACAAACAAAACAACCACCACCACCAACAACAAAACTAATACAAACTCCAACCAACACAAACTTCATCCTTCACAGCAAAGCTAAGCACCCAGATATAAAATTTTCTTGGACTGACGATAATTTAATTTGATGAGCGCTAAATAAAACACATACTGAGCATAAATATTCAGTGCTCCAAAAACGCAGGCCCTCACTGAACTAAACCTAACATTATTACTGCCTATAAGATAAATGAGTTCTTATATGCGCACAGTAGAGCAATAGTTTTATATTGACTTAGGCTATTACGTCAATGCCTGCCTGCCAGCACAGAAATTTGATACAACCTGCCTCTCTTTTTCAAACAGTACACACACTGCATTCATTGTACAGATCACAGTATGGAAAGACCCAGGCAGTGCGCAAGAAGCCATTCAGTTCTGGGTTTTAGTTCAAGTCCCGATTCTTCTGCAAGCACAGGAGTGCAGCATCAGGCTGGGATGAGCCAGACGCTGCTCTGCTGCAGCTCCTGCAGATGTATCAAGGCAGTGGCATGGCTCAATGTGAGGTGCTGAGAGTGAACGCCTAGTACTGCTGGGGTTCAACTGCAGCTCGCAGTTGAGCTATTTCTGAATCACCAGGTTCAGGACAATCCCTGGTATTTATACAAACTGGGAAAAGAACCCCTTGATAGCAGCCTGCAGAGAAGGACTTGGGGATCCTGGTGCACAAGAAGCTGGACATGAGCCAGCAATGTGCGCTTGCAGCCCGGAAAGCCAACTGTGTTCTGGGCTGCATTAAAAAAGCAGGGAGAGGGAGGTGATTGTCCCCTTCTACTTGGCTCTTGTGAGGCCCCATCTGGAGTACCGCGTCCAGGCCTGAGGCCCCCAGTACAGGAAGGACGTGGAGCGGGTCCAGAGGAGGACCACTAAGATGATCAGAAGGCTGGAGCACCTCTCCTATGAAGAAAGTTTGAGAGAACTGGGCTTGTTTATATTGGAGAAGAGAAGGCTCCAGGAAGACCTCATTGTGGCCTCCCAGTATTTGAAAGGAGCATCTAAACTGGAGGGGGAATGGCTGTTTATGAGGGAGGATAGTGATAAGACAAGGGGGAATGGCTTTAAACTGGGACAGGGGAGGTTTAGGTTAGGTATTAGGAGGAAGTTTTTCATACAGAGGGTAGTGACACACTGGAATAGGTTGCCCAAGGAGGTTGTGGATGCCCCATCCCTGGAGGCATCCAAGGCCAGGCTGGATCTGACTCTGGGCAGCCTGCTCTAGTGGCTGACAACCTTGCACATAGCAGGGGGGTTGAAACTACGTGATCATTTTGGTTCTTTTCAACCCAAACCATTCTGTGATTCTATGATGATTCTATGATTCGTGTGCTACAGGCAACGCAGCCACCCCCAGACCCTCAAGCATAGCTTGAGTACAGAGTGAAAACAGGTCTGTAGAGTTATTGCAGAAAGCCAGTAATTACAAATAAGTTTAGATAGCTAAACAGTGAACAGAAAGGGTCTGAACAGAAGACAAGAAGGTAGAAATATTCAAATGGAAAAATTCCAATCTCTTGTCCATCTTACATTCTTAAGCTGGTTCCTAAGAGGTACACATCTTAAGAAACCCCTCCCCTGCAAGCTAACTGCGCAGACCCCTGAGCTCCAGTCAGGGCACTGAGCCTGTGGAAGCACCACACTTACAGGCACAAACTGAGGTAACTGATGAAGAATAAGCCATGGTGGCAAGCAATTGAAGAACAATAAGAGAGAAGAAGCTACATCAAGCAAACCTGTCCCAAGGATCAAGAACGCATTGCCCTCATTTAACAGAGCCAAATCCTGAACTATTTTAAGCAGACAAGTGATTTCATTCACCTTGGTAGCCGATTAGGAGCCTAGAGCATCTCAAGTATGAGGAAGGGCTGAGAGACCTGGGGCTGTTCAGCCTGGAGAAGGGAAGATCAAGAGGAGATCTCACCAATGCTTATAAGTATCTAAAGGGTGGGTTTCCAGGTGGATGGGGCCAGGCTCTTTTCAGGTGCCAAGCAACAGAACTAGTGGCAACAAGCACAAACTGGAACACAGAAAGTTCCATACAAACATGAGGAAAAGCTTCTTTACTTTGAGTGGCAGAGTACTGGCACAAGCTGCCCAGAGGTTGTGGAATTGATGTCTCCGGAGATATTCAAAACCCACCCGGACACCTTCCTACGCAACCTACTGTAGGGACCCTGCTTCAGCAGAAGGTTGGACTCGATGACCCCAGAGGCACTCTCCCACACCTCCAACCCCTAGGATTGTGTGATAACCAAGAAAAGGAATTAGGCCATACAGGCAGCTACTGTATCGGACATAGAGCAGCTTCAAACAATACACTGCTCTAAATAAATCAAATTTATACTTGCTACTACCACAGCCTGTTCTCAAACCTGTATTTTCACTGCACATTCTGCTTCCATGCATCTGAACACCACGCACCCAAAACCAGCAAATTCTTGTCTCCCAGAACTGTAACTCTTACCACAAGTTCATATAATGCCTAAGAATACGTAATGGAACAAAAAATTACAGTTTTCTGAAGGAACAGATTATTGTAAATCAGTTTATCAACAGCTATCCTGTGTTTAATACTCTACAGCCTGTAAAAATTATATGGTGTTGCTTATTCCTATGTAAAAGAAAAGTGCGTATTATTGAGCTAAACCAAGTCCAGCAGAAGTCACCAGGCCAGGCTGCTCCAGCAGATGTCTATACAGCTACAGCTTTTATGGAGTTCTCTGCTGGGAACAACTGAACAGGCGAGGCCCACAGCACGTGCCAACAGGCAATGTGCAGTGCCTGTGAAGAAGGGCAGCCCCGTGGATTTCAGATGAAGCAATCTGTCAACTTACTGTTTGTTCCCAAGCCCACTCAATCAGCCTGCACAGCAGTTCTCTGAGAAGTAAGGGTTATCTTTGATCCCAATCCTTCTATGCAGAGCCACTGTACCAGCCCAGCTTCCTGCTCTAATGCTCCTTTGTAGAAGTTTGTTGCATACACTGCTTACAGCTCAGATAACACAGCCCTCCACTATAGAAAGCAGTCTCAATCTCTTCTACCAAACCAGCTGTAAAACTCTGCCCTGACTTCCAACTCTCTGTCACTCTTACAACATGCTTTAAAGGATTCACTAAAAGACGACACAACTTGCAGTTAGTACCTTTTGGTGTTTCTCTTCCACCTTCCATTCTATTTCATAACACATATCTCATTCATTACTTTAGCATTTTAGGGTGCTTAGTTGTGTTTTTTTTTTAATTAAGCCCTGAGCTTTGTACCGCTGGAGCCTTTCTCAAGTCAAACTCCCAGCGTGATGCCGCGATGCCACGCACACACCTGAGCGCGCAGCTCTCCCGCCCCGCCGCACCCCAAGGAGCCGGGCAGGTGAGCCGCCCCGCCCCGCGGCCAGCTGCCTCCACACAGCCCCACCTTCCCGCTCCCGCCCAGGCCACGCCGCTCACTGACACCTCGGTGTCCCCCTCCGTCCCGTTGTTCCCCTCTCTCACCCCGTCCGGCCCCAGCCCTCCCAACGGCCCGCTTCCCATTCAGCCCCCGGCCCAGACGCCTCCCGCTTCCACGCTCCCCAGGCCTCCCTCAGGCCTCCGCCCCCAGACCCGCGCGGGTCAGCCCGGCCGGGCTTCCGCCGCCGTTCCCGGACCGAGCCCCCCACCCGCGGCCCGGCCGGCTCGCAGCTCGCCCCTCACCGCCGGCCCGGCTCGCCGCAGCCACCGGGCGCTTCCGGGTGCCGTCCCGCAAAAGCTCCGGCTGCAGCCGTGGCCCCGCCCGCTCCGTTCCCAGGGCCGCGGCGTGCCTCCCGCCCGGCCCCGAGCCGCTCCGGCGGAGCGCGGGAGGGCAGAGCCCGCGCGCAGGGCGGGAGCAGCGCCGCAGCCGCCCCCCGCGGCCCGCCGCCAGCGCAGCGGCCGCCTAGCAACGGGGAGCGAAACGCTCGGGAGCGCTTCAGCCGAAGGTCCTCCCGCGTGGGCGCCGCTGCGGCTGCGAGGGACGCGGGGGATTCGCGTGAAATCCACCATCAGTTTATTAAAGAAGTGCAATGCCAGTTCAGAGCGGACGCTTAAATTAAAAGAACGTTATTGCGTAGTCCAAAGAAACAACTGTCAACTAAATGGTGAAGATCGCATTTAGGCTTTTTTTTTTTTTTTTTTTTTTTAGCTTTGCAACCTTCATGTTGGGTATGGATTTGTTACATTCCACTAAAGCCGATAGTATAATATTATTTTAGCATCCTTTTTGCCACCCCATGGAGGATCGCTCACAAGAAGTTAGAGGTCATCTTTATTGTATGCAGTGAGGGGCAGTGACAGTGCTCAAATAAAGTTTTGCAAATAAAACCATTTGTCTGACATTCTGCGTTGGTTACTAACCAGGTATTTTATAAGCATTTGTTTCTCACACCAATCAGTTTTCAGGTGTTCATCATGTTTTCCACTGGACATAAAAATAATTTAATGAAATCATAAAGCTAGGGTACAATACACTCTCTTAAAATGGTGCCTAGAACACTGACAAAAGTAATGATATCTACTAATGACTAAACCCAAAGAAACTAATGAAAGACATGACATAGTAACCAGACATGGAACATGATAGCCCAAGTAACATCTGACAGTTTTATGGTGGTGTTGTTTTTTTTTCTTCCTGATATTAATTAATCTAATATTACTGCGTATAATCCACGTCTAGGATGCCGAGCACATCTTCTGATGTTCACATAGACCATTTTGATGTAACAGCAGAGAGTACGAAGGCACTCAAAATGCTAAACAACAGCAGGAGTTGGGGACTGGAGTGTTTCCCAGCAGAGCTCTATAAAAGCAGAGAACAAGCATGATAAGCCAAATTCAAAACAGTTCTACTCATTATTGTTACTAAAAACAGGTCAGTTTTTAGAAAATCTTTACCTGTTACACCCTTCTATTATGTAGATACTTCTGACAATAAAAGTCAACAATAAAAGTCTCCATAAACGTTCAGCAAGTGTCAACAAGTGTTAATGTGTGCCATTTTTTCCTCATGGAGATATTCACTTTTGTTTCCTATGTACGTCCATGGCAGACACCATTCTGTCAGACTGTCCCTCTGCTGCCATCTGTCACATGGCTATAAAATGTGACAGAATATTTTTGGGAAGGTTCAACCCTCTACTGCCATACCACCAACACTGCCTCCAACATCCAGGGCAAACATAATTAAATAGGAGGCACTACTTTTGGAGCAGCCCTTCCACGTGATCACATATTCTAAAATATTAACTCATATATAGGAAATTTGACAGATACTTCACAAATATAAACAATACTTTCATTTTTCTACAATACAAGTATGAAGAAACCAGCAGAAAAAGCTTACCACTTGACTACCCCCTGAAGAAGGTGGTTGCTGCAAACAAACAAATAACAAGTAAGGAAATCTAGAAGAACCACTCTATGTTTCTGAAGACACAGTTTTGTCCATAATCAACAAAATTTTAATAACTTAACCCAGAGCATAGTTTAAGCTATTTAAGAAGGCAGTAGGTTTAGACAGGTAAAGTCTAAACACTTTAGTTACACGTTCTCTTCATCCTGCCTTATACTTGAAAATAAAAAGTGTGGGGGAGGAATAAGTGAAATGTCATTGCAAAATTCAAGAGTCTGGTTTATTAAAAAAATAAAACAAAAACAATAGTAAAGGATTAACAGAGCAGGGCCTACAAAAATCTACTTAGAGAACAGGAATTTAAAATTGGAGGCCAGCAAAATGTAATGGGGCCACAAACCACAATGTAAAGCAAGACAGATTCATACTTAGAATATAACTGATAACTCAAACAGCTTTCCCAAGTTAAAGCCATATTTTTCACAGCAGCTTGTTTAAATATTGTTTAATACAAAGGGAACTAATACACAATGTTATCTGCAGACCAAAGCATTCATAAATTGCTCTATGAACTATCTGTTAGGTTCTTTGTTTATCAAGAAAAGAAGAAGAAAATGCTGTGATGAAAGCTTTCTTACCTGCTTTCCAGAATAAGTGCTTCCTGAGGATCCCTGTAAAGTAATAATAAGAAGCCATTTAGTTCTATTGTAATAGACTCCTCATGAACTGTGTTTGAAGAACACACATTAGTCTTGAAAATGCCCTAGTTTTGTTACTGATTTTCATTTTACATTTTTCCTTGCAGCTTTTTTCAAGTGAATGGTATCATATAAGCACAGCTACCCCTTTTTAAATTCTATTAGCAGTTTCAGAGGATTTGCAAAGCAATGCATCATTCTGGCCAAACTACACAATTTGAAACTGAAATAGTTACCTTGATACTGAAATATATAATTTGTAATAAAATTATCCAATCAAATTTATTCAAATAAGTACAGAGATATCTTTGCTGGAAGGAAGAATGAAAACATCTTCATCCTGAAGTTCAAGTTTAAACAGTATTTTCCAATTTTAATTTATTATCTGGTTTTCTCAGGCATTTAGCATTAACTTTGTGCTCCAGTTCTGCTTGAAGAAAGCTCTAAAAAGGAATCTAACTGGAAAAAAAAAATGAATACTGAAAAGCTAGATATTCTGCAAGAGTCTTAACAAGTCTTCTGGTGAAAGAGTTCTGCTTATTTGAATAAAACTGCCAACACAAAATCTCACAACCTCTGACTTATAAGTAATGCCACCTAATATGGTACACAAAATGTCTCCCCTTTGTGATTCAGGTGGAAGAAAATGTAACAGTTGTGCCCCCTTTTTAATCAACAGGTGGATATATCATATTTTCTATAAGAAAAGCTAACTCTTTTCACCTCCTACCACACAATGACAAGATCTAAATTAAGTGGTTGAAAAGCTTAAAATGAAAATATGAATATACATGTAATAAAGTAGCAACTATTATGACCTTCAAAAAGAAAATACTTTTTTTCCAAGAAAGGCAGAAATACTTACAAAGACAAATGCATATGAAATAATTGAAAAAGTGTTCCCTGAACATAAAGTTTGCTGAATGAATTCAAAGATTGCTGAATTTAAACAGAAATAACTGTTCTGAAGAAATGTCTTATTGAAACTAAAGACCCGATAATCTCATTCTGTAATTACTTAAAAAGAAATTTAGAGAATGACAAAAGAATTCCACTTACAGAGTAAGATGATGACTAAATACTTTTCTTATGCGAAAAAACATAAGGCAAACTTGTCAGGTTTTTACTTACTGGTTTACCATGTTGTCGGCCTCCAGAATATGATGAGCCCTGTAAGAAGAAAATAAAACACCTTTTGTTAAAATACAAAACATTTTATCACCATCTTCAGGCCATTCAGACATGTGCAATACTTAGCACAAACTAATTTGACTGCTGTTTGAACAAAATGTGACTGGGATACTTAAAGCTTCAGCTATCCACTACATCAAAACAACAGCAATATATAATTCTGAATCAAGAAAGCAGTGTTTTGAAACACTGCTTGAAAGAAATGTTTTACACAGAACAGTAATCAACTGATTCTAACCAATTACTTTATTCAACTTGCTTAAACTACTTTAATAAAATTTTTTATATCCATTTACCTCAAAGGCTCAGGAAAACGAATGCAAATTTCAGCATCAAATAACTGACTCAGACAGTAAACAGAAAGCATTAGGATGATGGGAAGAGAATTCACTTACCTGCCCACCATACTGGCTGCTTCCTGAGTAAGAAGATCCCTATTAAGAAGAGGAAAAAAAAACAAAACCAGAGGAAACTTAAGTATTTGCAGAATAACAATGGTTACTCTTTTCTGCTGCACAGAATGAAATATCACAGAAAGACCTTGTGACTGGAGATAACAGCAGGAATGTGAAAAGTGTATTAATCTAAGAAGATGCAATGAATGACTTCTGACATAATTCTTCTATATTGTTGAACAGCTGAAATTAATACATTTGGCAACCACAAAAGATTTGCTAAGACTAGTCTTTGAGAAATATCTGGATGTAAAGCATCCTTCTGGATGGTTCTTTGCAAGGGAAGAAATTCTATTTCATTTGTGAATCTCTGCTAGGTGAGGTGTGCATTCAGAGAACTTTATGTGGATTTTTTTTCCTAATTATTTCAAATAAGCAATGAAGAAGAAAAATGAAATTGGACTATTTTTTAGTATAATGGGATGAAACTTTGGAATCACGGTAATATCAATGGAAAATGTATTCCAATTTCTTATTAGATAGCTAACAAATATGATGGATGCCTATTGGGCCAGTAAAACTTCTCATTCTGTCACAAACTACTAAGTCCACAAAAAGTATATAAGGAGCTGCTTACAGTAAGAGATTTGAATTGCAGCTGAAGATGAGCTAAGTATTATTATTATGGGGAACACACACAAATTTGTATTTTCAAAGCAATATATATTTGTCTGTTTTGCATCATATTTTTGAGTATTAAATCTAAACAAAAGCAAAAATTATTACTAATTAATACGATTGAAAAAATAACACAGAAAATAGATTTTGAATTGCTGCTATAACCATGTGAAACTGAAACATGAAAATGGATGGTTAAATTATCACAAAGTAGCACTGAAAATTGCAATCTATAGAGTCACTTTTCATTAAACTTAATCGATGCTGTTTCATGTCTGTTACTAACATCCCTGCTTTCAGACACCTAGTGAGCATAAATTGACTGACTGAAAAACTTTCTGGCAGTAAATGCACAGCATCATATTTTTCCTTTAATAAGTAACAGGTAGGAAGAACATCTTGAAAGAGGAGTTGCTTGCCTGTCCTCCATACTGACTGCTTCCAGAATAAGATGAACCCTGTAAAAGAAATGTGAAACTCGCACCTTTGGGGATTTTTTTTTTTTTTTTTTTTTTGTAAATACTACCTGGCAACAAAAAGCTAGACCTAATTTAAGAAATATTTATGGCACCAATTAACCACAAGAATATTACATAGTCATTAATGGAGGGGCAAATAGCTCTTTAATCAACACATCATATTAATGGTTTATGCAAAGAGATGAACCCTGTGAAATATTATTTCAATAACTTTTTCAAAGTAAGCAGGCTTCTAAAACTACAGTTTTGGCTACTACTAAAATGTTGTTTCCAATAAAGTCAACAGATATTTATAAAAATAATATATAACAAATTTAAAGGGACTGATTTAATAAAAAGCCAGATACACTTTATGGAAAGCATTGTTCCTATTTCCATGGCTAAACTCAATATCCAATTGCTTCTGGGCAAACGTTGCAAAACTGAGCCACTCTTACTTATCTAATCTGTATCAGTGTGAAACAAACAAACAAACAAAATGCTTACCTGTCCACCATGGTAGTTGCTTCCTCCAGAAGAGCCCTGTATTTAATGAAAAATAGCAATAGTTACTTCATATAAAATTCAGTTTCAGGTAGAATAAAACCACAGGAGAACATCTTGACCTAGCGCACCGAGGAAGTTATTTGCACTGGTTACTAGCATACTTTTCTACTTTGCTGATCAAACAAGTCAATGACTTCATTTCAGTTAGTCCTTATTCTTTCATATTGCTTGCAAAGAGAAATAAGCTGACAGTTTATACGCTGTTTTTAACAATTCTAATACTCAGTGGTATAATCATGGCATGTTCTTGCTTGATTTCATAATCTGAGAAAGGGAATAAATTTTGACAGAAGATAACTGAATCATCTTCAAAAATAAATTAGCTTAAATTTCAACAAAGCAGGCATGTCGTTTTATTTTTTAGTATTTACAAAAGTATAGCAAATATAGAATCGTAGCATCCTCAGAGTTGGAAGGGATCTCTGAAAGCCATCTAGTCCAACTTCCATGTACTAAGTGAACAGAAACACGACAATAACTCTAATTTTTTAAACCTGTTGCTCTGCTCCCAGCTGGAAGAACTGTGAGCCAAGGTTTTTAGATTTTAGTTTCACTAGTTCAGTCATACTGCTAATAACCATCAGAATAGTGGTATTACACAGTCACAAAAAACAGAACATGAACCATGAGATATTTGGGAAACAGAGATTCTTCTGAAACATCTGTGGCCTCTCTTACAAGCTAAAATAAATTAAATGCTTTGAAGCAGTTTATAATGCCCGAGTACTTTACAGAATTGGCACTGGACTATGACTGGAGAACATTACTATTTGTTTAATCCAGAATGGGAAAAGGACAATTTATTTCCCATGCTTTTTTCTGAAAGTAAAAATGCATCTGGATAGCCAGTTTTAATACAATATTGCAGTTGAAAGTCACTTACTGTTTTTTGTTTTTTGTTGTTGTTGTTGTTGTTGTTGATGTTTTTAACTTTATCAGGTCCAAAATCTCTCACTTAAGTACAATGCCAAATAACTTTTATCACTTGCATAAATTCATAGAAAAAGTTAATTGAAGAAAGGTATTCTTTGGGAACTTCCTAGTTACATATTACTATGAAAGCTATAGAAAGACAAAGAATACTTACCGGGCTCCCACCAGGACAATAGCATCCACCCTGTATTACACACAAAACAAACAAACTTATTTTCAAGAAATTATATGAACGTAAGAAGTTTTTGAATTAAGTCAAACACTTATTTTGCTATTGCAAGAAAATAAACTTAAAACAGACTCACACTACACCCTCTGAAAATTAGCTTCTTTTTCTTTCTATTGTCCTTTCAGGCAAACTGTGTGCTGATTGATGGTTTTTTGTTTGTTTGTTTTAATTTAGTCCAAATTGTTATTGAAGTTTATAGTAAAAATCACACCAAAATTGCGAGTAAAAAATTCTGAGCAGCACTACTGAAAAATTGTTGGTTATTACCTTCCCCTAAAAGAAGCTAAAGCAGCTGGAATACATCCAGAACTCTTACATGCTACAGATGTTATGGAAAACACTAAAGATTATTTTCAGTGGAGGCCTGCAAGATGATTTCCAATCTGATAAAAATAAGACATGGCTGAGGTTTGCCAATCAGTGTCTCAAATGCAGCATGGATGAAGAGGGTACGAAGATAAAGACAACTGACATGCAGACAGATGGCTACTCTGGGCCTCTGGGATCTCTGACTGACATGTCAGAAGAAAACAGCACACCACTTAGGCTGTGGGCAAGAAGGACAGCAGTGAGGAAAAACGCTTCTTGTGAAGCAAAGCTACAGAAGGTAAACTGAGTGTGCCTGTAATACTAGCAGGGCTGAAAGGTGTTGAGAACATAAAGCATACCTGTCCACCAGATTGGCTGCCTCTGGAAGGTGAGCCCTGGAATTAAAAAAAAAACAAAGAAACAAATTATTTCTGTGTTACTGAATAACATTCTCACTTATTGTAAACTCTGGTCCTTACTCTTTCAAATCACTTCTGTTTAAAAATTATAATAAAAAATTATCATTTGAACAAACATCAGCTTAAGGAAGCATTTCCAGTACAGCAAAGCAGACCCCTATAGCATTCTCTCATATGATGACATTTCACACAGATCTATTCTTCACAATCCTTACTTAATTTTGCTTAAAGCTACTTTGTCTCAGAATGTTGTTTTACTTCCCCCCCTGAAAAAAAAGTACAGAACAGTCAGTTTTCTTAATGAACTGTTCACCAAAACTGCAAATACTATGAAGGTATAAGTTTTACTTGTCACCTATACTGTCTGCTTCCTGTAGGAGCCATACATAAAGAAACAGGAAAGCATTTGTATTTATTGCACGTTCTTAAATGTATGACCTGTTATTGGAAAATGCAATTTTATTTGTTCTCCGTGGATTTAAACACCACAGGAACTCTTTCTTTAAAGCTATTTTAAAATATTGATTTATTTTTTAAAACTGCTACAGGACAAGAAAGTTTAAATTAAAGGCAGCTTCAGGCAACTGTGCATGGCCCATCTGCAAGTGACTCACTGCTCAGGGCAGATTTGTGTGTTTCATTTTCCTGCATGGGCTGACACAGAAGGTGTCACATTCACCCGTTCTGCATGAACAGTGCTTTGCTTTAAGCCAAGCCTTTACAAAGGACCTTGTTTTTCACAGAAAAGAAGGAAAAGATGAACAACTGAACAACAACCCATATGTAGGAAAAACCAGTTCTCACCTGTCCTCCATACTGGCTGCCACCTGAGGAAGATGGACCCTGACACAAAGAAACCAATTATCTCTATCAAAAGGGCTCTTTGAGAATTTTTGAAAGAAAGGCTACTTTCTTTCTCTGTTGTACAATGAAAGATTATAGAAAAGCAATCATCCTATTATTTTTTTGTGTTCTATGTGAATTAGGGCCTGTCTGTAATGTATGAATCTTCTATAACACTGATAGCACTTAGTGCTCATGAGCTGTTATTATTCTATACATAGTTGCATTTTGGGGGAAGTTACTTGACTGAAAATTTTTATCTTCTAATTCCCTTTCCAATAAATCTGACAAGAAATATTTGCAGAAGCCAAGGGCCAGTTTGATGGGGATTTTGCTATATGAAAGGCTACACCACAAGAAAACATTAGGATCCCATTCAATCCTCTTTCACCCCATAAAAGCATAGAACACCTTCCCCTAACAATACTTAACCTTCCCCTCTGTTCCCTTTCTGAGGCACATCGCTTCTCTGATGCCAGCTCTGAGAGAAGTGAGTTATTTCATTGGTTGATGTAGAGGAGAAATATAACCCACTTCCAGCCGCTCCTTACTATTAGAGAGCTAAGGAACCACAACAGTAGCAGAAGACAAGTAGGTTCAAAATGAGGAGAGTAAGTCAGAAGATAGAACAAGGCTAAAAATATATTTAAGGTGATACAAGGAAGTACTGGCCCATCACAGTTTTTGTATTTTTTCTCACCTGTCCTCCATACTGGCTGCCTCCCGAGTAAGGTGAACCCTGAACATCAACAAAAAAGAAACTGAAACTTCTTTTTACCCAATACCATGGGGCTTTAAACATTTTTCATCAGCCTCATGAAGTACTAATTTCTTTCAGAAAGATGTGACACGTTACCCCAAGGAACTGTATTCACACATAATTTTATGACCTTTTATGACAGTTCTGCAACTGAGTCAACCACATGATTTACTCTCTATTCTTTCTTAATCTTAAATATGGTCTTCATCTAAACTTGTTTTGTTTAATCACAGTAGGAACCCCAATGCTACAATAAAGATTTACTTAAGACTAATATACATTAAGTTAAGGTAGACAGGTGGGTAGACAATCAATGCACTGAAGTTACGCAAAGGTAAAAAATATTTAAGGGGACTATTAATGCTTACTTGTCCACCATAATGGCTGCTTCCATAAGATGGTGATCCCTGGAAAAATATTAAAAATCTTTTTTTTTTCTATTTCACATGGCATAGATGATTGATGGATATCATAAGCAAAAATATCAGTATTTTGTTATTTCATTGTGGGGCTTTTTTTGTAATCTTCACAGAATAAACTTCGCATTTTGTCTTCCTTGACTACACTACAGAGAATACATCACTATAAGGATTTCCCAACATTAAACTGAGATATTTATCTTGATAACGTTTTACTCCGTAAGATTAAAATATTGGTAAAATACATATCATACAGAAATATTGAAAGTAAGAGCTTACTTGTCCACCATATTGACTAGCTCCAGAAGAATACGACTCCTGTAAAAAAATGCCAAAGACATGAGTTATCTGCTGTAGGATTTCTTAAATTAAAACATGATTCTCAACAGGAGCAAGGTAGCAAGACAAGAGTGAAGACAACTAGCAAGACTTTCAGCATACTTTAATTACTAGATTTTGAGGCTTATGCTATCACTTCAGGAAACACTGAATTGCCAATTCATACTGTTTGTTACTCTTGTATTTTAAGAGCTTCTGTTTTCCTTGATAACTGTACAATACAATGTCATTGTAATCCTGACAGCACTTTTTCTATTGCTATGCAGCCATAATAAGGAGACTTCACTGTCTTTGTAAATATCATGATGAAAGTTATTTTCTGTCTTGCTGCTCCAGATTCCCGATTTCTCTCAAAGAGAAACAACCAAAAAATTATTTGTGGATAATCTAGCACATGCCCCTACATATGCCTCTGAGACAAGTGCTAATCTGATGAAAGATAATCTACTGGAGAAAAATCACATATGCGAATGAAATTCTATCTGCAGATGCGTAGAGTAAAAAAAATATTATTCAGCCTAAATCAAGTTTCTTTGCCACCAAACCAAATAGCATGGCTCCACAAACAAGCCTTTTTGCCCAGAAATGTGTTGTTTGCTGTGTTTTAGGCTTTTTTTTTTTCCATGAATCAAATTCTTTATTTCTGGTAAATCACCATATGTCACTGTTAATTATCAAGCTCAGTATTATCGTCACCTCTTCCATGTCACTGTGCTTGTAATTTTGAGTCAGAGATTCAAGTAGTACACTTTAGTCATCAGCCGGGATTCTTCATGGTACTTAAACACTTCTGCCATAGTCTCATTCCCTCTATGCCTTAGCTTCAGGACTTTCTACCCTACACTGAAAGCTGCCATACCAGCTTCCACAGAAGCTGTTATTCAAATGGCCAGTACTTGCCAGTCCTAAAAAGTATTGGGGCAGAGAACATGGTAACATGAAGAAGTGCTTACCCGTTCATTCTGACGGTTGTAAGATGGCGAGGTGGAATCCTGTAAAATATTAGAATGCAGATATTTCAGGGCAAATACTTCAATTTTGTCTAGTAGAAGGTGATGAAAACTACTGCTTTATCTGTGTGACTTATTGGGACAGTTAAATTTGGAGGCTGTAGGATAAGCAGCATTCCTTCAAGATCTGTCATTGCTCACTTCTGGAAGAGTGGCATTTATTTATCTGGAAACCTGGATGTCAACGCCAAAGCTAGCCAGAAAGGATTGGCTAATTAAGGGATCTCTGAAAATCAAATCAAGTAATTTTATTGACACCTCAGACAGCAAGAAATCTCCTTGAAGAGGAAAGAATGGATTTATTTTTCCTTTTTCTTAATGAAAGAAAGTTGGCTTGAGATCTAAAATGCTGCATATCCATTCATTATTTACCACATCTGTCGTCTTTTTTTTTGTATGAACTATAGTAAGCAAGTTCCACAAAAATAAAGGCAACTACTTGACATATCAAACTCAATGACAAATTTCATTAACTGAGTTTTTGTTCTTCAAACAATGTTCCCACATCAAAACCAAAACTCTTTCAAAATGGCAGGCTGGCTCTTCTTTCAAAACGATTACTTACATAGCTACTGTAACGGCTTCCTCCAGAATAAGATGTGTCCTGAGAAAAATAAATCAGTTATTTTTCCTTAATTAAGTTTTTTGAAGGAAGACTTCTTGAAGGACAGTAGTATATACATCTTTCTAATACATCTAGAATTTTATGCACCCCTATCCACCAGAATGGCTGCTTCCACAGTCCTTTCAGAATGGAAAAATCAGTAATTTTACTTCAAAGAATCTGACTGGAGGACAGGTAGCTTGTGTCTTTCAGTTTAAAATTAGTGAACATGCTAAAAAATAACATACTCGCAAAAGTCTTTTAATATCCGTTCTTGCAGAGTTGTATTTTGAGTACTGCTGCTTTTCCACAAGATCTGTTAAGCTCACTAAGAAAAGAGACAGTTTTGTACATCATGTTAAGCACTTATCAGTAATGTGTACTTAATAAGGAATCCTTAGTGTGCAAAATGGCTTTTCAACTGCACTGTAAAGAAGATACTAAAGGACAACATTCTGAGATAAACTGCAACATACATGTCAGGGAGATCTAAGATCTATATTAAGTACACATAAGCCACTTTTCCCTGCTGAGGTACTGGGAACATCTATACATTGCGGTCTGGATCAGGAGTGCAACTTTGACACAAAATTCCTGATAGTCTCTAGTTGCTACAATTTTGGTTGCTGAGTACTTGAAGAGTACTCAGAGGCAATTAATTGGATGCCATTCAGATAAAATTAAATTTCAGCACATTCTCTAGGGTTGCCTTCCAATAGTAAATTGACATTTGGTTCACTGGATCAGATCTAACTTCCTGAAACATATGAACATCAGTTTGTGAGCAATCACTGTTTCACTCTGTAGACCCGTTCCCATAAATCTGCAGTACTTGTTGATACATAGCCACTATGTTCCCTTGTTTCTTATATACAAACCCTTATTCAGAACTGACATCTGAAGATGGCCAAGTCAGTAAAAAAATGCCTCAGACTCAACCATAGAAAAATCTGTTCCATAGAAAACAAATCCCACCATCAATAATATGGAGGGTGTAGAACACAGATGAGTTAGAATTACTTCCTGACTTTAGATATATACACATTCTTCCTTCTTGCAAGAAAGCATAAGGCTAGTCTTATTTATCACACAGCATTAATTTTGTATGGTACACTCACGTAGCTGAGTCTAATCTGGCTTTATATCAACTAGCTGTCTGAAAATAATGTCACAGATTTCAGTGCTAGGTACAGAAAGATCCAAGTGCTTTTTCTCCTTTAAGTGCCATGCATATGAAGCCAGTAATGTACTGGTGTAACTTTCCAAACCATGAGGAACAGAACAGATTCTGAAGATTCTTAAACAGGTCTCTCCTGCAAAAGAGTTCTCATTTGTATGAGGAGGTTAATATTAAGAAATCGCTGACTTATGAAATGCTAAACTCTTTCTTGCAATGAATGACCTAAGAGGAATACAAACAAAAGACATGATTTGACATGATTTCGAAGAAGGCAGTAGTACTGATTCCCTAAGAAAATCATTATATTGACATGTACCTGTGTTTCTGCCAAACATTTTTCAAAGACTTCTGCCTGAATGAATACTATTTCAGATCTAAAGAGAAGCTGAGATGCAAAAATGTCTTGTGTATATATTTTATAGTAACTAAAGTGGGTTATTATTTTTTTTTTTTTTTAGAAGTGCATGACTATTCAGTACTAACTCTTTTTAATCTCTCTAGCTATCATACTGACAAAACAAACGCAGGGTACCCTTAAAAGGCTGTTCAGTACTGCTTACATTTGAAGAGGAATTACTTCTGAGTGAGGAAGATGATCCACTCTGTAGGGGAGGAGAAAAATAAAACAACAACAACAAAAAAGTAAATTAGCCCTTGTCTTTGATCAAACAAAAAATGAAACAAAACCTCAGAATGCCTCTTCTGTGTTCCTTTAAAGAAAGAACTTGACAATCTGAACTTGAGTTACACTTAAATTTCACTTTCAGTAACTTGCCAAGATAGCCAATAGTCTTTGTGGCCTGTAAGACTAAATCACAAAGAATTGTTTCGTATCTACCCATGACTGATTACCTAGAAAATAAGAATTCTACCCAAAGTGTGGAAATGTCCTTTATATACATCAGTTTGATTGACCACATACTACTTGCTTTGAAAAGCATATATTGCTGTACTTAACAGACTTCAAATACTCTAAATGAAAATCATTACCACCTTTCTTTAAAATATTAAGTTATTTATTTTGGAGAAGGTATATACATTTCTATAAATACTTTATAGCAGTAGACAGCCATTTTTCAGAGAATACATCATGCTGTCAGCTGTGGACATCTGAAATCTCGGCATAATAAGAAACAAATCCTATCATGTCAGTAATGCAGATTGTTACCAAAGGAATAATGAATATAAATTTGTACATTCAAATAGATAACTAAATAACTTAGAAATAAATAGGCCTACAGATAATTTTCCAAATCATATAAACATTCTCTTACACATATATGTATGTATGAAAAAAATTACAATAAACAAATTACACTTACAGAACTTGCACCAGAGCAATCACATCCACCCTGTAAAGAATGCAGAAAATATTTTAAGTTCTCAAGAACAGTACCGAATTGTAACCAGAGTCCATTTTAAGTGAACTGCAAATCCAGTTATGCAAACGATAAAGTTACATACATATCTGCTCAAGTGTTTCTAGAACATAATCTATTTTTATTCTCTGCAACTTTTCCTGCACTTATTACTCTGATGGGGTAAAACTTCCTAATTTTATCTTCAAATTTGTTATCTACGATCATCACCTTATGAACTGTACTCATCAAAAAGGCAAATAAAAAAGTTTGAGTGCTACAGAAAAATTGTTGGTTATTACCTTCCCCTAAAAGAAGCTAAAGCAGCTGGAATACATCCAGAACTCTTACATGCTACAGATGTTATGGAAAACACTAAAGATTATTTTCAGTGGAGGCCTGCAAGATGATTTCCAATCTGATAAAAATAAGACATGGCTGAGGTTTGCCAATCAGTGTCTCAAATGCAGCATGGATGAAGAGGGTACGAAGATAAAGACAACTGACATGCAGACAGATGGCTACTCTGGGCCTCTGGGATCTCTGACTGACATGTCAGAAGAAAACAGCACACCACTTAGGCTGTGGGCAAGAAGGACAGCAGTGAGGAAAAACGCTTCTTGTGAAGCAAAGCTACAGAAGGTAAACTGAGTGTGCCTGTAATACTAGCAGGGCTGAAAGGTGTTGAGAACATAAAGCATACCTGTCCACCAGATTGGCTGCCTCTGGAAGGTGAACCCTGTAAAATGATTATATTTTCATTTATATGATCATCTTTAAGTATGACTTGCCTGTTTGACCAAAATGTATTGTCTTTTACTCTACAAACTGTGTTTGAAATGATCTATAAGATTATGAATCTAATCTTGTCTTCAGAAAAAAAAAAAAAAAAAGAATAAAAACGTGGGCATTATCAATTCTACAATATTTTCTTGAAACATGTACTGGGGGAGATTAAAAAAAAGAAAAGAAAAATTTCCCACCTGCCCACCATATTGGTTGGTTCCTGATGAGAATGAGCCCTGAAAAAAATAAAAATCATTTACTTTCTATGTTAAAGATACACATTATAAATAATATTTATTATTTTCATTTGTTTCTTAACATCAGAACATCATTTATTCCACGTTAGCATTTTGAACACTCTGCTTACACTTGGTTGTATACATAAAGCTATACAAGGAAGAAGTATTTAAACACACACAAAAAAATATTCCTCATTAAAAAATTTTCTGTAATGCAGAACAGTCTTTTTGTATGTGTGTGCAACAGATACTTCAAGTGAAAAATACAGAATGTTAGTATTTACCTGTCCACCAGAATAGCCACCACCTTGAGAAGATAATCCCTGAAAAAATAGACACTATTTATTTCTGTTTATAATGGCTTCTAGAAAACAAGACTGTGTTGCTGAATAGTTGTATACACATTTTTATAAAATAGTTTGTTTTTCATAAAATTTATCATTTCTTTTCACAAGACATGATTACAGATGTCATGAGAAATTCTAGAAGTAGACAAGTAGGCATAATTTACTCGTCAGGATCACTTTTAATAGAACAGCCACTTGGGAAGGGAACTGCAAATAATGAATAAAATAGATGCTTACATGTCCACCTGACTGGCTGCCTCCAGGGGAATAAAAATCCTGGAAAAATGTATTGAAAGTACATGAAAAAAAACCAAGACTTCCTTTCTTTTGTATTATGGAAAGATCACTATGGAAGCTGAATGTTCTTTCTTATGTCTCCACATTCCTTAATTTTCTTTCATGGACTGTTCAAGAAAAAGAAAAATTTCTTTCTGCATAGAACAGCACATGCCTCTTTGTCCTTGTTGATAAATGGTCTTTTGGTGAAAAGATATTTTTGGTACAATGACTAGCAAGTTCTTGTACATCCATCAAAATAATTTCCCAGTCACTATATTCTCATATGAATTAATAAAATGAGTGCCAAGTAAAAATGGGAGGAAAATGTAAGTCCTCATAAAACAGCATAAAGCACAAGAAAGCACAGGGTTTTGCACAGAATAAATGCTGGTCATGCTACAGTATGGAAGCCTTTTGCAGCAAGACCATGAGCAAAAATGCACAGGAACCTGAACAAGTAAATTGTGGCATAGTGTTTGTAATGGTGAGACTGAGATTCAAGAGTACACCTCAGCCATCAGCTGGGATTTTTCGTAGTGCTTAGCCACTTCAGCCCTAACTTCATTCCCTCTGTGCCTTAGTTTGAGGACTTTCTGTCTGAAGACTGCCATACCAGCTTCTACACAAGCTGTTATTCAAGTGGCCAGTACTCGCCAGCCCTAAAAAGCACTGGGGCAGAGAACATGGTAACATGAAGAAGTGCTTACCCGTTCACTCTGACGGTTGTAAGATGGTGAGGTAGAATCCTGTAAAATATTAGAATGCAGATATTTCAGGGCAAATACTTCAATTTTGTTTAAGTAGAAGGTGATGAAAACTACTGCTTTATTTGTGTGACTTGTTGGGAGAGTTAAATTTGGAGGCTGTAGCATCAGCAGCATTCTTTCAGTCTGTTCAATTCTGGGAGTGGCATTTATTTTTTCTCAGTTAGATATTCAATATAGAGTAATAAAGGAATGATAAAGCTCTTATTATAATCCATATTATTTCCCCTAAGAGGGCTCTAAGATAAAACAGTAGTACTTTAGAAAATGTCTTGGATTGTAAGACCTCAGTGATAGATACCAATGTTTCTATATCTTAGTTTCTTTCATACGCCTTTTGGCCCTGTACAGTAATACATTTTAGCATTGCTGAATATCCACAAGTAAATTATGATTAAAGAAACTGTTGTGGAATTAATAATAATTACAACTGTAATGCACAACTGAATTTATAAAAAACTCGTGAAGAACCATTTTCTACTAACCAGAGCACTGGAAAACAAACTTATTAGAAATACAGTTAAAATACAATTGCTTAAGGCTTCATGAAAATTAGAAATTAAACATGGAAAGTTTTACAAACGCTTTCAGCAGAATTATTGGCATTTATATGAAAATGCCTTTCCATCTGAATAAAGTAAGCAGAGAGAAAACAGTTCTCACCACAATACTTCACACTGCATATGAATGGTGTGATTTGAAGGAATTTAAATCTCATTTGGAAAAAAAACAACCATAGAAAGTACATACTGTTTGAATTGAAGATGGAAGGAGAGGGAAGTAGTTTCTGCATTAGTGGTAAGTAAAGTTGTAACATTAAAAAAATGAAATTATATAATAATCAAGGGTCAAACAGGATGTGTGTTCTCAAAAAAAAAAAAAAAAGGGTAAGTTGAACTTAATAAAGATTATAAGAGGAACTAAATTTGAAAGTCTTGATTTTGTGGGAAGAAATAAGATGAGACAACTATTATGAGAGTCCAGAATTATAAACATATGGGTTATACTCTTAAGGAAATAAACCACAAAAAGTAACCCTTAAGAACCAGAATGGCTGATCAGAATTACTGCTAATACTGCTCTTGTACTAATAAATCAGTGTTATTTTGTTACATTAAATCATTGAAAATATATTTAAAATAATCCAATTAAAGTAAGAAGAATCTGGTTGTTTTATATATTGTGAGCATATACTAAGGTGAAATTTTGACAGAAAACATGAAATAAAGAAAAGGAGGTTCCATAGTACATGCTACTTCTAATAAGCAATATATAAAAAAAAATGTATGATTGTTACAAATCAGAACTGTTGTAAAGTTCATGTGTCAAGTCCCTATCATACTTAAAAAAAAAAAAAAAAGACAAAAGAAAATGGAACTTTAAATAATCTATAGAGACAATATTATTTCAAAGAAGTTCTTACAGAAACTTACTAAGCAACACAGATTATTAGAATATGCTATGAAAGAACTGTTGAAGATAAAATTGTGAGATAGGTAAAGGTCCACATAAGCACCTAGTTAATTCAAAAGGCAGTACATTCTGAGATTGATATATTAGAGTAGGATTGCTTACACTGTAATCAGATTCACTAACTCCCATGGAAGGTGAATCCTGCAAAATAGTAATGCATTAAAAGAAAATAAAAAGATATACAACTTCACCTGCTGCTTAAACAGAGAAGGTTAAGAAACAACAATAACACACACACAGAAGAACAGAATAAAACTTTCTTGTAAATATGTTCTCTTTCAAACATTTTAGATAAAGTTGGTTTGTGAAATAAACTATTCTTTACATTCAAAAAACTCATTTTCTATGATTTGTTTGTAGGATCTACAATATAAGTAGCAATAAAAAAAACTATTCAAGAAAAACACTTTAGATTATGTCTTATTTTTAATAAATGATTTTATTTGTCTTTGGGTGGTTAAAATTTATTGCTCACCAAAAAAAAAAAAAATGTAGTCCCTACAAAATGGTTTTATAATAAAGTCCACATCAATAAATACAAACTTATAAACAGCATGTCCATTCCACTTGGGCTTCTGCACAATAAGGTGTGTAAATAAATTCACAAATTACTTTTTCCTTTGAATGAGCTGATGCAAAAACATTAAGACAAAAAAAAATGTACTAATAAGAGGACTGACAGTAGCATAGTAAGGAGGAAAGTGCATATAGTGCATTACCTTCCCTCCATCTATTGAAAATATTAGGAGTTGTAGATAAGTAAATCAAAGTAAAAGAGAAACAGAAAGTATCAGACAGTCATCACTTAAAAATAATTGAAACCTAGAAGCCAGTGCATGTAAGAGCCAGCACACCAACCTTCAGCTTTTGATGCATGAGATAAATTATATTTACCTGACCATAAGATGCAGTGCCACCATATGCAGAAGATCCATCCTGTTCAGATAACACAAATCATTTTCATATTGCAAACAGAGATTTCATTGGAGAAGCATACAACTGTAGGAATCTTTTTCTGGGGAGATTTAAAATCTACAAATACTTACTGAGTTCTCAGAATGCATATTGAGCAACTCAGTTATATATCCCTGTAAGAAACTAATTTTAACATATTAATTTAGAAAATTCTTAGAACTAACTGCATTTCCAATTTGGAAGAGACTTTCATCTGGCTGATAATTCAAAGTTCATAGAATGGCTTGGGCTGGAAGAAACTTTAAAGGTCATCCAGTTCCAAATCCTCTGTCATATGCAAAGTTAAAGTTAGTTTTGTTGAGATCAAGCTGCAACCATTGGAAGCACCTCACTTTTTGCATACTCTCCTGTAAACTTCCATGATACAGAGTATTGGCAATTTCACTCCTTAAAAAAAAAATTCTTTATTAAAATATGAGAGTCAAAATATAGAATATATCTGTATATAGGAGCCAGGGCATTGGCCCTAAACAAGGGAGGAACGAAGGGGGGTTAAAAAAAAACAGAGGAATTAAAAAAAAAAAAAGATTTACCTGACCATAGGATTCACTGCCGTTATCACTGACAGAAGACCCTCCCTGAACAGAAAATAAAAAGTGCAATATTTTTAATCTCTAAATTAAGAGTTTTTCTTCTTTCAAGAGCAGTACAGGAAGGAAGATTATGGAAGTCTGTGTTGATTGGACAGTAGGACTCCATAATCTCTTTTAGTCCCTTCCAACTCTGCAATTCTATGACTTTACAAGTGGGGAAAAAATCTTACCTGTCCGTAAGATCCACCAGGAGAGAAGGAAGACCCTCCCTGTATAGAAAACATTCAGTTATTGTTTAGTAGTTTAAATGTCTGATCAGTAAAGATGCTTAGACTTCTCCTATGCTGGTACAGCAACTAGAATATTTACCTGGTTTCCAGAATAAGAGCTGTGGGAATAACCTGGGCCTCCCTGAAAGGAAAACAACAGACTAGCTATTTTCTTGCAGGCAAAATGAATGCATCTGATTTTCATTTTATACCCTTTATCCTAGTTTTGAATTAATCTTTAGTATCTAAATGAAAATTAAGACCAATATTATTAAAATAGAAGAAATCTTCTGGCAGCAATTTTCACAACCTAATAAAATACATGGTATTTTATACATGGTCTGTGATTATGACATTCTGCAGCTAGCATGGTACTGGTAGTCTAGAAATCAGGATAATGGGGATCTGGGTCATCTGGTAAAGGAACAACTACCTGTCCATAGGATCCTCCATGGTAGAATGAAGATCCCCCCTGTGCAGAGAGGACAGAATGGGTTACTGGTTATTATTTGGCTACTCCTTCTGGAAAGGTTTGATATGAAGCTTTTGAATTGGATGCTTAATCTGAATGTTTACCTGGTTACCAGAATATGTGCTGTATGAAGAACCAGGGTCTCCCTGAAGGGAAAAAAGAAAAAAAAAGTTATTTTTATTGTAAACAGACATTCAAGTAAATTAGTCTAATTCTTGATTTCTCTTCTTCCAAAATATTTTCTCTCAAAAGGGACATTTCTGCAATTATTAAAAGAGAACACTGATCATTTTCATTAGTAGTGAAGAAACCTGTTCCTGGGTCTTTTCAGGTTAAATGACCTGTAAAAAGTAATACCTTTTCATCGCAGTCTTTCTACCTGTAGAATAGCATGTTATGCCTGGTAGACTCTACAGTGTTACAGATGATCATGACTCTGACCATGTCTTTGGTATTTGCTAATATATATAGCTTTCAAAGTGTAAACAGACTATTGATCAGATTTTTCAGCTCACCACTATTTACAAAGAACAAAGACTATTTACCAGTATATAGTATCTATTATTACCTAAACATTTGCTTAATGTGCTAAACAGACAAGAAAATTATGGTTGGACTGTTTCCTCAGAGAATTTGTAGACTGAGTTCTTGTCTTTAGAAAAAATATGGAGAAAAAGTGGGATAACTGCAGCATGACAAATTTCATAATCCACATAAGGAAAACCATTATTTCCCTTGAAAAAAAAAAATTAAATGTATTCACATTTAAATCTTAATAAATCTCATTAAAAAATTCATAAAAATGTGCCCGTTCTTTGCCTCTTAATACTTGCTTTATACTGCTCCACTCATATTAGGAGAACAAGAGCTGAAAGTACACTTCACTGACAAAGGAACCTTCACGTGCACTATGAAACCAGTTCAGCCATGTCCATTTAATTCCTAGGTTAAATTCCTAGTCTTTTCCTGATGCAGAGGCACTGCCTCAGAGGCAAGTGCCACTGAACATGAAGTTGCAGTCATTCTCTTTATGAGAAAGAAATACTTCAAATATTGATATAAGAGATGAATATTTGAAATATTTATCAATTTTTGACATTTTTTCATATTTTCAATTTATCTAATATTTTATTAGATAAGTGAGAAGTACAAGGAATCTAATCTGAATGTAATTAATTTTTGTGGTTACAATGAGACATATTGTCATGTTTTTTTGACAGTAATGTAAAATTAGCATGTAGCAGTCAACAGACAGCATTGGTATTACAAAGTACAGATAAAGAAAGTTAGTGGCCAAATGGTAATTACATACTTAAAGTAAAAATCACAGTTACATTTCATTGTATATAATTCTATCTATACTTAGGAAATTATCAATAATATTCAGTTTTACCTATGTATCCATAATTACAAGGTGATTAATTTAAAATATTCTATTATGTAGATGTAAGTATAAATTAAGGAAAAAGAATCACCTGTCTAACACCGCTGCTTCCATCAGGACAAATGCAACCACCCTATAAATAAAAACAATGAAACTGTTGCTGATGTATGGAAATTTAAAATGATACCTTACTTCATATGCCAAACTATATTTAGAGGAAGAATGATCAGAGGACTACAGAGTAGCTGTGACTTCCCTCCAACCAAAAAGAACTAGAGGGCAGCATAGTTCTAGATGTTTAATGTTAGCTTTGGAAGTTGAACTGACATTACATCTCTCAGTGCTGTCTCAATTTTAGATGCTTCATCAAGAGAGAGCAATCTGGGAAGTCAAGACTACCAACATTCATTTACCAATAAGCCATGTGTGAAATTTAAAGTATTAAAAAGCAATTTCATGGAGCCTTTTTGAATAAATGTAATCTGAAAATGGTCATTTAATTTACAATTTAATCTATAACATAGCCAAAGTTCCATTGCAAAATTAGTGCACTTAAACTTTGACTCCCGAGTTTAATTAGTTAAATTACCAGGAAGCTATCTGGACAACACAAGATAACAATAGAGGAATGTCTAACCTGACCACTTGATCCACCACCAGTTGCAATGAATGATCCACCCTGTGAAGAAAACAATCATTTTTATAGAAGCATTTCATCAGATCTAAAGTATGTTTAGGAAAAGAATCCAATGACTTTAAAATACTGCAGTGAGATGTAAGGTCACAATCTTTGTATGACTTCCCCGCACTAAACAAAATTATCCATTCAGAACTCTGGAACATTAATGTAAATGTGAAAATTTACATTTTTGTAATGTTTCTCAATTAAATTTCACAAATAAATTACTTAGTGACTAGGTAAAATACATACCGAATGGATGCCAGGGAAACTAATGAAAAAAAAGTACTACTCATTGGAACTCATGGATCTTAGTATTATCAACTTAAACTCCTTGAAACAAAGGACTATGCTAATGTTACATCTACGTACTGCTTGGCACAGTACAGATCTCCAAGAAACTGATAGGTAGCACTACAGAACATGAAGACTTTTGCAATGGAAGTCACAACATGTATCTTGTTACCAAATTCCAGATGAAACACCCATATATATCTGACCATTATCCTTCACTAGTTTTTGTTTCTAAAAATCAGATTTTAAAACTATTTATTTTGTGTAAGGATTTATTAAGTGTGTCACTTAACACAGAAGGTGTTATATTCTGGGCACTTTATCATTATTCATTTCTGTAAAATTCTAACAGTATGGAAAACAAATTGCCAAATACAGATAAATTAGTAAAAATTAATTTTCAGAAATTGAAAAATAATTTATGAGGAAGACTGCTCCAGTAAGATGATTCAGTAGACACTGTTTTATTACCTGGTAGTTAGTGTGGCTGTTGTTTGAAGTAGAGGATTCATTCTGTAAAGTAACAAGAAATTACTCATTTTTCAGTAAGGGTAATTAAGTAAAATACACAGTTCTACTGGAAAAGAACTACGTATCTCTAAGCAGAATAACCTGTTAGAAAAGCTAGATCTTTATGCTTCTTTTGTACGTACACTAAAGTAGCTGTAACACCAGCAGCAGTTCATAAAGAGTAATGAGTATGTTTACCTGGACATCATAGTCTCTTCTGCTTAAAACATGTGATGTATCCTGTAAGAAGAGAGACATTTGATGTTAAGAGATGGAAATTCTGACCTAGCCATAAGCCTTTTTTTTCCTGTACTCATTATTTATAATTACTCCAGATCATTTAATGCATATATTGAGTAGAAATGCCTTATTATAAAAGATAATTTGCTCAATTTTTTATAGACTACTGCAATATGACTGGAAAGTATATAATACGGTATCTGTATGTCCTTCATATAACAGAAAGCACAATAAATTTCCAAGCATTATGTTTTTACTTCATTATTATATCTTCAACTATATCTTGACTGCTCTCTGTTTGCAAAACTCATTAATTTAAACTCATCATAGCTTGGAGGAATTCTGTATGTGCTTCTTGAAGGACAGAAATTTGAGTTGCCCTGTATCTCACAACAAGTTTTCATGTCATGTATTTTTTTTCTTATATTACATATATGATAGGCATGTACACACACACACCTTAAAATAAGATCCCCAAAAAGAGCAAATGGACAAGCTCTTTTATTTTAGTTTATCTTTAAACACAAAAACATTAATTAGGTCAAACATTATTTGGGGAAAAAATAGAGATAATTACGACAAATTAGGCACAATTTGGATAAAATCCTGCAAAGCAGTGGAAAGAAAGAGATACTTACTCTGACAACAACTTTCCTCTTCACACAGCTAGAACTCTGTAATGAAATCAGAAGCTATTTATTACTTTATAGATGGAGATATCCCCACAAAGTACTTTCTGTAAGATTCTATCTAAAAACGTCAAAAGTAACACATTTAGGGAAAGGAAAATGTCTTCCTTGATGAAGACATTTTGGTTGACCTCACTTTCAATAGGTGATACAGTGGTAAATATTTGTATCATATTTATTTTCAAATAACTTTAACATTGATAGACTAGTTTAGGAGCAAGAGAGGAAGCATCATTTATCTTCCAAAATTGTTGTACTATAAAAATAGGAAAGCAAAGCTCAGTGTATTTTTTCCTGTGCAACAAGTTTAAATTCAGAACTAGCTGCACCATAATGTACGTCTAATAAACAGTGAGATGGAAAAGTCTGTTTTTAGAGTGATGTCATGACCCTCATCCACTGAATTCAGTATCCGAAGAATCACAGAATTGTAGGGTTGGAAGTGACCTTTGGAGATAATCTAGTTCAATGTCCCTGCTAAAGGAGGTTCCATACAACATGCTCACAGGAAAGCAAAGAGTGATTCCAGTTTTGAGTAAATTTGCCTGAACAGAAACAAAAGCAGAAATTACTAATGTAATAGAAAGGAAATTTGGGAAAAGAGTGGTTGAGCACACAGCTGCAATTGAAGAGAAGGCAAGTAGCTGATGACAGAAGGTTACTTTAGATGGCAGTAAAAAAAGGAGAAAATTACAGTTTCTCTGAACAGACAGCAGGGAATAATTGCTTAGTCACAATCCATCCACTTAAGTCACTATTCCTGCTTGCAGGACAGAAGGAAAAGTCATGACTGAAGGAGTATCACTAGAAGGCTATCATATATAAAAGTTTTAATTTAAACTAGTGGCAAAAGATTGAGGCAGCTACATATACAGATGGTTAATTCCAAAATAACTATCCAGTCAAAGTACATATCCTGAAGGGCCTAATAAAAACTCTGCTAATATACATTCTTAGAAGTATTGTGCAGTTTTAGATGATTGTGCAGCAGCCTTGAGAACTAACAGAAAGAACTGAGTACAGAGAAATATAACATCAAACAATCTCACTCCTTGACTGCTTTTATAATACCCTTCATAAAGTTAATTAGTCATTCACTACAAGTAGAGACCCATAGAAGTGCTCAGTTACTGACACTGTCCTTAACTGCAAGAATAAGAACACCGTAGATGAAGAAAAGCCCTTACCCGACTATTAGCACTATATGTAGTATCATTCTGGAAAATAGAAAGATCGATTATATAAATACAGCAAGCTCACAGAAATTCAATTCTTTCCGATGTGTACAGACTTAAAATAAATCACACATGCATCAAAGTTCAAATCCTCCACTGGTTTACCGAAATCAGTTTGAAATTCTACCATCCTCATGTGAAATAATTTTAGCACTAAATTGGTAATAAAGAAAGTGAAAATCATCATCTTGTGATCTCTTTTCCTTCTTTCAAGATATGTATTCAAAACTTATCTATGGAATTTTTAATTATTTTTATAGTTTAATTAATTAGTGTAAAGTGTATCCTTACATTTTGGGGGAAAAAAAATCTGTGCAAAGCAATGGAAATCTTTTTATTCATTTCATCAAGTTAAATGCATTTAAAAGTACAAAATGCATCAGTAAGCACAGGTTTTCAGTAAGAAAATATGCAGCTGCTGAAGCAGCCATCCATGCGAACGCTAAATATTCTCTGTGGTAAACCTGTTCACAAGACTGCATCTCATAGTGCAATATTTTCTCATCTATATGAATAGAGTTGTGATGAAAATATATTAGAGAAAGCATACTCACATCATCACAGGCATTGGGATTATCATCTGAGAAATCCTGTGAATCCTACATGGACATCAAATATCCTGTTATTTCCTCAGTAACATGGATAGTTAAAAAGATGATTTGATCTTGCACTCAGCAAGACAGAATTGAGGCTCATGAAAACAAAGAACTGCTTGGTGAGTTAAAGTTTCTTATAAGAAAAATGGTCAAGTACATGGTTGTAATAGTGCTGACAGGGAACATTCCATCCTTCAGAAGAAGAAAAATGAGAAAGAAATAAGAAGAGCATAGAAATTATTTCATTTTATTAGATCTAAGAGAAGATGATGCAATAAAGTAGGATCTACAAAAATCAGCAAGAAACAATACATAAGAAGAAGGAAGAAGTAGTTACCTGACTATCATAATAGCTGTCGGAGGAGGATGATCCACCCTTTAAAAAAACATATGAAACAAATTACATCAGAGAAAACTAGGTTACAGAAAACCCAATTTTGAGCAGAAGCTTAAGTTTGTAAGGAGTGATGTATAAAAAGAGAAATAAAGTATTACTTACCTGGCCACCGCCATAGTTTTGTGAGTATGATCCACCCTTTAAAATTAACCAATAAAGATCAGAGAAAATAATGATACAGAAAATCTATTTTTTTAGCAGTGGCTAAAGCTTGTAGGATGTGATTTATAAGTATGGAAGTAAACTAACTTACCTGGCTGCCACCATAGTTTTGAGAAGATGATCCACCCTTTAAAACAAACCAACCAACAAACATGAGAGAAAGTTACATTACAGAGAAAGATACAAAACAATTTTAAGAAGAAGCTAAAGGTTGTAGGAAGTGGTGTGTAATTGGTGAAATACAGTACTACTTACTTGGCCACCACCATAGTTCTGTGAGTATGATCCACCCTTTAAAAACAAAAACAAAAAAACCAACAAAATAAAAACAACAGAAAAAAAAAAAAAAAAGAAAACAACTAACCAGCATCAGAGATCATTAGGATACAGGAAACACGATTTTGAGCATAGGCTAAAACTTGTAGAATGTGATGTGTAAGTAAGGAGATAAAGCATAACTTACTTGGCCACTACCATAGTTTTGTGAATATGATCCACCCTTTAAAATAAACCAACCAACAAATATGTGAGAAAGTTACAATAATTAAAAAAAATTAAGCAGAGGCTAAAGCTGGTAGGATGCGATATATAAGTAGAGAAATAAAATGTTCACTTACTTTGCCACCACCATAGTTTTGTGAGTATGATTCACCCTTTAAAATAAAGCAACAACCAATATCAGAGAAAACAAGAATACAGGAATGCTCAATTTGAGCAGAAGCCAAAGCTTGTAGGATGCAATATAAAAGTAAAGAAACAAAGCATTCACTCACTTTGCCACTACCATAGTTTTGTGAATATGATCCACCCTTTAAAACAAACAAACCGACCAACATCAGAGAACATTACAATACAGAAAACCCATTTTGAGCAGAAGCTAAAGCTTGTAGGAAGTGATGTGGAATTAATGAAATAAAGTGTTATTTACTTGGCCACCACAATAGTTTTGTGAGGAAGACCCACTCTTTAAAATAAACCAACCAATCAACACCCGAGAATAGTAGGATACAGAAAACTTGCTTTTGAGAAGAAGCTAAAGCTTGTAGGAAGCAATGTGTAATTGGTGAAATAAAACACTACTTACTTGGCCGCCACCATAGTTTTGTGAATACGATCCACCCTTTAAAACAAACCAGTCAAGATCAGAGAATATCAGGATACAGAAAACCTGATTTCAAGCAGAGGCTAAAGCTTGTAGGACGTAATTTGTAATTGGTAAAATAAAGCACTACTCACTTGGCCACTACTATAGCTTTGTGATCCTCCCTTTAAAATAACAAATGCAAAACCAATGTCAGAAGAAACTGATTTCATTTGGGGATTGCAAAGCTATAAATAAAGAATTGCTGGAGATTATTTTGAACAGTTACAACTTTCTAGTTGACAGTAACTGCAATTCCAGCATCTTAATCAAGCATGGTACAGAATAGCCACCCAAGAATGCAGAACAAATCTGGTGAAAATTTCTTATCAGATACAATAACAACTTTTGACATTAGAAAAAATCAATTTCTCCCTACCTGGTTGCCACCATAATTTTGTGAGGATGATGATCCACCCTGCTAACAATAATAAAATTTGAGTATTACATTACAGATACAATATTGATCAGAGCTTATGGGATCTGCGTGCAATAAAACCTCACTAAGAAGAAATAACGACCTAGTACTTACTTGTAGAGCTGAACTGTATAACAATGCAGAGTTAGTTTTATTAGGTTATAGAGTTCTTTCTGTGTAAGTTTCAGGGTTGATATAAAGCACTGGGGATTAATTAAAGGAGATGGGGAGGTTATGCAAGAATCTACACCCTCATAATTAACAAAATTATACTATGGATTAGAACTTATTAGACAGTTTTGATCAGAGGACAATAGGAAGCAGCCTACCTGGCTACCACTCTGAGATCCATCCTGTAAATTAAACAAAAACTTATGCATAATTTTTACACTTACTGTTTGAATACAGATTTAATGAAACGTATGATACTTTTTCTTTCAGAGGAAGAAAGAGCTTAGGCAGATATGCAATGAAGGTATGATTTCTAACTTAGTTAGAAGCATGGATTGTTAAGACTGCAAAAGTAAATACACCATGAGACACATGGCAAGGTAGCATAAACGTGTTTTTAGTTAATTCCTACTAGTGATATGTTTCATTCAGAACAGTTTCTAGAGAATGTGTATTTTCTTCTCCTGTAGAAAACCATATTTACATGTATGGAATGAAAAATTCCTCTAATAGCATTAGTACATAGGAAGCTTCAAGATATAGGGGCTTTGAGGAAAAGGATTTAAATAAAACACTCCATATGTTTCAAAATGGCCCCTTTAAAAAGGAATATAACTTCTCAAAGTGAAAAAAGAATTGTGAGTAGAATATCTGCCATTTGGTAAAATGGGGCTGAGACTTCATCTAGAAAAAGCAAGAGGAAGCAAACCAAAAAAGTTCTATATTTCAATGTCTAGCAATTTTTATAAGAAACAAAATTTAAATAATTACTTTAGTTTTAGAAATAAATAACTTCTCTTTATAAAAATTTGAAAAATTATTATAAAGAATTTATAATAAATGAATATTTAAAAAGGAATTAAAAAAAGAGAAGAATATTGCTTTTTTATTACAGATTTTTAGCGTTCACATGAAATGACTTCTTTGAAAATAGAAGAAATCTTACAGGATAGTAATTTTTGGTGTTCCAGCAGAAAAAATCATAACAAATATACACTATCTACCAATACCTCATCACACGAACTCACTGAAGAGTTAAAATATTCTCATTTTCAGAAATTTCAAATGGCACTCCTAAAATGTGTTCTCAGAGAACTATGAGCTCCATCCTTCATTTACATAATGTCTCGAGCAGCTCTGAAGTTGATTCAGACATAATGTTAGGGGAAAAAGAAAAAAGAAGGGCATAGGAAAATGGACATGAAGCTCCTGTGGTGCTCCCATGTATAGGAAGTCAGCTCTAATCTCACAATTAGTAAAGATTACATGGACTTGCACTTCATGAATCTGAGGTCAGTACCAGCTGAGTCAGCAGCAAAACTAATTTTGGATATGACTTAAAATTAGAGGAAGTCTATTTACCTGGTGGCAAGGATTGCTATCATATGAAGTACCCTGTAAAAATAAATAAATAAATAAAAAATTAAAAAAATTGGAAAAAAAGTAGCTTTCTTGTTAAAGTTTCTAACAGAACAACAAAACAAAAGTTAACAGAGTTTAATGAGTTTATTTTTATTTAACCCACTCAGTCAGTGGCTCTACCCTCTTTCTATTCCATATCCACCTACTTATAAGCATCAAAATACAGATAATGAAAGCAGGATTATTTGGTTGCAGTGTGGAAAAGTGAGGTAGTTTTGCAACTGACGCTTCTATTAATTTATCTAAGTTCTTCTTGATTGGCAAATATTAACATTAAAGATTACATTGGGTAATCCGTTAAAGAGCCAACAATCACTGCTGTGTGACCACCTACCCCAGAATCTTTCTAGATTCGCTCATCACAGATCTTCTGCTACTGCCTTTCATTTCCCTGTTTCGGTATGTTTCGGCTGCATGGATCCTTCTTGGAATAGCAAGATGTGAAGCAGTACAATGTGTTCTACTCTGGTTGCTGCCCTCCTGTTATTAAAAGCACAGCTTTTCTGCTAAGTCATCTGCAATTCAACTTCAGTGGAAGCAACACATTCTTCAGTGTTTCTTCACATTTCTTCAATTTCGTTGCTGTTACTGTATCCTTGCCCACATATCACCAGTACTCTTGTATTGCTTCTTATGCTTTCACCCACGCATTTCCATTCATACTTAAGTCATACTAATCTTAATACTTTTGCTAGAGGTTTTGGTACTTATCTCTATTAGTCTCACTGCTTTCCTCAGTGTATTCATCTGGACTTCAATTTACTGTCAAGGCTGCATCCATTCTTCACCTAGTATCTTATCACTTGTAACAGTCTTTATACTGTTTTAAGAATACATGAGTTGAAATAAAACCAGGATATCAACTACTGATCTAACGAGTCACCTTCTTTACTTATTTCATCCTACATAGAGAAACATCCAAAACTCACTCTATAACAGTTACATCTGTTTGCTCAGTAGGCAAACGTTCTTCTACTTGTTCATCTTCTGCATGTAGTTGTATATAGGAAAAGCTCCTTCATTTTGGTTACAATGATCAACAAATCTCATTTCTTGACCTCTAAGCTAGATATTTTCAGGTAACAGCAAAAGATTTCTAACAGACATTATACAGTTTCTTGAAAAAATGTTACTAATACATAGAAAGCAGGGTTTAGTTTTCAAACGCCTTGGAGAAAGGGCACTTACTTGTCCACAACCTCCACTGCCACCTGAAGAAGAAAATCCACTCTGCTGGGGAGAAAAAAAAAAGCACTCCAGTAATTCAAATATAATTTTTCCTCATTTTAAATAAGAAATAAACTTTAAAGGAATTCAGCTGTCTGTCTGCTGAAAAGAATGAAGACTAGCTATGAACTGTGTGAATTTCCTTGTAAAATCTTGTGAATGTAAGATGACTACAGATACTCCTTTCTATGTGAGAAAGACCCTACTATTTCTGTAGTTGCTGTTGAGCCTGTTGTTCTTAGACCCATATTAAAAAAAAATCTCACTTATAATGACAGCTTACTCTGTTAATTCAAGAAACAAACCTCACAAAAATCTCAATGTACATATGAGGACAACACATATATGCATTATATTTCAGTGCAAATATGAAAATGAGCTTTACACTTAAGAAGAAAATTTCCTTTAAATTACATATTCTGAATGACGGCTAAATGCTTTTGCAGAGCAATGGCAGTTCACTTCCTCAAATGCTGTATCCTGGCCAGTAATTAATTGTTGCTTACCTGGCCATAGGAAGTGCCACCTTGTGGCTGATAGACCTGTAAGAAAAGCAAGAACCCATTAGTAAACTAAGCTGTAGTCTTCAAACCACAACAGAAAATCTGTGTACTTTTTAATACATGGTATCTTGGGATGACCAAAAAAACAGGAATATCTTGCAACACCGAAAAGGAATAAAACCAAAACTAAATAAACAAAAGGTAACATTACACACACACACACACACACACACCCCTCAAGCCAACAAACAATTAATGTTCTTTTGAAAGGCAGATTCCTGTAGAAAAGTTAAATATATTTCAGAAAAAAAGCCTCACCTAACCATAGGACTGCAATATATTTCAGAAAAAAAGCCTCACCTGACCATAGGTCTGGCTGCCTCGGGAACCCTTTAAGAAAGAGAAGACAATGACCACCTTGTTAAAGAACATCACTGTCTTATAAGGCTTTTATAAAGTGCATAAAGATTATGCAAATACAGCTGGACGAAGGTTTCCCAGCAAGGCTCCTCCTGAGCCAAAGGAGACACAGTAGTACACTATCACCTCTACAATGTATCATCCTACTATGGCAAAAGCCATATCTCAAACTGGGACTCAGACTGCCAAAGGAAACATCAAGAAATCTGTCAGTCCCACTGATCACAGAGAGATCAGTGAAGAACTACTTAGAGAACATTCAGTTTGCTTACCTGTCCGTAAGAACCGCTGCTGATAGTGTAGGTTGGCCCACCCTAGCACAAGGAAACCATTTGGTTAGTATCCTTTTATAAGGGACCATTTTGCTTTAGCAAAAGCAAATATCTACATCTTAAACCAGTGCAGAGCAGAATAAAGAGCCACGATTCCCTCCTGGACAATCATAGAATCATTAGAGTTGGAAATGACTTCTGAAGGCCATTTAGACCAACTCCCCTGCAACAGACAATGACACCACAGCTAGATCAGGTTTCCCAGAGCCTTATCCAGCCATGCCTTGAAAGTTTCAGGGCATCAACCACAACCTATTCCAGTGCCTCATCACCCTTCCTGTAAAAGATTTTTTCCTTATATTCAACCTAAATCTACCCTCCCTGAGCTTGAAGGCATTTCCCCTTGTTCTGTCACCACAGACTCTGCTTAAGAGACTGTCTACTTTTTTTCTGTAGCTCCCCTTTAGATACTGAAAGGCTGCTATCAGATCACCTGGCAGCCTTCTCTTCTCCAGGCTGAAGAGCCCCAACTCTCGGCTTGTCCTCATAGAAGAGTTGTTCCATTCCATAGATCACTTTAGTGGCCCTTCTCCAGATGCACTGCAACAGATCTACATCTCTCCTGTACTGAGGACTCCACATCTGGATGCAGTACTCCAGGTGAGGCCACACCAGCCCAGATTAAAAGGGCAGGGTCACTTCCCCTGACCTGCTGGTCACGCACGTTTTGATGCAGTCCTTGATAGCTTTCTGGGCCACGAGGGCACATCACTGGCTCATGTCCAGCTTTCCATACACCATTACCCCCAGGTCTTTTTCAGTAGGGCTGCTCTCAATTCTTTCATCCACCAGTACATACTGGTAATGGGGGTTGCCTTGACCCAGGTTGCTTGTACTCGGATTTGTTGAACCTCATGAGGTTCACCTGGGTCCACTGCTCCATTGGAATGGTAACCCATCCCTCTGGTGTGTTGACTGCATGCCACAGCTTGGTGTCATCAGCAAACTTATGGGGCGTGCAATCAACCCCATCGTCGATGATGCTGATGAAGATATTAAAGAGTTTTGGCCCCAGCACCAACCTCCGGGGGATACCACACATCACCAGTCTCCATCCAGACATGGAGCCATTGACCAACTCTCTCTGGACTCATTCCTTCAGTTAGTTCTTCGGACATCAAATAGCCCACCCATCAAATCCATATCTTTCCAATTTGGAGAGAAAGGTGTTGTAGGGTACTGTGTCAAAGGCCTTACTGAAGTGGAGATAGATGACATCAGTGGCTCTTCCCCTGTCCTTTGAGTCAGTGACACCATCATAGAAAGCCATCAGGTTGATCAAACAGGATTTGTCCTTGGTGAAGCCATGCTGGTTCTCCTGTATTACCTCCCTACCTTCCATATGCCTTAGCATAGCTTCCAGGAGGATCTGTTCCGTGATCTTCCCCAGCACAGAGGTGAGACTGACAGGTCAGTAGTTCCCAAGGTCATCTTTTTTAACCTTTTTAGAAATGGATATGATGCTTCCATTTTTCCAGTCACCAGGGACTTTACTCATTTCCCATGATTTTTGAAAAATCATAGAGCGGCTTGGCAACCACATCAGCCAATTCCCCTAGGACTCTGGAATGCATCTCATTGGGACCCGTAGCCCTGTGGATGTTCAGATTCCTCAGGTGGTCATGAACCTGGTCTTCACTTACAGTGGGAGGGAACATTACTTCCCCAATCCCCTCCAACCAAACCAAATGTTTGAGGGCCATGTGACAAGCAGTTATCAAGGAAAATGGAGGCAAAAAAGTTAAGTATATCTGCCTTCTCCTTGTCTGCTACCAGCCTGTCTATGCCACTAGCTGGGGGGAATACAACTTCCTGGACTTTCCTTTTCTAGTTGAGGCACCTGTAGAAGCCTTCCTTGTTCTTTTTAGCATGTGAAGTTCAGTTCAAGCTAGGCCTTGGCTTTTCTGACCCTACCCGTAAACAGCCTGGCAGCTTCCTTGCACTCTTTTCACAATATCTGACCTTGTTTCCCCTGCCTGTGCATTTTTTTCTTACTGTTCAGCTTGAACAGCACAATGATGCTGAATGAGATGATTTCAGATGCCAGAATTCCATACAAATAAATAGCATGTGGATAATTTATAAACATAAGAACATACTATCAGAGAAAAAGTTAAAATTCTGAGTGATTACTAATGCTTTTGCAGTGCCATAAAACTCAACTGTCTCAGATGCTGTATACTGGCTGATGATTGTCTATGCTTACCTGGCCATAGGAAGCACCTCCTTGTGGCTGGAAGACCTGTAATTAAAGAAATCAATTCAAAATTATTTTACTTGTGATGTAGATGCATCTTTCACTTTTATCTCTTCTATGAAAAAAGTAAAGCGTAAGACAGAATTTACTGCTTCTGAACTAGAATTATTTTGATATATGTTATTCAGGATAAATTTCCCAGCATACTTTACGTATCAAACAACAATTACGGATTAGTTTTACATCTTTTATATCTCAGATGAGATGCTAGGCTTATGGAAGCTTTTCAGGACACTTAAAGGGTGCAACACTTTCTGGATGTTTCTTTTGCCTGTTGATTCTCAGAAGCTTTGCTTAGATGGTCAGTGGTAGCTGCAATGCTGACACATGTTCGGATTTTTGATGGGGCTCTGTTGTATAATTCCCTTTCTCTTTGGGGAAATGAAGGTGGTATATATGGAATTAGCAAAAATTCCATTAAAAATATAGATTAATATAAAGAAAACAAAATGATGTAATTAAAAGTAGCAGATCAAACAAATTAGTCAAGGCTGCTAATATCCTTTTAATATCCTTTAAAAAACGTTTAGTAACAAAGACACCAAATAATTATTAGCTGCTCACATAATCTGCCTTCAGTAGTGTCATAAAAGAGGAAATGTTTCATATTCGAGCACAGCTGTGACACAGCTGTCTGGGAGAGTTATGAAGACAGGAACTGACAAAAAAGATTTGAACCATCTTCTATATTTCTTCTACTTTGAAATAAATTGTAGGAAAATTTATATCTACCTTACAGTGCTTTAATTCACATATTAACAATAAAAGGACATATCTTAGAGGTGAAGGCTATAAGATCAAGTCTGCCTGCAGTGGAGAACCTCAACCAATGTTTTTTTTAACTCTTTAAACACTTCTTTGTTCTGTGATTGAGGTGGGCAATGAAGAACTGACTGTAAGTTTATTTTACCATGTCAATCAGCTGGAAGAGAAACAGCACTGAGGAAAATATTTCTACCATAAGATTTCAAATTTCATGTCCTTTTTAAAAGATTAGAAAGAGACAGAAACCCATGCTTTTGCAGATATCAACTGAAAAAAACACAGCTATCATTTTCACAATAAAAGTTTCGAAATGGATTTGGAAATTTGTTTTAGAACTCAAAATAAACAGAAAAGAAACATCACTTTAAGCAATTTTAAGTTCCACAGTGCCATGAGAAACTACTTTCTTAAATGCTATATACTGACTAATGTTTACCTGGCCATAAGAACTGCCAGGTTGAAGCTGAGAGATCTGTAAGAAAAGCAAGAATCCATTAGTAAATTAAGCTATAGATTTAGCAAAGCTATGGCAGAAAAAAATAAAAATATTGCCCAATAGATTTCCTCCATTCTATATTCTGTTTTCCTATATGGTAATCCTGTGAGATGATCAAAAACCAGGAACTACCCTAAACACCAAGAAGGAAAAATCAAGTTTGCAAACAAACTACAAAGAATGCTCAGACCAACAAACAACCAATGCTCTTTTGAAAGGCAGATCCCTGTAGAAAAGTATATTTCAGAAAAAAAGCCTCACCTGACCATAGGTCTGGCTGCCTCGGGAGCCCTTTAAGAAAGAGAAGACAATGACCACCTTGTTAAAGAACATCACTGTTTTATAAGGCTTTATAAAGTGCATAAAGATTATGCAAATACAGCTGGACAAAGGTTTCCCAGCAAGGCTCCTCCTGAGCCAAAGGAGACACAGTAGTACACTATCACCTCTACAATGTATCATCCTACTATGGCAAAAGCCATATCTCAAACTGGGACTCAGACTGCCAAAGGAAACATCAAAAAATCCGTCAGTCCCACTGATCACAGAGAGATCAGTGAAGAACTTCTTAGAGAACATTCAGTTTGTTTACCTGTCCGTAAGAACCGCTGCTGATAGTGTAGGTTGGCCCACCCTAGCACAAGGAAACCATTTGGTTAGCATCCTTTTATAAGGGACCATTTTGCATTAGCAAAGTTGGGGAGCCTGACCCACACTAAGATAGCCTTATGCTTGTGCTATCTGTGATGTCTGTGGCATTCAGCTCTAGAAGTCAGAGCTATCCTTGGTCAAACTTCTTCTCACTAGCAGTGGTATAGATAATACTGACAATTTTTTCCTTCCCTGTCCTCCCTCGCCACCACTGCTCAAGAAATCGGAATACTTCATCCTTTTGTTCACACCAAGAATATTCTCATGCATTACACCACAATCAAGTTTTTTATTATTATGTTAATATTTGTACCCATTTATTCTTCCCACAAGAATAAGTAGTGGTGAGGCTTGAAGTAAGGCTGAAATACCTCGTTGCACATTAAGTATGCAGTTATGTTTCTCTATCATTCTTCACCCTTCATAACTTATGGAAATTTGTGGTCTAATATACATGGGGTCTGAATCTACGAGTATGGGATTCTTCTTGCGATGCTGAGCCTAGAAACACTTCTGGCATGGTATTACAACTTTTCTACAGACTTTAGAGGACACATTGTGATGAACACAGTCGTTTTACTTCAACTAATAACATACAGAAATACATTTATGAATATTTTAACCAAAAGGAGTTGAACACCAATAACTACAGACAAAAAAAAAAAAAAAAGAAAGAAAGAAAAACAAAACCCAAAGTAACTTAAGTACCTGCAACCTGTGAAATACATTTACGTATATATGTAGGGTCAGAATAATGATATTTTCCTATTTTAGTGAAATCTAGAGGCATATTTCTACTCCTTTTTAATCTCACCTACCTGAATGTAAGTAGCACCGCTGCTTTGTTGCCTTTGTCCACTCTATACAGGAAAAAAATAATGTTATTCATTTTAAAGAGGAATTGCTTATGTACCATGACTAAGAAACTATTTTTAAACCTACAGGACAGTTTGAGCGAGTTTCTTATGCCTTACCTTGCTTTATTTATGCTACAGTGATAAATACTTCAGCATACAGAGATACTTCACAATGACAATTATTTATATAATACATTATGTCATTTTGTGGTATTTCTGGGAAATTAAAATACAGAGGCTTTCATGTTTTGTACTTACAGAACATAGTTGCAATGATTGTTGATCAACAACCAAGAAGTACACTCACTTTGCTTTAACTACAAAAACAGATCTACTTTATCACTGTAGTTTGTGTACTATTGATTTAAGACATCCATACTCATTTATCCCCAAATAGATGAGTCATTGCATAGTTTACTGAAGCAGAGCTTGAGATAAAGCACAAAGACCATGAAGAAAGAATGTCTACCTGTACTATGATCTTAGTAGCAGAATTGCCCAAGCTCTGTAAAACAGAACAGGAAAGAAAAGGAAATTTGATTTATTAAACAGAAAATTTCTAGTTCTACTACTTTGCTTGGGATAATAAAGGGGAGCACATATGATGTACTAAGCACTGTATTCTGAAAACCCAGTACTAAACTAGTTTAAAAACTTAGATAAACTAGTTTATCCTCAGCTCAGAAGGGGAAGGAGCCCAACACTACTGAAGTAATTTCCTATGCCTAAACCTCCTTCTAAAAGGTTTTTGCAGTACCAGTTAGCTCAGTTTTTCCAAATTGGGTGAGCGAAGCTGAGACATCATCACCACTCAAATATACCTCATAATCACCTGTACATCACCACATACCTGAATTCAGTATCTGTCTAAGTCAATTACTGTGCTCAGTTTTGGGATATGAGGGACAAACTTAAATGGGTAGTAGACATCATTTCAAAGTAACAGGTTTGACCCCACAAGGCATATGTCACCATTAGAGAAATAATTAAAAAAATGAAAAAGTATGCTTACCTGGGGATAAGTATGACGCTGCAAATGAAAACAAAAATCTTTAAGTATTCTGCACAAAGGCTTGTCTAAGCAAGATTCTGCAGCACAAAAAGGGCCCTGTCTTTTCGGTGCAATACATGAACAAATATGGCAGAAAGATATAGGAAGGATAATAGATTAGTAATTGATTTTAATATTCATTCAGGTTGGAACAAGTTTGAGTAGGAAGAGGACATCAGAAAAAAACCGCATGTATCAATTTTGACATACAAACTCACTTTAACCACATTAAAGTAAAACTTTCTTTTGTCTGATTATGAGCCAGTAAGTGAAATGGAAGTTTACTACTTTAAAAATAAGAATAGAAGTGAATTTACAAAAAAAAAAAAAAAAAAAAAAATTGTAGTGGAAGCAGAAAATCAAAACTACTCAGAAACATGGATGTTATATATATGGAAGACACATAGAATCTGAACTTAATCAAATATCTCTGGAAGTGGTAATAGCAATCATAGAATCATGACTCAGGTCAAATAGTTGGCCTGTCATATCACGTAGATGCAGTTACTATCTCACTATCTCTTTCCCCAGAAGTAATTATGATCCTAAGATAAAACCTATGTGACAAAGATTTGTCTCCATATGCATGAGAAATCCTTCTGACAAATTAAAACATGAAGCTACATAAATGCTCTTTGAGTCAAAACTTTGAGAGAGGTACAGAGAAACTGCTTACCACAGGCGGAAACGGGTTGCTGTTGGGAACGACCACTATCTGCAGACAGAGTGGAGAAAGCTGTTTGTTTACTCATCATAGGCTTTCTTTAAATATGTTAGTAAAACAAAAAATACTGAATTCTCTAAATTTACAAGCATAGATAATAATACTATGGATGATCACCTTTAAAAAGTACTACTGTTTTAACAAAAATTCTTAATGTACACTACCAATGAAAGAAGAATGTAAACAAGGTATACACAAGAGCTTGTGGAGACTTGTTTCCATTCAGACAGTGACTCAGCTGTCAAACCTGTAATGCACTACATCCACTGGCTTATACATGTATATGATGTTTTTACTGTCCACCAAAAGGTGGAAGACCAATCTAGTCTATATTCAGTGTTCCAGTATAGGAAGTATTAATTAATATTGGCTTCATTTTTTTAATAACTTTGAATGCAATAGTAGTGTCTTCTGCTTAGGTATTCATGTTTTCCAATCAGCAGCTTTTCTTTTTTTAACTGAAAACAGTATCATCCAGTGGTGTAGAAAGGAAGAGCTGATGCTATCACAAGTAAAGAATTCTAACATAAAGAAGGCAGAATTTTTTGAAATGTAGATTATCGAAAAATATCATACAGTTTGAAAGGAAGAGGAAATTTAAATGGAAAAAATTAACTGTGAAGACAGTGGTCACAGGGTATGTTTATTGGTCATAGCTCTGAGCTTTCTGGGGAATGGACTGAGAGGAATAGTTTGTGTAAATATTAAGAGTCAAATACATGAATTCTTATTGATTTCATTTTCTCAGACATATCTTAAAAATCATTACATAATCTGTAACCTTGAAAAGTCCATTTACATTACAATCACAACCCTATTTTTTAAATTAAAAAATCTCCATAAAAAATTGTGAAATTTTAACATTTTAGATACAGCTAAGTCAACTGTCAACAAAAGCACTGCTGCACAGAGAAGCACTATATGGTAATGAAGAATCAAACTGATTCCAATCATGCAAATCAAAATTTTTAAATAGTACCACTAAAATAAAAGGAGTCGTGCCAAGTTATACCTGTATGAATTCTTTCTCCTTTGAATTAAAAAGAAAAGGCACGCTTACCTTCTTACTGGAATCTGAACTACTTGCAGGAACAGACTGTAAAGAATAGAGGAAGACATATTTTGCTTAGGTAAGTGTTTGACAAATTAAATACAGCACTATCTTGCACAAGAATGTTTCAGATAATTACAGTATTTCCCTAGATTCCTAAACAAAATAACATTTTGAAGGAAAATAAGAATGTACAGGTAACTGACAAATGAACAACAGAAATAAGACACTTGTTTCATTTCTTTTTCAAACACTAAAAAGTTTGTTTGTAATAAAAATAACTGCTAGTAGAAAAAAAAATGAATCACTTCTACCTTCATCGGAAAAAAAAAAAAAGCAAGAAAATAAAAAAAAACAGCCACTGAAAAAATAATCTACTGTTGAAACACAAGCTGGTATAAATAGGAAACACCATAAGAATGCAAATGTTTCAAATGGAGCATTACATAATGTGCAAATTCTTCTATTTTATCAAACCACAGATACAGTTGCATAGGCAAGAGCCACAAAAAAAGGTAAATATCTTCTAGCAGGTGTGATATTGCAGTGTACTCTAAATGTGTAAATTGTTTGTTGAAGTCATTTCCAGATATAATAGGAAACCATTTGAAGACCTTTTTCCCTTTCATATATTCTATTATTATTCAGTAGAAGTTGACTGCAGCTGCTTAGTATGCTGAAAATGAAAGCATGTTTGAGAGCACATAGTTACCTGGCCATAGGTAAGACTGCCATATGAGGATGCACTCTGAAAAGAAAATATAAATCAGTTCTTTATTCCACAATCATTGGCTAACTATATCCTGAAGTCATTCTTTTTCTCCTTAGAGTATTCACACTTCAAGTGAACTTAGTTTTAAATACTCAACAAATCGAGGGCAACACAAAACTATTCTGAAATTGCTTGACGATTACAGCAGTAAAGTTTTTCAAGCTTTCTAATAGTCACAAAATTAATGTTACTCTATCACAAAGTTTATACTTGCATATTAAACAAAGATAATGATTTAATAAGTATAATAATAATTTAATATTCCAGAGTTAATAAAACAAATCTTATACCCAAAGTTAAGCGTGTGATTGTGTGGTTTTCCTAGCTAAGGTTTCATTTCAGAACAGGCAGTAAAAAATTTATCATATTTCTGACAGACTCTTTACATCCTTTCATTATTTCTAAAATGGAAAATAAGTTAGATTTAAAAATGCTTTTTTCCCTAAACTGAGAAGGAAAGAAATGACAATTGTTTATGTTCATATCCCTGGTAGAGTTGTTGGATTTAAACACAAAGATTGTTTAAGAAAAATTACAGGACTTACTATGCGATATCTGAACAGATTTGCACTAACAGATCACACGCATTAAGAACTAAGAAAGAATTCTGAAATTTTCATAGACTAACAAGATTTCATTGAGACAGTGAATGAGTAATACTTTTTCATTCTTGTTATGAGTTTCAGAATAGTGCCTGAGTTCACCAACATTTTTTTTAATATGTTTAGGAAAAATAATCTACCTCCGCATAAGTAAATGCACTGCAATCTGCAATGAGGAGGTGAGTTGATAAACATAGTAATAAGTAATTAGTAAATAAATAAGCAAAAAAGTACAAATAAAATTAAGTAAACTTATAAGCAGCTTACATCTTTACACGCATTCTGGCTATATGCATTGGCAGCACCTCCCTAGGAAGAAAACAGACCAAGCAGTTATTTCTCTGCCATATTTACCTTACAGAAAAAGACATGCTTCAGACAATCTCAGTTTTAACTGATCCTTACATGTAATTTGTAAGGAACAGATGATAAGGAGAATACAATTAATGCTGTTAATGTGTGTACACCCACACATCAGGTAAGAGCAAGGCACACTATCACTTTATATATTAGGGAATATACAGTGGAATTCAATAAATATTTTAAAACTCACACTATTAGGAAATTACTTTAATAGAAATAAATGGTAAGGATTTAAAAAAATGCTTGTAATTCAAACAGTGACTGTGTAATATGCACCTACAGAGAGATGGGAAAATTAGGAATCTGAAATTAATATAAGGAAAAGTTAACTCTTTCCTTATTCAGAGACAATGAAATACAAAAATAACAAGGTGCAACATAAATAGCAATAGTTCCCATTATAAAGCAAGTCTCCTTTTGTTAATAAACACAATAACTCTCACAAAACTGTAATTCTGTTTTTCCTTTGTAAAACTCCTATACACTCCAAAATGTATTTTGTTTCACAAGAACTCGTGACACGAATGTTTCACACTTTTGGAAACACTGTCCTTATTGGTGCTGAGCAGTCTCAGCGACTGTACTATGAGTGCTTAGCATTACAACTGCAATAGCCATAATATGATAAACAAGGAAATAACTGTCAATGACATAAAAAGAGTTAATTTCAGTATTTCATTTACCTTTCAAGTTTTTTCCTCTTTTTTTTTTTTTTTTTTATATATATATATATATTGAGAAAACGTTTGAAGAAAGTCACTTTGAAAAATTGAAAAATAAAGATCTTATTTTGTAAATGCTGAAAGGAAATCAAAATTTCCATTATTTGGCATAAAAATATTTTAGCCTGTATGACCAGTCATCATCTTGATACAAATGCTTCTGAGAAGTGTTTGAGCTACTCAGAAACGTGTTACAGCACTCTGCCATCTTTCATTGATTTCTGAAAGAATTAATAAATTCACAAGTGCCCATGCCACATGTGAGATGAAATGGCCTTTGTTATTGTAGATATCTGTATGATGAATTCCAAGAAGAGGAACAATTTAGAGCGTGTAAACCAATTTCAACTAGTCTTGTCTTAGGTAGAAGGGGAAAACAGAGAACTCATCTGATGAGCATTTCTTTAGTTCAAAACAATAACCCTTCAGTGCAAAAAGTAACCCTTCCAGGTCCTTTTTTTTTTTCCACTAAAACCAATACATTTCTATAAAGCTTTGTAACATCCCAGTTTCCCAACTACTTCATACCACTGAATAAACCATAACATTCATCTTCTTCTAGCTTTCTCCATTATTTTCCTTTTGAAACAGAAATTTCTAAAGAATACTTTCATAAATAACATAATTTAAGTTTCTATAAATATAGTTACATCGGCTACAATAAAATAAACATGAGAACTGTTCTTACTGGGACACATCCACTCTTGCTTATTGTGTAGACTGTTCCACTCTGAAGAAAAAAAAAACAACAAAAACCAAACAGTAAATTATTCATGTTTTAGAAAAGAAAAAAAAAAAAAAAAGCAGGCAGAAAAAGTTTGGTCGGAAAAAAAAAAGAAGAAAAAAAACAGAAAAACTCCTGCTGTTTATGGTACAAAAAAGCCAAGCAGCTGACAATGTGCACACAAACAATTTGTCCTGTGGGACAAGGAAATACAGAATTTACCTGTTCAATCACAACTGTCTGGAACACTTAGTTTATTATGAAACATTAGCCATCTTCTGGATTTCATATAACACTGTCAGGCAGCCTTTCAAAGTCCACGGGTTGTTATACTAAGTGACTCATATTTTAGAATAAAAATAATTTCAGGCAGTTATATGACAAGATGAAAAAAATAGCCTTTAGAAAAGAGAATGTATTATGAAGGAAAGAAACGCAATGAAGAAAAGTCTGAATTTAGAATATAAGTCAAAGTAATCTCTCCAAGTCTGGTGATTCCCCTTACAAGTAATGGAAATGGACAACTTTACCAGATAATTCACTAATAAATATAATTACTGGTCAGTAGTTAAAAATATATCCTTGGAAAGCCCAGTTCAAGAAATTTAGAGACACGTCAGAAAGCATTTGACCATACAAACAGGCATGTAATGGTAGTGCAGATTATTAACTAAAAACACAATCATTCTAATCTGACTATACACTTGTCTGACTGAAAAAGTTCAAGTGATCATCAAGAATACAGATGTATTTATTTCAGAAGTTCTAAAAGGCTATTTTCATTTCAGGCAATGAAATCCCTGAACATTCAATTGCAAATATAAACCTGTGAAACAAGTGATGTAGACATTATACTGGCATTTAAATATACGCATGAATATCTCACAAAGTTTTGAGAAATTTTGTAAATTGTAGAGAAGACTGTGAAAGTACAATCACTCCTTTTATTTTGATTACCAAAATATGAAATTAGAAAAATGCCCAACAAATCAATTAATAATGAGTACATATTCATTATACCAGATGTCTCTAAAATTTGGATGTACAAAGTTTGTATTTGGATGAACATGCATACACACAGGTAGGAATCCTCTAGAAATATGGAACAAATTTTTCCTCCTCCAATAGGTCAGGTTAATGCTCTGTAAATTTGGTTAATGCTTGAAATCAGAGATGGTGAAACAGCTAATAGGTCAAAATGCTGTCAGTAAACTATTGAGTTTGACAGTATAGCCTACTCCAGATACGGCACATACATTTTACTGGAAGAAAAACTTTGGTCTTCTGTTAACTAGCAGAGACATTATATCACCTCAGTAGTGTTTTCAAACTTTATTTGTTCAAGGTTACTGGAGGTAAATGTACAAATGTTGGAAGTTAGAATCCTTACCTGACCACTAGAATAGCTGCTCTGAGAGGAACCGGAAGGTTGAACCTGTAAAGAAATCAAAATGCTACTTTCGTTCAAGAAAATTGATTTTCATATAAATTACTTTCAGGAATTAAAGATCTGCCTTGTGGGAAAAAGGAGAAAACACAAAGTAGTTTTACTGTGACTTCATTCCTTCAATACTATTATAATTATTTCAGGGATCTTTAAAGCCAATGTTCAATGTTCAATTGAACCGGTTCAATTAGTATAAATTAACATAATTCTACTGCTCATTGTAGAACACTCCCACATCACCTCTCTTTTAACCTGTCCTCATATAGCATATCCATCATAGAGAAGCAGGTCTCAACTGGTAAGATCATTAAAGAGTGTCAAATTATGCAACATTCAAATGAAAACTTTTTAGTGATATGACTACGTAATCATTAGACACTATGAAATGCAGGGCATGTTTTCTGTGAGGAGGGAAAGAAGTGAAAGAGGTTTTTTCACTGAGCTGAATTACAATTTTCAGGGAAAAAAAATCAAATAAGTTGTATATGTCTATAGGATGATTTGAAGAGTATGAGGTTTTAGAGCCATTAAATTAAAAAGATGCATAAACAAAGAAGTAGTACAACTATCAAGAGAGATAGGGCAAAAATAAATTGAAACACAAAGGGATAAAGATGTGATGAGAAGCAGTTTTTGTTTTTGTCCAGGTTTTTATATATATATATATACACACACACACACACACTTTTTTTTTTTTTTTTTTTTTTTTAAACAATTAGCAGTAAATTGATATCTTTACAAAAATAATACCTACCACAACACATCCACCTTGTCTGGTATATGTCCCTCCACGCTGCAAGAAATTACAGGTTCAAGTCACTGTTTGATGATTCTTTTACATAGACAAAGTTATTTCTAAGAAGAGACTCATCTGAATATTTGTGGCCTGAGTAAAAAAGTCAGTTCTCGATTGCTTATAATACCTTACCTGTTGTAATAATCTCATTTGATATTTAACATTATCTCACTAAAATACCTTCAAAATTAAATACAAAAATGTAAAGTTTGCTCTAGGAAAATAATTTGGATACTCTGATAAAATCTTTGTGCTGCAACTATGAGATAACTGGACCAGCAAGACAGGAATCCTAAAACTGATCTAACTGAAACCCGTGAAATTGTAAATAATTTGTTCTTACCTTGCTGCATTCAATTTCTATCATAAGCTGGGGGGAAAAAAAAAAAAAAGGAAAAAAGAGGAAACAGTTACAAATTATTTCAATGTAAGGAAAAAAAAATTATTATCTGAACCAAGAAAAACATTTGGTGAGGCAAAAGACAGTAGGATAAGCGTTTACTCAGAGTTAAATCACAAGATGACATAAATCAGTGCTGCTCCAGTCAAGACCAACATCACAGATTTGAAAATATTTTGCTTTACTTAAGCTGCTTATCTTGTTTAAGATGCTTAATATAAGCAATTTCTGGTCCATAATAAATAAATGAGCAAATACATTTATAAGTATATTTATTTATGGCTATAATTCCAGGAACTGAGGCGGTAGTAATGTACACACCAAAAGAAAAGCAGAGTCCTTTTTATCATCACCTTTCCTTTTTCTCTGTGCTGTATATTATTTTGATAACTTGATTATTTGCTTCCTTGCTTCTATGGGAGATAGAACTATTCATTTTAATTTCTTTGTTAATTTAGTCAGAGGATTAGGCAGTTAAAAGCATTTAAAATATCTGATGATTATGGCCATCTTCATGAATATATGACACCAAATGTATATCTTGCATCAAGTCAGAGATATTTTAACTGACTATAGAAATTTCTAGTATGTCAATGAACTCAAAACTTACCTTCCTTTTACTTTTTCCTGTCCCATTTACTGACTTAGAATGTGTGGATGTGAGAGTTTTGCTTTCAATTCCAACCCAAAATTTCTCTAGATCTTGAACAACAGTTGCACTGCAAAGGAAATAAAACAATTTATCTTTTAACAAAACACCTTCAGAATAAAATAGCAATAAACGCGTTTTTTTCTTCCTCAGTCAAGTTAATCTATATCTATTTTGAGGGCCATGGAGGAGAAGTTTGAAAAGAATTTAATCATTTTCCAGGACGCTTATGACAAACTATGGAACAAAAATGGCTGTGACAAAAAAAAAAAAAAAAAAAGACATCAGAATCCATGTCAAAACATCACTTAGAAATAAATTTTAAAGGCAAAGAAAGAGAAATATTATTTACATGAACTGAAGATCTCTAACATCATTTGGAGCAATCCATGTTGTTGTAATTTTCTGCTTCAGATCAGAATTTGCATGACTTACTGCTGAATTCTGCAATTAAAAAGAAATTATAATTATATAAGACAAAAGTGATTTTTATCTATACTTGGGTAACTGTCTTTACTACATCAGATAATGCTGATGTCCTTCTAAGGATTGTCAGGTAGTTCTTAGGAAAGTTTTCATGAGTCTTTCCTGAGAAAAATCTATATTTTTAAACTCTGTTGATGAAATCTCTTTTGCCATTAAAACTTTTGCCAAGAGTGAACACATACCGTGATGTTATGACATCCCAAGCCTTTTGTGTTTGGATCTGTAATTTTAAAAGTACCAACAGGAACATCTCCTCCTGTTTCTCGAGCTTGTAGATTAAATTCTTTAAACCCAACATCTTTGAGGGCTTCTAGGGTCACTGTGATAACAGACATTTTGAGAAATTTAAGTTTCATATATTATCAAAACCACTTTAAAGTTTAACATTTAATTTCCCCCCTCCAGAACATGACTGAATGCACAGAAGTTAACTTCTTTTTAAAAGTTAAAATCTTTTACAATTCTTAAAAAAAAAATTAAGATTTATCATAGGTCTCGTTGATTGTCAAGACTGACAAAGGGAAAGAAAGAAGTTTGAAGAAGCATTTGTGTGTAACTAAGAGTATTAGAAAGCAATAGGACAAATTATTGACAATTTTAAAAAGTAATTCTGCTCTACTAAATGAGTAGACCTTTCTTATTAAGTTGATTTGCTCTCCTGCATATCTGAATACTGCATGATGGTTCTGATGACCAGAATGCAATTTATTTTCTGCCTAATTAGGCCCAGAAAAAGTCAACATTGAGAAAGAGAATTGCATTTCTTTCTATCTCTTTAAAGAAAAAAAAAGTTTGCCTAGTTTGAATTGCGGAACCTTCTTTTTTTTTGATATATTACAACTGGAAAAAAAAATCTAGACAATTTGTCTCTCCTACTTTAAAATTAAAAATCAATAGTTACAATTTTACTGCTAAAGGAACTGAAATGGAAAACACAGAAACCGCGGAAAAGAGGAGTTCCATATTTTGAGTATTGAAACTGAAACCATGTTTAAGAAGCAATATCAGAATTGCTATGTGCTCAGGTAATGTCAGTATTAGGCACAAATAAAATCAGAATGATCCTTTTTGCGATCTAGATGTGTGGTACTCCTTAAAAATTATTGTCAGTAGATAAGAATAGATAAACTGGGAATGAAAGTCAAGGCTGAGATCAATCATATCTAAACAATTTAACATTTCAAAACACCTGCATAATTAGCCTTTTAATTTGCCATCAATTTCAGTCCTAACACACTGCATGGGCGGGATGGCATCCAACACTTTAAAGGAAGCACAAATGCAACTGTAAGTTTTGCCATATGGCCTGTCATAGGTGCAATAGGAGCAATACACTCATTGGAAGGCCAGCCTACTGGAAATAAGTATGGGATGCTTACAATTTGATGCAATAGAATCATAGAATGGCCTGGGTTGAAAAGGACCTTAAGGATCATCTAGTTTCAACCCTCCTGCTGTGGGCAGGGTTCCCAACCATTAGACCAGGCTGCCCAGAGCCACATCCAGCCTGGCCTTGAATGCCTCCAGGGATGGGGCATCCACAACCTCTCTGGGCAACCTGTTTCAGTGTGTCACCACCCTCTGAGTAAAAAACTTAATTATGTGGTGCTAAAGTGTTTTAACCTTTTTTGTCTAACCACACATCAAGACTAGTAGCATTTGGGATTTAATATCTAAGTCACAATAAATCTTGTATAACCTTACAGAACAGTCTGCATACATTTAAAATCCATCCACCATTCTGTTGGCAATAGTGTTCTAAAAACAACTCTCAGTAATCAAACAGCAATCCTATTCTTAAAGGAGATATTCAAATGTGTTTTTCCAAGAATGAGAGTTATAATAGGACTCTAGTCTTCCATTTCTCTCCCTAGCTATCATTTGCCATGGAAACCTGTCTGAGCAGAGATCAGACAAAATAGAAGCCCAGCAGAACAACTGATATGAACAATGCTTACTTTGAGCTACAGAGATCCAACAATGAAAACGTGACACATTATAACTCACTTCTGATCCTGTGTTTGTTATACCAAATGATTAAAGAAGCATACTCATGTCACTAAAGCATGACAGCACCATGAGATGGCAGCATAGTGTGGAGAAATAAGGCTGTCAAGGTGTTCCATCCAGAGAGTAACTCAGATTAAGGAGATAAAAAGCCAAAATAGCCCCACCTGCTGCAACTTGATAAAATCTGGGATGCGACTCTTACAAGCATGACTCAAAGCATTTCACTCTTGAGTTATCATAGACAGTATCCTGAGTTTTTATTTTCTTGTAGGTTCACAGCATGAGTGTCACCCCTAGGATCTCTTTGCATTGCACACAGCTGATACAACAGCAAACACCCAAACAAGATGTTAGAGAGCAACTATTTATTAGCCCAGTTTGACCAGCTGTCTCATAGGATTTTAATTCTGTCACAAAACCTACAGCATGAAGTTAAAATATAGTTATCAGAGAGGGAAAAGAAAAAATAAATTGAGAATATAGTTTTAATTATATAGATATAAATGTGAAAACATACAGATATGAAACATTGAAAAAAAGAAATATCTCAAATACAGATGAACAAGATTGAAATAAAAAAAAAATAATTAGACACATCAAGAGACAAATGGGACAATCCTAGTTAAGACTGGTAGTTCTAGAAGACAAAGATTTTAGGTCATTCAGATTATTTTACCTTGGATTTCGTTTCCTGGTTCAAAGCTGTCAAAAGATACAGCAATAATATATGGTGGTGGAGATGTCTGTGGTTCATTTTCATAGTTTGGTAACAGAGAATCACAATCAATTGAAGTATTTGCATGTGGAAAACCAAAGATTCTGGGCAGACATATCCCACAGAACAAAAAAACTAAGCAGAAGTGTCTTCTCATCTGTGGAAAAATAGAAAAGATAGTTTATAGCAGCTGCTTTATAGTAGTTGCTATAGCTAACAAACATCTGTCCTTCTCCAAAGTAAGAAGCAGAAGAAACCTAGAAAGTTTGGCTTTTGTTGTATTCATATACTTTAAAGAAAATAAATTGAAATAAAATACATATATACATTGACAAAACAGTGCAATAAATGAATGAGTGCTTTCATTTCAAAACACTGAAGCTTAAATTCTCAGGTCACATGACAGCAATCCATAACTGCATTATGGCTTAAGAGTCAAAAAGGATTTACACAAACTTCCACATTGTTGAGCTGGCAGATTTAGCCAAGATCTTTATACAAAAATTAAGATCTAAGTCTTGCTCTCTCAAACTGTTTTTGTAGTAATAACCATGACTAACAAGCTCTATTTTGACTGCTTTGCCTACTCCCACTTCAAACAACAGCCAAGAAATCTACAGTTAAATGCCATGGAGAACTCTCAGTTTTCCAAAACAGTTGTTTCCTGAAAGGTTTAATATAAGACCCTACAGTTCTTTAGAAGCATTTCACAATGTATGAAATGTATCCAATTTGTAACATCTACCTGTGCATCTTAACTTGTGCATGAACACATAAGATCATTTGGTTTTGTATGAGCTAACTAAAACAAAGAACAGAATAACCAGGAAGAGTGTGGGTGGAAATCATCAAAATAAACATTTATTTTTCGCATTTCTCTCTGAAGTGAACTTAATTTTTTAAAAGCCTATGAATCAACAGACTGAAGTTTTAAAAAATTTCCTACAAGAAGATGATAAAGACTTGCATCAATAAGTGCAGCAACCAGGAAAGTTATATATGCTGGTTATCATGTCTTTAAAGCGGATGGAACATATCCCTCCCTAAGTTCTCACGAAAATATCATTTAAATAGGACCCTTGTAAGCATTTTGCCTTGGTATCACAGTCTGCTGGGTGCGGCTGTCCAATTTCTTGTGACTATTTTAACACAGTCCACCTCTAATTAAATTTTAAATACAGTACGTAGGTGCTATTATATTAATAGATGTGGTAAACAGTGATTTAATATGAACTAGAGTATGTGTTGTTGAAATCTTTCTCTGACTCATGCTTAAGATGGAAAAAATCTGTTTTTAATTAGATGTTCTACTTCAAAGCAGAGAGTTCCTAGCTGAGATCGGAAAAATCCAGAGCTGCACTCTTCCTTGAAAGACAACTTCTCTGAAATCTCTTCTTTCTCTTTTTTTCTGGTAAGAATACAGCCAGAAACAAAAGCAGATGAAAAATGGCCGAGTTGTCTTCTCTTTGCATTAGCTGTCTGTGTAAAGAATTAGAGGGCTACCCTAAAAGTCTCATCATATCATCTTTTGGAACTGAGAATAAGATGAGGAAAATTCCAAAGTCCAGATTTGGTAATTATTTATTAAATAAAAGCATGAAATTCTAGGACAAAAAATATTTTCAAGATTCTAACTAACTTAATGAGAAAAAATAACTGGTTCTTTCAGGCATACATGGTCGATTCCATCCAAATATTCTTATCCGAGTTGCCTTCATAACATGGAAAAATTCTAATTTTTTAAAAGCACAGATACAATTTCATCTTCCCATAAGCCTGTACAACTCTCATCTCTGCAGCATTTGAAGGATGCTACATTAAGAATCCTCTTCTTCATTTAGTCTAATATGACTTCAGGTCAACAATTAAATGTCTGAGTGGTATTTAGTTTGCTACTGCATTCAAAATCTAGTGGACCTGGGAAGAGACACTTTGGTGGTTTTGCCTTGGGCAAACTTCTGCACTGAAACAAAAGTTGTTTTAAAAAGCCTTTAAACATAGAGGATTTCACTAATAAGATAAATTCTTTTTGTGTAATTTGAAAAAAAACAACAGTCCTGACACATCTATACTGCCAACAGCTCAAGACTTGGTCCCATATGTCCTTTCCAACTGATTCTTTTCTCCTTTCTTTTCTCCTCCTAAACATTCCTGGTAAGCCATAGCCTTTAGCCGCTGAGAATAAATCTGACCAGTTGGTGTGCACCCTGTCTACCACATCCCCAGCAACACACCTTATCAATCAAGCGCTGATGTGTGGGCATCCTCCGGTCCCTCAGAGGTCAGCGTGGATGAGATGCAGCTCAGGAGCACGGGTGCTCAGCAAGATGAGAGAGAGGAGGTGACTGGCTTGGCCAATCCCTGGCAAGGAGGGGAGCTGATGTAGCCAATCGTGCCTCTGCCTGGAAATTAGGACACCGCAGGTGGGACTCTCCTGCCCAGATGAGGCGATGACAACACACCTCATGGATGAATCATGCCCCCTCTGACCTTTAACTAGGCATTAGGGACAGGTAAGGCTTCTGAAGGCTGGCAGCCTCAACTAATATGTTGATTAAAATCTGCAAAACTGTGCTATACAAAAGCCTTACTAA